GTTCAGGACGAAGTCAAGATCTAGGTCTAATCAGGTTAAATCTAGGTCAAAGGTCAAGAACTAGGTCAAATCCAGTACTTTGTCATTTTTTCAATTTTCTCAGTCGTCCTTCAATATTTTTGCTCCGTTTTTTTAATCATGTTCCTTTGAAAAAAGGTAATCCCTACAGGCAAGTTGTTTTTGATCACTCTTACCGTTTTTGAGATATGGCATCCGGAAAGTAGGTCACAATAAAAAAAGTTCTTGGAATTCAATGTATGAGCTATGAAATATGTGAAGAATTGTCCAAGGAATCCGAATCTGCAAACAAGATTTTGATCCGACTTCCGGTCGGAAGCTATGGCATTTTGAAATCTCAAAAATCGCTATTTTGGCAATGGGGCTTGAGAAAATTATCAATTGTAACAACACAACACTAGATACAGCTTGGATGCAGCCAACTTAATAAGAATCTACAATAGAAGCCGTCCTCAAAATCTACTTTCCTTCAAAATTTGGACACTAAAAGGCCTATGACAAAATCTAGGTCAAATTCATAGTTTTTCCTTTGACTACTACAAATCATATCTGGACCAACAACAAAGGACTCATCTTTTATTGATCTCATATTTACCAATACTTTTGTTTGAAAATCAGGATATACATTCCTCTGAAGGTTCTACACTGTGAGAGCACAGGACCGTGGGTCCTTTATTTCATCTGTAATGGCATTTTCCAGTTGATGGGTTTATATATAGTATTTTCAATTTTTCATGAATGTGTCTTTAGACTACTTGTAGTGGGGTGGCTAATTACTTTACTGAATGAGGAATGTTTATCCAAACAATGGATACAAAGAAAATCTGGCCAGTTGTCCATCAGTAAATAAATCATCATGATAAAAGTATAATTTATTAAAGCATCCATTTGTTACCGTTCTGAATCCAAATGATACATAGGTACATCCATTTTATACATATATGTTGACGTTTACGAAATGTTTTTCAAATATCTTCCCTATAACAGGAATATGGTAGCTGAAACTTTCACACATTGTCATACTATGTATATTGAATATGTATGCAAGATTTCAAGTCACAATGTTAAGTAGAATCTCTGAGATCACTTACCTTGATTTGCTGTCATATTTTTGCAATGATCCCATTCCCTATAATGTACGCGAGTACCCACGAAACATTACATATAAATGACTGCATCCACATAGATCGACTAGCCACAGTGTAGGAGCTAGACTCGACAATCAGCAGGAAACTAGAAACATTTTGTCACCAATGTAGCAAATTGTTTTACTGCTTATTAAATCGTGAATGTCAGTCACATTAAATTATACAAGTATGAGAATAGCATAACGTGTTGATATTCCAGGGTAGCTCGTTTGAAAAATGATGGCGGTGATTGAAATTACGATATCATGTAAATATAAAACAGCAACGAAATATGTGTAGATTTTATTGAAAAACTAGAAAATATACATCACATTCACATATCGAATTTTTCTAAACAAAAAAATATGTAAAACGTAAATAGTACGGCCTGCGGGTCCAATTCCCCCTGTTAGCAATAGCATTGGTCTCGCGTATGTCATACAATTAATATTTGAAACACAACTATATTCGAACTCATGATCGGACTTAAGCAGGCCCGTAGTCAGAAATTCTTTCAAAATCATGCAGTTTTTCACCATTCTGAGCACTTTTCGCATGATTTTTTTGCCAAAAACTGCCAAAAAGCCCCCTCCCCCTTGGCAAAAGCTCCCCTTGGTAAAACCGCCCCCCCCCCTTCCCAGGTAAATCCTGGTTACATGCCTGATAAGTTGATAAGTATGATGTTACTTTATTACCTTGAAGTACACAGGCCTAACTATTTATACATGTTCGGAAAATTGATGTATCTGATGTATATTTCTTAGTTTTTCAAAGAAATCTATAAATATTTCGTAGTGGTTATACTGTTATATATACATCGTAATTTCAATTACCGCCATCACTTTTCAAGGCAAACGAGTTGCCTTGAAATATCAAGACGTCATGCTATATCTTAACTGTTTTTCGATTTACCGTTTCTGTAACTTAGTTTACCATCAGAAGTTGAATAAATAAGATCTTTGCTCAGGGTATTGTTAATCGAATGGTATATATTATGTCAAAATAACGTATGATATGTAAGAGAAACGAGTCAAACAATAAAAAAAACATTTTTTATACTTTCCAACTTTAGTCTTGAATATTCAAGTGGATTTCTGTCAGGCTAGATGTAAGGAATATCCTCTGGCTCAGAGATCAGTGTGGTTCAGTGTATTTCCATGAATTCCTGCTTTTTGAGTGTTCCATTATTTTAAGGTGCTCATAGTCACTGTAGTGTTGATTATGTAGTTCAGGGCATGCATATAAGTAGAGAACTTTTGTCATGTAAAGAGTAGTTTAACATTGGGAATGAACGATAAGTCCGGGACGATAAGTAAGAGCTAGTAAGATATGTGAAATTCTAATGAAGAGTAAGTTCAGTAAGATCGTCCCTGTTGAAACAGTTTCTTATTCTTATTCGGCAAATATTCATTTGTAAATATATGATTTTACACATTATATTTTATTTATTCATATTTATATCATTATTAAAATTGTATAATCTTAATTTATTTGTCTGTTGTTTTGCGTAGAGTGGTCAATTTGATCTAAGGTTTATTTCCAACAGATTGTTTCAACTTCATTTAAAGACCATATATTTAAGAGGTTATATCATATTGAACTTACGATTTCTGTATATCATTTTTTATATTGCAATCACCCCCTCCCACAGCTAGTACTATTTCAGTCCAGTTTATCACCTCCCAGTATAATATTTTTCCAAATTAAATTCCAAGCAAATAATTTAATTATCCCAATTTAAGACCAAGTCAAAGTTTAGTTACATGTAGCATGGGCTTTCAACTAGAAGGGTGGGCAATTCAACTTCCCATTTTTCATACATAAGCATTGTCTTGGTTTTCAAAATTGGAGAATACACATTCCAAGAAAATCTTATTTTGTACTTTCTATTGATGATTTAAAGAAATAACTCAAAAATAAAAAATAAATAAAAACATGATTATCTACATACATGTTGATAATTTTATAAAAATGCCAGAAATCATCATAAGTATGATAATACAGAGCTTGCCCGTAGCCAGCTTTTACCAGGAGGTCGGGGGGGCTTCTTTCCAGGGGGGAGCTTTTTCACAATTTTGGCTAAAAATCATGCGAAAAATTCTCAGAATGGTGAAAAACTGCATGATTTTGAAAGAATTTCTGGCCAGGGGGGAAGCTTCCGCTCCCCTAGCTCCCCCTCTGGCTACAGGCCTGCAGACAGAGAGTGAACATTCTCCCACAAATTATGTTTTTATTGGAATATGTTCTTGAATAGTTACCCACAATGCAATACTCGAAGAGGACTTCTTGACACCTCTTAGGCTATTCTTATTGGTCTTTTTTGTTTACTTTCCTGAGAGATGCATTATGCTATAGGTTTCTCCCCAAGACAATCGATGATGTCATATTGTTATTGCTCATATGATATCTCATATACCATGGATATATCTTGAGAATTACTTTTGGGTATATTATTGCCGAAATATCGGAAATAATCAACAGAACAACCAAACCCCAGAATTAAACACAATCGATTCCTCGGCTAGTGAGGGGAATTCCCATTGAGTCACACAAGGGCCCACAAGCGCCTTAAAGATTCTCGCAATCTTTATCCAATCAGCGTTTGCGAGTGTGTCGGCTCACGTATAAAATGCGAATCCAACTCAAATCCATGCAGGCACTCTTAAAAATTATTACTTGGATTTCCTTATATTGAGAAATTGTACTACTCATTTTAAGTCAAAAATTACTTAAATAATCTTGAACTACTGAATAATTTTTAAGTAATTTTTAAGTAATTCATTTATGGTGAATTTACTAATGCAAGGAGAGAAATTGAAATACTTACTGTAGTAATTGTAATACTCATTTACATAATTAAGCAATTAAAAAACTCAAAATGACAATATAAGTTAAACCTAAGTAAAATGAAGTAAAACTAAGTATTTAACTTTAAGTAATTTTTATACTTGGGAAATACTCAAGTAATTCATTTTTAAGAGTGGGGGTGTATGTGGTACTCGAATAGGAAAGAGCTCGTGAAATCTGAATTTATATGCACATGGTCAATGTTTACACATGTTTGGAGTTATTATTAGTCCATGCACCCCTCACTTTCATAGTGAAGTGACTAATTGGTTTATGTTTACGTTTTAATGTGTTTTGGGTTCCTTGTTACAGCAAGGGGGGCCAGTAAAGTAGACTAACATGTTTGCATGGCAAGTTTTGATCGAATATGTGAGACACTTTAAAACCAGGTAGCCAATCAGGTTCATGATACAAAAATTAACGACCAATCAGATGAACAGGAGGACTTTCAAGTAACTTCAGATTGAATTAATTTCTTCGAAAATAATTAGATCGGCCAGCACAATCGCAAAATTAACACTGAAAGAGGGGGATTTGGGACTTCCTCTTTGGTTAGTAGATGGGTATTATATGTGGTGAAACTCAACATGCAAAAAAGTCCAGAGGTGTCTTGATTGTGCTATCCTATGGCATAGTGCCTCTTTAAACTTAAATTATATTGAAAATTGATTTTTATTAAAAAAAAAACTAAAACAGATACATTTACCAGAGAAGGGAAGCATGGCACTGCTCATTTTGAAAGTCTCATGTTATTACACAGAGTTCGCGGCATGCATGTGGCCAATGCCATGTAGCCACGCTACCACGTAGGCCTATTTGTTCAGACTGAGGGCCTGGGTTTTATTACATGAGTAATATTATTACCTAATTGGTCTACGCCGGGCAACAGAGTATCGAGTTTGAATTATAACGGCTTCCAATCCATTTTATTTAGATGATAGAATACAAATCAATAGAAACTTCTGATTGTGCTCAGAGATTGTGATTGCGTTTCCGGTACAAATGCAACGCGCATGCGCATGACTTGCACATGTTGTTGTAAAAGCCCGGATGTTGCTTTGTAAGTAGATTGTACATTTATTTTTCGATTCTATGTTGATATCTTCAGTTTATGTGAAGTCTGCTTCATATTTCAAAAAGTTTCAAATGCCCCCAGTATATGAGTCCATATTTTATTCTAATTTGTACAAAAATAGGCCTGCATTTTGCAGATTCGTCATTTTTTTATCTCTTGATTTATTTTTCATTTTTTCATGTTCCGAAAATTTAAATGTTTGGAACTTACTTCCTGCGAAAGCTATGTGGATTGTGATATAATAGCTTTCCCACGGCGCACTTGGACAGCTGAATAATAGTGACCTTTAAGGACAGGGTGCATGTTGGGAAATTTTCTGCATTCCTCAATTGAGTCGTTGTTGTGATGCATTAGTCATATAAATCCGACCATCGTATGCTTTATTTGTCATTATTTTTTGATAATTTGGATATTTATTTTTTGTTATTTTCTTGCATACTAGGGTCGTACACACTTCCCGGTTGTAAATTGAGGGAAATGCTTTCCTGGCCTGTTTAGGCAACAAAAATCACACAAATTATGTATTAGAATATGCTCTTCATCGATAATGTATTTAATCCTACCTTACACACGTCAAACGCTTGATAATTGAAGAAGTATAAGAATTTTTCTGGAAACAATTTTTTTCCCCATGTGTAGATGCATTCTGGGTAATGATTGTGTAAAAGTAAAACTCTAGGTGAAGCGAAAAACGAAATTACAATAAATAACAGCAGCCATATTGAGATCGAGATTTCAACTCGAAAGTTTAACATCGTCTTATGACAATTGAATCGCCTTCTCAGACACCAAGGAGGGTGAAGAAACCGAAAACAGATATGTTGGTAATAAATAATTACGATTTCGTTTTGGTTGCATGGTTTCACATTTAGACTGTATTCAGTGACCTTTTTCTATTTCTATTTATTTAAGATGCAACAGGCATATTTGCCCACAATGCAAATTTCAATACATACATTTATATAAAATATTAATATTAAATTATCTATAAGTGTAAAAAGTTACTAAAATAGTTAATGTTAATGTAAAATGCATTCGTTGACTAGAGCTAATGGTAAAATAAGTTTACTAAAAAATTGTCCTTTTATATACATGAACTGACCTGCAGTTATCTACATATTGCTAAGATGGTTAATCACAGAATGTTTGAATGTTGGCACTTGTGAGTCTAAAATGTTCCCAGGTAATTTATTCCATTCAACTATTGTTCTTGGTATGAAACTATATTTATATAAGTCTGTCCTGGTATTGGGGATTATGAATTTGAGGGGATGAGAGTTCCTTGTTGTGACGAATTGGTTTTGGGGTCTGATGTAGGGAGGGATGTTAATGGCTGCTTTTCCATTCATTGCCTTGTGGAAAAGTGTTAGCCTTGCAATATATCTCCTATGTGCCAGGCTATCCCACTCTAGTTGTTTTAGTGCATTGGTGACACATCCAGGCTCCCTAGAGTAGCATCGAGTAACGAAGCGTGCTGCTCTTCGTTGCACCTGTTCTATCATGTGAGAATGATTTGCCCTATAAGGGTCCCAAACCCCACTGGCATATTCAAGATGGGGTCGCACAAGGGCTATGTATGATTGTGCTTTTACTTTCTCAGGGCAATTGTTGAGGTTTCTTCTTATGAATCCAAGTGCTTTATTAGCTTTCGTGGTGGCATGGGTGATGTGGGTATTCCATGTTAGTGAGCTATTGAGGTGTACTCCTAAATATGGATGGCTATCTACCGTTTTGAGATTTTGTCCTAGCATTGTATAATCACATATAATAGGGGTTTTCTTCCTGTGAATGCGCAGGATGAAGCATTTAGAGGGGTGAAATGACATTTGCCAGGTTTCTGCCCATTTCACAAGGGTATTGAGGTCGTATTGTAGTTTAGCAGAGTCGTTAACACTGTTTATAGGCCTATAGAGTAAGCTGTCATCTGCAAAGAGTTTAAGGTTTGTATCCTGGGTCACGTTATTGTTCATGTCGTTAATGAAGAGCAGGAAACAGAGTGGCCCGAGGACAGTTCCCTGAGGCACGCCAGATTTGACTGGGCAGCTTTTACTTGACTGACCTTCAAGAATTACTTGTTGGGTCCTATCTGTCAGCCAAGATTTGACCCATTTTAAAGTTTCATTTCTGATACCGTAATGATCGAGCTTCTGGAGTAGGCGATTGTGAGGCACGGTATCAAACGCCTTGGAAAAATCTAATATAAGGAGATCCACTTGCTCGTTATTATCGACTGAGTGAGCAATGGACTCTACCGTATTTATAAGTTGAGTTTCACATGATCGGTATTTCCTAAATCCATGTTGAATGTCCACAAGTATATTATGTGTTTCCAGATGGGACATTACACTGTGGAAGATTATGTGTTCTAAAATTTTACAAGGGACAGATGTTAACGAGACAGGCCGGTAGTTGGATGCCACGTCTCTCTTACCCTTTTTGAATATTGCAGCCACATTCGCATGTTTCCAATCAAGAGGTACGCTGCCAGTATCTAGGGATTGTTGGAATATAATCCTTAAATATGGTGCTATTTCATTGGCCGACTCCTTGAGAACGCGCGTGGGGATAAGATCAGGGCCTGCAGCTTTGGAGGGGATAAGGGTTTGGAGGAGCTTGATAATGCCATTATTAGTAATATTAATCCTGGGCATTGTGGGGATATTACTAGGCTCCATGGGGGGAAGTGTTGGGTTTTCATTGGTAAATACACTGCTGTATTGGCGGTTTAATATATCAGCCTTTTCAGCAGCGTCAGTGGTTTCTGAACCATCTTGATTTTGAAGAACACTGATTCCAGATGTATCCTTACGCTTGGATCGGATATAATTCCAAAAACGCTTAGTGATGCCAAAGCATGGGGTATTGGTAGGAGAATCTGGGTCAAAATCAAGAAGGTTATTGACATAATTCTGGTGCTCCTTGCGTAATTCATGATGAATGAGCTTTCTGAGAGATTTGTACTTATGCCAATCTTGTTCTAAGTTGCTCCGTTTTGCGGCATTATAGCGTCTCTGCTTTTGACGAATGAGACGCTTTATCCTGGGAGTGATCCATGGTAAGTTTGGTTTACCGCTTATTGTTTTCTGTGGAATATGAGTTTTAACAGAGTTCATAAGTAAGTCCTTGAATGCTATCCAATTCTCGTTTATGTTGAGATCTGCTGATTTGGTAGTAAAATTTCCTAAATTAGTGAGCAGATCTGATTTGACAGCATTCATATCCCCCTTTTTGTACATAAAAACTGAGCGAGGGGGTTTTCTGTGAAGTTTTGCTTTCATGTTAATATCACATAATACAATGTCATGATCGCTAATCCCTGGAAGAATCTCGACCCTTTCAACGAGGTCAGGGTTTGTTGTGAATATCAGATCGAGTATATTGTTCTTTCTGGTAGGTTCGCTGACGACCTGGGTAAGATTAAAGTCATTCACAATGTCCAGCATTTTATTATTTATTGCGTGGCTGTATTGAGAATTGTGTCTAATTTCATGTGAGTCCCACAATATATCTGGCAGATTAAAATCACCCCCGAGAATAATATTTGGGGTGTCCAATCCACGTCCATAAATTTTCGATATAGATTCATAAAGCTGCTCCATTGTTATAATGTCACTTGATGGTTGGCGATAAAATGATCCAATAAAAATATCCCCTTGGTTAAGGGAGAGCTTAGACCATACTATCTCACAATCTGTAGATGCATCCTTTTCCACAGATATTAGGTTACTGTTGACAGCAATTAGAACTCCGCCTTCTCTCAATTTTCTATCCTTACGGTATGGCGGGGGGTTAAGAAATCCTTCATTGAATACAGATTTACTGTCAATATTACTGTCAAGGTGAGTCTCGCTTGCAAGTATGATATCAGGTTGGTGTGTTTCAATCAATTGTTGAAGTTGAAACTGCTTATCACTGCTGATGAGACTGCAGCAATTCAAATTCATTACTCTGATCTGGTGTTTGCGCTTTCGACGAATAGGAACATTGGTGGATGCAGACGAATATGATGAAGATTCCAGGTCAGAGCAGTGTGCATCTGTATCGCTAAGCACACTGAAAGAGTTGGTGGAATTAAATGATGATTCCTCAAAGAAGCTATCAGAAAAATTTGGCAAGGAACATTTAGGGCATATCCAATTGAAACTTCGTAGTTGAAGGAATGTGTTATACTCTTGCGTCGTTACATTCCCACATTTGATATGAACCCACGTTGCACACTCATCACATTCCAATGCACGGTGATTCGAGGCAACCGCCCTGTTGCACTGGCCACATGGAATGTCTCCACTTAATATCAGACAAAGTAGTAAAAGAGGAGATGTGCGATAGGGGGGTATTGCTTTGGAGCCCACTATTTGGTGGTACTGGCGAACTATCGCTATTTGAGGGCTGGATTCGGTGGTAAGATTATGGTGATAATTACGTGCCATAGTCCACTGCAGAACCGCCAGCAGTGCTGCAAATTGGAGTAATAGTCTGTATGCCATCGAAAATATCAAGAAAATGGCACTTCCGGTTTGTAGAAAATGTCAAAAATATATTTCACCTTCACATGGAGGCTTTAATAATGGCGTTGTCTATTCTGAGGCGCTATTATGAAGTGTAAATGTTTATTGGTAGTATCCACTTCAAAATAAGTCTCTTGAGCCTATATTAAGACATAATTTGACTTTTTCTAGAGAATTTGAGTGACCTTGGGAACCATATTGGAAATTGGTTCAAACATATACGAAAATGATTACATTTCTTCAATTATCAAGTATTTCCTATGTTTAAGGTAAGAGTTAATACATTCTAGTTGAAGCATTGGATCCATTATCTTATCTGTGTAACTTTTGTTGAGCATAGAGGGCAGAAAAGCATTTACCGCAATATACTAGGCTTAATATCCTCGACGCAAATGTTGAAAACAAAAATAAAAAACAAATATCCAAATCGTCAAAAAGAAACGTGAAACAACAACATTAAGTCGAGTTCACTTGACTATGATGCATAAGCCGCTGTTTCCTCGGCAGTTCGTCTCATGTACTATAAATTCTCTTTGTGCTCTCTCATGTGCTTCAATTTACACTTGTTGCGCAGATTTTGTATTCCATTATTTTATATATGTTATATGTCTTGATTGGGGTCAAGATTGCAGTAAAAAATCCCATTGACGACCATTATAACGTTTCATTTCATAATATATTCATGGGCACAGATCTAGCTCAGCGAAACAGTGCCCAGTGTTCATTGGAGTCTTGTCTAGCTTGCCGTTACAAAATAAGCATATGGTGACCACACTGTTTTTGAGATAACTGAATCTGGAGAGAGCTACCACCGTAAAGCTACCTGTTTCAGAAAATTATTCTGCTCTACATAGTCTCAAAAATCACTCCGCCATCTATAAAAATTCTGTTTCTAACCAAACTTATAAATGTTTCCTGATAGATTAGTACTTACCCTATCGAAAATAAACCTTGATTCATTTATCAAACACTAGATGGCGCTGCGACGGGACAGAAAAGGAGAAAAGCTTTTTTATACAGAAAACCAAATAACCAACGGTAACCGCTAGTATCCCTACTCCGGACTATATTCTTGTCTCTCTCATAAAAGAAGAAATTATAATTATAGTATTAAATCACTGTATATATATATTCAGTCACTTTCTGTTTATACAGCCACTATCTGTTCATACAGTCATTTTCTGTTTACACAGTCACTATCTGTATCGTGTTTGTGGTTTGTTATATTCTTTTGGTTGTTTTTAAGTATGCCATTATACAATTGTTGACCTCTCCAGAGGTCAACCGGCAAAATTGTATACCGAGACTGTAAACCGAGAAACTACTGTTGACAGAGACCGAAGGTCGAGGTCAACAGTGTTTCAAGGTTTACAGTCGAGGTATATGATTTTGACGGTTGACCGAATGGAGAGGTCTACAATTGTTTTGTTAGTCAGAAGAAACTAATAATACTCATATATACGACAGTCATCAATCATGGCTTCATTTCACAATCTTTTCTACGAACCACGCCAGCAATAATTTAAGAAAAATCTGAAGACAGTGGAAGCTAAACTCTCTGTTTTCGGCACATAACTGCGTACTCACTAGTAAATTAATGTTAATTTTGCGTTTCTATTTGTATTGTTGCTATACTCGTCGTGTAGAAAAGTCAAAATATCACTTTCATCAACGTGTACAAAATGTCCGACTACCATGTTTTTTTCTGTAAACATTGTGACGTCATATTTCCCATAATTCACAAGTGTAGTACAGTAACATATGCGGTCAATAATATGATATCCCATGATGCACAAGTGAGGTACAGGCAAAAATGTTGACCGCTAATTGACCAATCAGATGCGAGTATTTACACTGAGGTACTAACAATAACAAATGTCTCATACTTTGATTTTGCGTCCTGTTTAGTGATTGATTAAATCCTGAGAGCAATTTTAGGTCAGTAGATGGGTTGGGGCTCTCTACCCCTAAAAGTATAGTCTCTGCCTTGTGGAGCATAAGTTCACGGTCTTCCTGATTTAGTTCACACTCAAAGATATAATGTTGGACTGTCTCTGCCCGATTACAGTGCTCACATAGATTGGAAATGTCAGTTTGAACTTTTGCTAGATGGTGATTCAGCTTTGAGTGACCTGTTATGATTTGGTTTATTTTGCAGAATTCTGTTCTATTGCTCTCACAGAGATTATTTTGTACATCTACAGTCTCTATAATCTCTTGGATGAATTTAACTTTTGTAGAATTGTCATAAAGATTCTGCCATTTTTTCAAGGCAGTCTTTTTAATGGTTCTGTAGACCTCCTCTTTGCTTTGTTTCATGGAGGTTATTGGCAGGGTCGCTGCTTCCGCCGCTGCTTCCTTGGCATATGTGTCGGCTAATTCATTGCCTTGAATTCCGAGATGACTTGGCACCCAGTAGTAGGTTTAATACATTGCAGCTTGCACATGTTATTTTTCAAACATGAATACAGTGCTGGTATATATTAATTGATCAGTCGTTTAATTGGCATATTTTCTTGAATTTTAACATTTAATGTCCCAAACTCCCACAAACTGCAGAAAAGTATACCCCATAAATCATATTTACCAAAATGAGTGTCTCCAAGGCTTCACACCAGCGTATGCATAATGCATTTGTCACGAGTTTGAGCTGAAATTTCGCCAAAATGAAGTAGGCTAAGGGTAGTCTCTGCCAGGTTTGTTTATTGTGGTAAGCTTGTAAGGGCTCAGAAGCAAATAATTCACGTGCGCAATATAATCAAATAATCTAATTGGTCTAAACTTTGCTGCACATGCGCATAATGTGTGCCATGTTTTTTTCTAGTGATTTCGTTTCGTTTCATGGAGTTTGCGTTTCAGTGTAACTTCCTTAAAAATGGCGGACCATGGACAGAATTAACAGGTAAAATCACTTCGAAATTTCAAGAGAACTTTTTATGTATAATAGCAAAACTTTTGTTTTATTTGTGCATTCTATCTATCAGATAAGAGTTTCAGGGGTATGTAGGCAAATTCATTTTAGTAGGAACACTCTGTGTAGTTTGAAAACGCACCCTATATTATTATATATCAGCACTGTAACTCCTTCCCCACATTGTCTTCATCTTCCAAGTTTGCACAAAGAGTGCACTCCTGTGCCTAGAAAAGCCTTGTGAGAAGGTTTGTTTTGTAAAATGTATAAAAAATGAGAAGATATAGACAATGAAGGGAAGGAGTGATTCTTGTTTGAAAAATAACATGTGACTCAATTGAGGAATGCAGAAAATTTCCCATCATGCACCCTGACCTTAAAACATGAATAATGAGATCCGCAGCTTACTTTTGGTCTCTAACTGTATCTTACATGTATCATCAATACTTCTTTTTCAATCAAGACTTGTAAATTGTTCATCGAGTGAATGTTTTTTCGACCCATTTCTAATATGGCTATTTGCTAGGAGTGAGATACGCAACAAATGAAATGAATTTTGAGAATGAGTTAGGTTCGGACAACCTCCGGAGATTTAGAATGATAACCCATATATGGTAATATTCATGTAATTCCAGGTTAAAATACTCAAGTATTCAATCACTCAGTCGCACAAAAAACCATCATGTCTAGAGGAGGAAGAGCAAACAGACCACCTGGCACTAAGGTTTTTATTGGAAACTGCCCAGAAGAATGTACAAATGATGATCTCAGGAGACTATTTGAAAACTTTGGCAAAGTAGCAGAGGCTGATACAGTCGAAGGCAAAAACTTTGCATTTGTGGTAAGTAGGAAATTTCAAATCCAAGATTTGATAAGGATTTGAGCTTGCTAAAGGTAAATAACATGGCAGTCATTTTGCTTGTCAAAGTGTGATATTTATTATTTTGTGTCTTATTGGTTACTAACTAATTCTTCGAGGAATTGGAAATATTATATGAAGTATAATGTATAACGTGCTGGTAGCAATCTTCAAAAAGGATGCCAAATTTAATTCCAATCAAAATTTTATATGCTAAAAAAAGTTTGAAGATGCAAAAAGTACAAATTCATTGGGGTTGAAAAGGGGCAGATAAAAAGTCAGAACTGTTTGAATTTCTTGAAAAAATTGCTGAAAAATTTATGTCAATTTTTTTCAAAACTCGTCTATATCCCCTTCATAATTTAAAAGAGAAAAGTCATAGAATCAATCCTTATTCATATGAGACTGGTTGTACTTTGTGTTTTGTAGCACTAGTCGAAGAAACAATTCTTATTTATATGAGACAAGTTGTACTTTGTGTTTTTTAGCACTACTATGCTCCAGAAGATGCCAAAAGTGCAGTAGCAGCCCTGCATAAGTCAGAGTTCTTGGGAAAAGAAATCAGAGTAGAGGTAAGCCACATGTTATTAAAGGGTAAGCTTCTTTTATAAACACAATATGGTGGCTCCTGGCAAGTCAACTGGATCAGTCCATTTTTAACAAAAATTCCAGTTTATTGAAATGGAAACAATATCCATTACGCTTTAATGGGTCAGCTCAAATATCAATGTAACTGTTATTTTTGGCTTACATAGCTTGTAATCCAAGAAATTTACCAAAAATTAAATGTGTGCCTTTTTCTCAACCAGTGTCAAGTTTTAGTTTTGAGCTAACTTTCAGTACAGTAAAATCTCTACTTTTGTAATATAAGAAATTATAATAATTAGCAAAACGTTCATGTTGAAGTTGTTTAATTTAGAATTTAAATGGCGCTATACCGTGAAATAGTTTTTTAATGATCTGGTAATTTCAGTAGACTAAAATAACAGCTTGTTGATATTTCGTCTTTTTATACACATATGGTTTGCTCTGTTGCAGTTGTCAGACATGTCCAAGAAAAAGCAAAGCGGTGGTGATGATGACAAGTGTCGCGTGTGTGGAGGCATTGGTCATTGGGCGGCTGAGTGCCCTTCGTCAGGGTAAATATTATTAAATTTTTATTTGGCATGCACTTTTTGGTACACCCTGCTCATGTATATTACAATAGTACAGTTTATTATACATACATACTAATAGTATATGAACTATACATAACTACTTGTTTTTCAGAAAAATAAGATGATTAAAATTACTCACTTAGACACATCAGTAGAAATGACAAAAGTAGTACGACTGAAATTGAAAAATAGACAAATTATATCAAGAAATATTTATTCCATGTGGCAATACTTGCAAGTGTGCATCTATACATCACAGATGTCCATCTAAACCAGTTGCCAAGATTGAACCAAGCACTTTATTGTTGTTCAACATAAATGTTGTAAATATTGTTCAACATTTTCGTTACAACTGTGCAACATATGAATCTTTACATTATGGCCACCGTTGAATCTTTGCAATTAATCATTACAAAAGCCTTTATAATTCCTGGTTCTCTTACCAAAATTCCCAAAACAACAGCCATTAGTTGTCGATGAGGCCCCTGCATATTAGTTTGAATTATTTGAATTTATGCGTTTACAATTTGATTCAGGAGAAGTGGTGGTTTTGGCGGAAGAGGAGGAGGTAGAGGACGCGGTGGAGATAGAGGTGGATTTAGAGGAAGAGGTGGTGATAGGGGAGGAAGAGGTGGATTCAGGGGAGGTGATCGTGGTGGCTTCAGAGGTGGAAGAGGTGGAGACAGGGGAGGATTAAGTGGAGGACTCCGAGGAAGAGGACGAGGATATCCCCAAAGAGATCCTTATGCTGATCCTTACGCTGCAGATCCATACGCAGAAGACCCATACGCATATGCTGATCCTTATGCTGAAGACCCATATGCAGAGGAAGATCCATATGCTGTGGACCCATTCCAACAAAGAAAGGCAGCTGGGAGGTTTAATCCATATGAACGAAGGGGAAGAGCAGCCGCAGCTGCTGATCCTTATGCCAGACCTTCCCCAGACTATTATGCTAAACAAAGGAGAGCTCCAGCTGCCATGTAAGCATTCTTAGTGGGTTTATAACTGTCCAAAATTATTCCAAACAAAAATTTCATACCACATTTATTCTAATCTAATGAACTGTTCATTTTGCTTCATGTTTCATTAGTCAATTGTGTCCCAAATACTTCCATAATGATCCAATATTGAGGCCTTTATCTCGTATCTGAAATTTAAGACCTAATTGTGATAAGTCAGTCTACAACACAGTTTTGTAAATATAAAACAAACTTTAAATCCCAATTCATTTTTTATTTATTTCAATGTGATTTTAGTGACCCTTATGCTGAGTACGACCCATACGCTGAATAAACAAATACACAACATGTAAGTAGAAAATGTTGTAATTGTGGTATTCAGTCTAAAGCACAACTCCAAGAATTACTTTTTAGAACCTCAGTTTATTACAGAGGCAGTTACCTGATTTGTGGTGTTTTTAGAGGCTGTGCATTAGATTGTACATGGTTATTGATTTGGTTTTTATCTGGTGTTGGCAAATCAATGTTGTAGTTTCTAACGTGATTATTCGATATAGATTTTGGTGGAACAACTATAGTTATTGCGATTGTTGCGAACATTTTTAATCTCTGAATGTTTGACAATAATAAAAAATATCAATGTTTTATGCCATGTGACATTCTCTATTCCTGCCGCAGAAGACATCTTTGATGCAACGCCGATTCGCCAGCCGAACCATCGATACAACCCTATCGGCCTATCGAATCGTTAATTAATGATCGAAAAGATAATCCCAATTGCATTGTTCTGTAAAACTTATATATGCTGATCAAATCTGTAGCTAGTACATGAGTTGGGTGTATATACCAATAATGCAAGAAGATGTGTCAAAATCAGATGAAAACTTAACCGAAATGTTCACCTTATAGCTTCTTCAGCCATATACAAGTTTTACTAGATTTTTGAATAATGTCCCAAGATATTCTTTTGCCAGCGACTCAATGATCGATGAAACACGGATACTCGATGGAGATATAGACCTGGCGATGCAAACAACGAAAACTCAAAAGTGACTTTGAAAATAGATTTTTGATATGTGTTTTCTCGAAATCATTTCCTTAATACTTCGAGACGCAACCTTTGAGCGGAACATACAGAACATCAATAGTAGTACTTTTGTGTATGAATTGTATATATTAAAACCATGCCATGTCATCATTCTCTTGACAGCTTACAGAAGATGCCTTCATCCGATACCGAATAAGTATGCTCGGCGCAGTGAAACAACAGTAAACGCCAAATATATTTATATGTTTATATTATATTTCCCAGAGAACAAAGACCGCCCGATAAATCTACAATGCCTCCGGGAGAAGAGTTCAACAATTTCGACCGAAACATGCGGATGAAACCGGTTAACCAAAGAGTAGAATATCGAAGCGAACTGTAAAAGACAATAGGAAAAGTCTAAAAGACGAATCATAAACAGTGTACATATTTTTACATGAACTCTTAATTGTTAAGACTGGTCGTCATTGCGCACATAGCGAGTCATTTTGGCCCAGAATATACCGTCATGTAAACTCATTGATATATGTTGTCTTAATCAACAAAATGTACATATTTACATTATTTGTGTTATCATAGTCATCATCCCTAGAAACAATGTTTTTAGTAATTTACCTGTGTAAGTACCATTGAACGCTTCGTCCTAAGAAAGATGATCTACATAATGAAACCGTATTGTCATTTGGCGTGACAGTTGATGTTATCGTTAACGTTAACATCTCATTTTTACCAACTTTTAAACATTTTAGTTTACTGTCATATGTATGATAACCACTTCAATGAACACAAGCGATTATAATTATGGCGTTAGTAAAAGCGTAAAACAATGACGGTTTTCTTAAACATAGTATCGTTGGGAACATCACTGATCATGTAAAACTGTAAATGTCATTTCGCCAACCTTTTGTAAAGTAGGAAATAAAATTCTGTATGTTCATTTTACATTATTTGTTTGTTTGAAATTAAAGCGACCGAGAGCACCGTCAACCATGTTCATCCCATAATATTCTCTTTTCAGCATCTCATAATGATCTATGATCAAAGAAATATCGGCGTTTTACAACATGGATTTAGTCTAAAAGATGTATCTATAAATACAATGATTCATTACTATTCCGTCATTTACTGCATATCAGAGAGTTGTACCATATATGGGCATCATATAATTTTATACTCTTAAGTCTATCATGTAGTGATTTTTGATCAATATCGTTGAAATTGGAGATTCTCCGATGATTGCTAAACATTCCCTTAAACTGCTGTTTCATACGTTAAATATATATTCCATCAAGCTGTTATTTACTCAAAACTAGATATGATAGATTCTGTGTTTATGCATTTTTGAATACAATTTGTGTTTGAAAATATTGTGGATAGTGATCTAATGTTATCCCCTATTTTTCTAATCTAATGAGAATGAGAATAAGGAGAAATGTTAGAAAGAAAAGAGAAGGTTTACAAAATTTTTATGTGCGCAGAAGACCTGCACAGTAGCCTACTTGAAAAACATTTGAAACGAATCTTTGAATTTAGTTCATCCAATTTGAACAATTTTGAGAGAAGATTAGTTTAGAATGATCTGGAAAGTACCCATTGATACATTTTGAGCATCCTTTTCTTGGCATTTAAGTTTGAGATTTACTTAACTATCACCCACTTGATTCCTTTTGAATTTCTGTAATATATGGTCATTCCTCGATATTTCTTGAACTCTGAGAAAGGGGGTGGGCACTTATTATTATTAAGGGAAGGGTCCTTATTACAGAGATAATGGTATTATGAATTATTTGCCACTGTGAACTGAGTTCAAATTCCCGCTGAGAGATATTCACTGCAAATATGAATCTGGAAATTGAAAAGCTCCACTAAAAAGTGCCACAGGTAGCAAATTCTAGCACAAAATCACACCGGAATAGCCTGACAACGGTAAAGTCAGGTACCCTTGTCACAAATGGCGGACATAACTGTCGTTTCAATTACATTTTCATGAACTGTATGTTTAATAGAGTACTTTGACTAAATTCCTTTGGAACAACAATCAATCAAAGTGTCTTGATACTCATTGTACAGTTAATAATGTTCTACCAGCAAAATAAACTCTTAAATTTAACCGATCAAAATGAGATACGGGACAACCGAAACTGTATTACCACATGCCGTTGTCTTTGTAAATATTTCAAATTCAAATTCTGTTGTCATTGACGATATCGAAGACACTATATTGTGACAATTGACGACCCAGTTTGATCGAAATTGGGATCTCATATGATACATCATTCTAAGAGCTTAATACATGCATAGAATAAGCAACGATAAAGTCCCTTAAAATGAAGACCAAGTGATTGAAGGGTTCAAGCGACAGCTATGTCGGCCATTTATGGTATCTGACTTTACCATTGTCAGGCTACTCTGGTGTGAAAATGAATACTTCTAGCTTTTCTTCATTGTTATTGAGAGTATCATTTATCCTCACCAAAGAAAATCATGAAATGTCTAAAACGAATACACACACATACAATATAACTTTCTTCATAAATAAAGGAAAATTAAGAAACTGACTGCTCGACCGACCAGCGGCACCAAAGTCATCGTATATGTAGCGCATCGATATGTATACAGATCGGACTGTAACAGTTTTCGTTGTTTAGGACCAAGGTACGTAATATTGATGCGAAAGAAAGGCTGATACTGATTTTGTTTATTCCACCGAACGAAGTTTGTTGTGGTATAAAGAAGTGGTACCTTTATTTGTCTCACTCAGATTATATATTGGTTCATGGATTCTGTTCAAAGGATAGGTATCGATATGGTGAACTGAATTCAACAACGGTCATTGATTGACAACAATTTAATGTGAGAATTATGTTTTATATATAATTTATATAATTGTTTTTGATCACATTTTTTGGCTTTTAGTTTTTTGTTCCTTTCTACCAATTTTTTAGAATGAAAAACACAAAAACAAAAACTATTCAAAAAATTGAAACAAAAACCCCCAAAAATAAAAAATAAAATAATCCTTTTATTTCATGAACAAAATACTATTCTTAAATGAATCAAACTTTCCTTTGTAGAATTACAATATTGAGAGACCTAAACATGTTACATATATGTCATTTTGTTAAAATGAGGTTCGATATGGCAAACTTTTAGAACACACGTTTCTCGTAAACCAGTCATCAAAAAGTTCTGAAAATTTTACACATTGTCAATTTAATGGTCATCTTTTGAATGGTAACAATATGATTTGAAAAATATATGTATACTTTCATCTATATTGTTTTAGAAAACACATCAAACACTTGTTTTGTTCTTGGTGTCATGTTTCCAGAGTGAAATGAAACATCTTTCCAAACCTCATTGAACAAAACGACATAAACACAACATGTTTAGGTCTCTCAATATTGTAATTGTACAAAGGACATTTTGGTTGATTTTAAAAAAGTATCTTGTTATAATGAAATAAAAGGTTCATCTTGGTTTTTATCTATTTTTATTTTTTTTTAATTGAATACTTTTTTAAAATCAACCAAAAATTCCTTTGTATAACTATAATATTGAGAGGTCTAAAAACATGCTGTATATGCTATTTTGTTCCAACAAGGTTTGGAAAGACATTTTATTTCATTCTCAAGAATTGGTAGAAAGGAGCAAAAACAATTGCACTAAAAAAACAAAAAATGTTAACAAAAACATTTACCGTATTTGCCGTAATTGGCGCCCATGTTCCTATTAGCGCCCCCCCAGACTTTTGGAGGCCCGAGTGTGAGTCCCTGGTTGAAGAATCAACGATCATTGTGGTCAAACGTAAGAAATCAAGTGGGCGATAATAGGGTCCCGACATGTAATTCCAAAACGAGGCTGAGAAAAAAATTCGAATTCGATTCAGCAGGTATAAGTCCGTTTTCCTATAGATTTATCGAGTAAAATACCGATGTAAGTACATATTTTATATTCCATTAGTGTAGCAAAATGAGTGGGATAGGTATGAACCCCACGGTCCATCCAAACGTGGCGAATTTCACGAACCAAAATTTTCTTCCAATTTTTTTCTAAACTGAAAGTGAAACTCCGGCATCTTTTCTCAGGCGGGACTCATATGGGCGCTAATAAGGACAACTTTTTGAACTGTTTTGACTTACTTTAAGCGCCCGGGCGCCTACTACGGCAAATACGGTATATAAAATATTTCTAAATAATTTTTGCATTAAATTTTAGTCAATCAGTCAACATTACATAAAATACCGTGTTTTTTACAGAATGTTTTCAATGATTGGTTTAAGAGAAAAACATTGTTGAATTCAGTTCTCCATATCAATACCACTCCTTTAATTGTTACCATTTAAAAATGACCATTAAATTGATGTGTAAAACTTTCAGAATTTTTTGATGAGGCTCAAATATCATTTGACAGATTTTGTTCAAATCCTATATGCTGATGTTTAGGAACATTGGAGCTCTGCTCAAGAAATTTTCAAGATGGTCCCTGAATTTCAAAATAGCCGCAATATTTTATGGAATTTTTTTAATGCGGATGCCATGTGGACAAAGAAAACTGCTCAAGGAGGAATTTTCAAAATGACTGCTGAATTCAATTTCATAATAATATTTTTGCTTTTCTATCATATAAATGTCCAAATGATGAGGTATTTGATAATATATGTATTGTTCGGTGGGATTCACTCCTCCCTGGAGTTGCTGTTTTCTAATATAAGTGAAAATTTATAAAAGTGTTTTCGAAAATTACTGTAAAATTCCGCAAAAAGATACGTTAGATACAAATGAGGGGTCTGTAATCGGTGTAGACCTAACTTCGTTACTGCTGAAATGATTAACAATTACATTTTGCATCACCATAAATTTGCATGCTATTGCTCAACAGGAATTTTATAAGCATCGGGTGATTTTTTAATTTATATTTAATCATCTGACACTTTCCTGTGGTAAATTCAAATCCTCAAACATATTTATAGCAGTATATGGCATAATTCTTATGACCCCTATTTTGTTAAAGTTTGTATATAACTGTACTCAATATTTTTTTGTTTTTAACTTTGCTTTCCTTACTGGAGTAAAATATTCAATACAGTCTGGCCAATTGTTTTCATTCAAATAGTTAGGATTTGTAACATTTTTATTAACCTCATTTTTGTGCAGTTCTAAACAATCTTGGGGAAATAAATTGCTAAATATAGATCCACAAAATAGGATAGATTATTCAATCTTCATATAGTAAAGGTTTAAACAAATTTTTGCCTATAAATATCTCATTAAATGCAACTAAACTGAAATTTAATGGTAAAAGAAAATTATTTTCAGGATTGGTGATGATTAGGAACCCTATTTGTCACTCCCTTACTGTTCCCTATGGATTCTGGATGCCTTTCATCACGCAAGGTGTTCTGAACTGACCAAGGTAAACATTAATTCTTTATTCATTTTATTACATTATTTATTATCTTATCAAACGAAGTTCGGAGGGATATAGGGAACGCCTCCGTCCGTACGTACGTACGTCCGTCCGTCCGTCCGTCTGTCCGTCCGTCCGTCCGGGCAATAACTCAAATACCGTTGGCACGATTTTGTTCATATTTTGAACACATATACCCTATGGGGGTAGAAGTTCTGCTCGAAAGCCAATTTTCAAAATGGCCGCTCATTTCAAAATGGCGGCCATTTTAGTGACGATTTTACAGTTATTTAGGTGCAATATGTAAAACTGTAATAGCAATATGTTTTAAATGTAAAAAAATTATAAAGGACATTAATAATGCTACAAATGTAGATATTAAAGAAGCACATGGCAGCCATCTTGAAAAATGGCGGCCTTTACTCGTCATTTTACGATTTTTGCTGTTACTCAAAAAGTAGTGGAGCGATTTTGTTCATATTTGGTATGTGAATACTATAAGCATTGCACACTGTCTGAAGGCACTTTTGGTAGAAGGCGGCCATTTTTCAAAATGGCCGCCATTTTAACGTATTTTACTATAACTCGAAAAGTAGTGGAGCGATTTTGTTCATATTTGATATGTGGATACTTTAAGCATGGCACATTGTCTAATAAAACTTTAGGGAGTAGTCGGCCATTTTGAAAAATGGCCACCATTTTTATGTGTGTTATTTTTTTATGTGTGCGATTTTTCAAAAATTTTAGAGGTTGCTACTTAAAAGCATATTATTTCTTCTGATGACAACTTGGCTAGTGAGGAACCATTTTGAAAATGGTGGCCTTTCTGGTGTGTTGTTTTATGATATTTGCGCTTCGTTTGTAAAAACGCCAGCCATTTCTGTTCGATGGGATTCGCTACGCTTTGGCGTTGCCGTTGCCATTGTTCTGGTTATATCCGTCCTTATGTAAGTCCAATATTTTTCTGGAAAACCGCTACAGATATCTCCTTCAAATTTTCAGGGACAACTTATGAGTTCATACACATATGGTAGAAAAGGTTTTGACTCTAGACCTACTTCCTGTCGACCATTTTGAAGTCATATGCTAAAATCCTTATCTGCAAACGGCTTCACAGTTGCTTTTAAAACTTTAACATCCTGTTGAGCCCACTTTATTCTACATCTGATCAGGTGTTGGACCTGTTAGCTCAGTCATTGCAGCCATTTTGAATGTCTTAAGAAAAGTTAGTGAGCAATCATATTAGAATGGTGTTTTTTAGTTTTCATACTTAAACTATTTAGTAGCTTTATAAATAATTTCAGGTGTTGTAAAAGCCTATGTTATTGTTAACAGTAGTTGTATGCGATAATTTTTCAAAAAGAAATCTGCAAAAACTCCCTAATTACTTTTTTACTGTCAGCCATTTTGGATTCTTCCATCCTAAAATCTTGTCTGTAGTCTTGTCTATGTGTTTTCAGGTGAACCGTTTGGTAGATCAATTTTAAATTTTTAGGGATGATTATTAGTATGAAAATCTAGAACTGATTATTTTTTGGCACTCTGGGTAAATGTCAAGACAGCCATTTTGGATTTTCCATCCTAAAATCTTGTCTGTAAAGTCTTGTCTACACATTTTCAGGTTTATCAGGACATATTATTTCAAATTTTCAGGGCTGGTCATTAGTATGAAAATCTAGAATTGATTACTTTTTTGGCTTTCTTGGTAAATTTTAAAGTGGCCATTTTGGATTTTCCTTCCTAAAATCTCAAACTACTTAGTTTTTGGGCAGTTCAGCTTTTGAAGGCGGCCACATTGGATTTTTCTCTTAAAATTTAAGTCCTCAACTGATTAGTCTTAGGCATTCAGGATGTGCTACCCTATTTCTCACTCCCTTACTGTTCCCTATGGATTCTGGATGCCTTTCATCACGCAAGGTGTTCTGAACTGACCAAGGTAAACATTAATTCTTTATTCATTTTATTACATTATTTATTACTATATCCATCCTTATGTAAGTCCAATATTTTTCTGGAAAACCGCTACAGATATCTCCTTCAAATTTTCAGGGACAACTTATGAGTTCATACACATATGGTAGAAAAGGTTTTGACTCTAGACCTACTTCCTGTCGACCATTTTGAAGTCATATGCTAAAATCCTTATCTGCAAACAGCTTCACAGTTGCTTTTAAAACTTTAACATCCTGTTGAGCCCACTTTATTCTACATCTGATCAGGTGTTGGACCTGTTAGCTCAGTCATTGCAGCCATTTTGAATGTCTTAAGAAAAGTTAGTGAGCGATCATATTAGAATGGTGTTTTTTAGTTTTCATACTTAAACTATTTAGTAGCTTTATAAAATCTTTATCAAATCATTCATCCAAAGTTGATTTTGTGCATACTGCTTGCACTGAGTCCAAAAACGCAGTTCTTTTTTTTTCGGGTCCAAGGGATATATTTTGCGTCTATGTTATGTAAGGACAGCGTTATTGAAAACCTAGATATTCATGTTTTGAGAACTAGTGGTTTGGGTGGAAGGAACAAGTTAGCAAGGTCGAAAAAGATGGAAAAGGTCTTTTTTCTACTTGCTTCAAATTGACCAATTTTATTTTCAAAATCATCTAGTTCTCAGAAGTTCAAATCTGACTATAGATTTGAGATTTGACCTTCAATCTCTTTCTCAAGGTCAAAAATGACCTTTTCCATCTTTTTTCAAAATGATCAGAAGTTCAAATCTGACTAAGATTGAACTCAAAATATTGTGATCAACTAGGTGGAGACATTATGTCATGTTAATGCCTTGTTTATAGACTTATATTGTACTGACACTAAGATTACTTTTGAATTAATTACCCAAAACCTGTGGTTTATTTAAGAAAAAAAAGTAATTGTGAGGCATGTACATTGTCTTATTATCTTAAAGTAAAATCTGACAATTTCTATAGCATAACAATATACAGATTAACCATCCATTACTAGATTGTTTGTTTATTGATCAATAGAATGAACACACTTTACATTTTAAGATAAATTAACTGAAGGGACATCATGTGATGTATTAGACATCTGACGATGTATTTGTCTCCAATTCACATGTCGACTTGGTCCACCGCATTTTAAGAATGCCAGGTTTGTGCAATTGTAAGTCTCCTTGATATCACATTGCCCCAAAGAATACTCATCACCTTCACACTTAACCTTGACAACAGGCCATGCAAACTCTTTAGGCCTGTATATATGATGTCTCCTATGGGTATTATGGAACCGTTTCTGTTGAATGTACCTTGCCGCATCTTGGGTTGATACAATAACCTCATTAATTGTGAGGGCTCTTCTACTGTTTGTAGCAGCAAAACAAACAACACCCCCAGTTCGTTTATCCATACCATCCCCACAAATCCAACGCCATTGACTTTTTCCTACATCAACCATAATCAGTGAATTCTTAATAAGTTCACTCGATGATCCCTTCTTTCTAGGCTTCCAAACATCCAGTTGATGACAATACACATTGGCTTTTGTCCCATCCAAACAGGATGCTTCATCACCAAGTTTAAAGGTACATTCAGCAATATTCATTTCATCTCCGTTACATTTGACATCACTCATTATGATTGTGTCATTTCTGCCACCTAAGATGTTAGTGGTGTCAACACTGGCATACTTGGCTCCACCTGGGGGAAATTTTTATTATTAGGGAGTTTAAGCTTGCACATAAAATCGAAACACCAACCTATACGTATGACCTATCGCCCATACAAATGCATCGCTTAAATTTTACATTCACATTTAGGTTGTGAAAAACATTGCTAGCTTAAACTCCATATGGATTATTCTATAAACCATATTACAAAAATTACATACATTTAATCAGCAAGAAACATTTTAGCAGAATTAACAATCCAAATATTTTTGTTTTCATGAAAAGACATTATCAGTTACTACCAATTGATGTGGATCAGTTTGGTGAACTATTTTGAAGTACTATTTTAACTTAAAGCTCTCATATGCATGTGTTAACCTCTTGACTACCTGGAGTGACAAGATTTATAGGTCACCTTAGAAATGACCTTGAGACCCAGAGTGACGAGAAAATCGGTCACAAAATTTTTCACTAAAATTGCTCTTATTTGAACAATTTTCATCCAATTTATACAAAAATTGTTTTTAAATGTGTAGAAATGATCTCTGCTGTCTAATTATTCTAAGTTGAGCAGTGAATTTCAAAATGTAGCAAAAATGAAAAAGTCTCTGGTTTCAACTGATATTACAGCCTGGGATTCAAGAGGTTAATTGTCACCCTTTAATCTTTTTACTTAACCTCTCATGCAAACACTTTCAGCTTGTCTGGTTAGTGTTTTTTAGTTTTGCCTTTATTCTTTTGTGATCGTACATGTAAATTTATTAATGGTGAAAACGCTCAATTTGTAGCTTTAATGTCATACTTTGTTTGAATATATGATTGAAGAAAGTCACCTTAAATAATGATTTACTTATAATGATCACTTACGATCAGCTTGATTGAAGGCTCCGGCTTGTCTACACAGGACTTCACTTTCCTTAATGCCCCAGCCTGTCGCACAAACAGCCCCTTTCTGATCATCAGATATATACACCTCTACTTGACCCATGTAAGGAAACTCAGGCTTTGCTTGGATGTATTCCTGGATGCCTGTTTGATAAAGGTAGTGTTTCATTATGAAATAAATTATTTGTGATTCTATGCCAAAAAGGGTAGGTTCATGCCCTGTTCAAACCACTTGTTTTTAATATAAAGGTATGTCGCTAAATTGTACAATCAAAAGATTCTTTTCATCCATTTGATAATATAGTTAAGACATAGGGCTGTGGTAAAGCTAAATGATTCTTATATATGTGCCATAACCTTGAACAGGATGTTTGTATAAGGAATTGAAATCTTAAACATAACAATATTTCTACCTGGCTGATGGTCCAAACATTTTACTCCTACATTTTGGTATTCACAGGTTGTGCCCTTCAAGTCATGCACCATACATAAAACACCAGAATCAATATCATCACATTTAAACTTTAGTACATTTGTTTCTAGAGGTGTGAGTTGGTCGTAATAAAATGGAATCCCATTTTGAGGAGAGAATCCTAGATTTTCACAGATCACACTTGCTTCTTTCTTAGTCCATTCATCATTACAGAGTGTTTTATTCCACAACACTGGTTTGCCCATAGCATCAGCATCATCCTTCAAATGGATTCGTACATTTTTGGACATGTCACATGCCATATATACTTTATTGCAAAATGTCCCCTCGTATCCAACAGGTCTGACCCTCCATCCAAAATTATCACATCCATATAGATCATCCTCAGTCCCGTTACATTTTAGTTTTGTATAAACCTGACCAAAGCTTGATTCTCTGTATTTGTATATAAGCATTGTTTTAACTTCAAGGCCTAGTTGTTTGCACAAGACTTTTGACTCTAACATCCCCCACTCATGACTACAAATGGGTAACCATGTGTTGTGAACATAAACCTGTATATCGCCAAATTTTTCTTCACTCAGTCTAATCAATGAAACATTACATGATACAGCAGCTTTTTTACAAGTAGTTAGTGTTGCAATTTTCCATGTAGAATGCCTACATTCACTTATGTGCTTCTCAGAACCTTTACATTTCATATCTGTTTGAAGAAATTGTTGACTTGATGGTAGGTATAGTGTCCGTTGATCAATTATTGCCACATCCATTGTTGAGTTATAGCCAAGTTGACGACAAACTGGTCTTGCAAACTCAATGTCCCATCCATTAAAGTGGCACACTAGGTACCATGTGTCATTAACAAAGACTTCCAGATTTCCATGGGAACTTTCATTTAACCTTATGACAGCCTCGGAAACAGCTTCTAATGAAAAATACAGCATGATACACATGATAAGCAAATACTTACATCGAACAAAAAGCTCATATTTCAATTTATCGAAAAAATGCAAAAGTTCATTTTTGAATTTTGGAATATCCTATGTCTACGGACTGCAATGAAGAACATGTCAGTGGACAAGCTATTCCACAGAGGAATTCCTTTGCACTATAGCAGTCACTGTAAAATGTCTGACTCTCTGAACAAACTCATCCAGATATTTGGAACCCAATAGTACGATCATGTGATCAACATTCCCTTATATTGGTATCAATATTAGAAAGTCATAAATTTTGAGGAGTATTTTGCAGGGTTAAAAACTAAGAATCCCTTACAACCAACTGCAATCATTTTTTATCATGGCGATGAACTTTGAAAAGTATGTTCAGTATGTTCAATAATGGCGATAATGTTTTCAGCCTTAGTTGTGAACCATTACTTTTAGCTTGCAATATAACAAAGTAGTAACAATTCATATCTTACTGTCTGGTTTATCAGGACATGCTGTGACATATCTTAGTGCTGGGCTCCTCAAGTCTCCTGGAGAGGGCGCCGTGAGTGTAATCTTAAGACATTGGGATAGTTCATCACTTTCACATAACATATTAGCCACTGTTTTCCCTGCAATGCTTGAAGTGTTCAACTGAACTGTGCCAAGGGTCCTGGCATACAGTGTCTTCAATCCAAGCCATTTACATCCTCTGTATGCAAGATTTGGACTACCAACAGCATACCAAGTATCAGATATATGGACCATTAGTACTCCTGATTTTATTCCAGATGGCATGTTCATCTCTTGATAAAGCCTGAATTTTGGTTCACATTCAATAGTTAGCAAACCATATCTGCAGTCATTTTCATCAACTTTATGAAATATTTCGCATTCTTGTAGATTTTTCTCCGTACCTTTACATAGAATGTTATAAATCGAAACTGGAAATCTGTAATTGATTCCTTGTACTTTATAGGTTGGTAAGCCAAAATCAAAGCCTAGTTGTTTACATATTACATTTGACAATGCTTTCTTCCGTGCGAAGGACCAATGGTAGAACAAACACACCATTCCCCAAACGCCATCATGTTTAAGTTCTATCACACCAGTAGGCTTTACACGGATCATTCGATCACTTTCATCTTTTTTACATATTGCAACGGCATCATGGTTTCTCTAGAATTAAGACCAAGTTGATTTCAGAGATATGATTCAAAAGCTAGGTTAATTGATAATAAATGGTTTTGGATTAGGCTTGGGTTGTGTCAACCCAAATGAATACTGGTAACAAAATTTACATTTGCTTGCTGTACTAGGTGTGTTTCTTTAACTGAAGCATAGTTCATTCAAGCCTTTTTCACCGTAGTATCTGTTCTTGGAACAGGGTGACCATGCTTTTCATAAATTGGTTGATCGGGTCTTTGCAAACTGAACCATTGTCTTACCCTGCATTTTGGATCCCTGAAATGCCATTTCCCTATTTTGCACTGTCCAATATATGTTTCATTGCCAGTACAATTAACATTATGAATGCCATATATACGTCCTCCTTGCTCACGACCCCATTTATAATTCATTCTGTCTCTAACTCGATCTGGAATTTACATATAAGATTGTTTAAAGGGCAGTTTTGTCATCTTTCAATTACTTTACCCATTTCACTGGAACAGTGTATTTGCTATATAGCTTTGAAATCTCACCGAATATGTCTCATTTTAATGGGATTTTAAGAGATTCGCATATTTAACCACTAAGGGCTTCATTTTTTCATTCAATGATATATTTGAATTCTATGCACATTTTTCTATTTGCGGAAATAGCTTGTTTTCATATATCACAGTCTGCATAGAGTGTACCTGATTTATATTGCGGTGTCTCTGATCGTTCAGGGTCATATCCTAGTTGCCTGCATATCACCTTTGCATCATTTCTGTCCCATTCAAAGTTGCACACTCTCTGCCACCAATTTTTCTTAAAAACCTGTACTCTGCCCTGGCCTTGAGGGGCAAGTTCTCCTGAGAGTCTCACATCAAAGTCAAGCACGGCTTGTACTGTTGCTGCTACATAAAAACACAGTAAAATATAAGTATTATAAGCACCTTCTCAATTTCAAAATAATTCTGTGTTTTAGGATTCCATCTGCTAGGATTCTATCTGTTAGCCTTCATACTACACTCTTCTAACCATTTGCAAAAACCTGAAATTATCTTGTCACCATGTAAAGAAGTGCCAGTTTAAGACCAAAAGGCTCTTTTGGTATGCATATCTTACACAAGAAGTCATATTCAAATGAATGTGATCACCATTCATGTGTTAACTACAGCACATTAGATACTTTCAAATAAGTTCACACTTTCCTATATTATATGCAACCAGGTTGATATATTATTTTTGTTGGTTGTATTTTGTATTTTCCTTTCAATGTTATCCTGTATTAAGGGGATGCGGTAAAGTAAGTTTCAAGGTACAGAGTGTCAATTGTCACAATTTTTTAGTATATTCATGTCATTTTCTAGAGTCCAACAGTTTTGACTTAACCCTTTCTCAATTTTCATTCTGACTTCAGTTCTAATTGATTTGAATGTTTCTGCATATTGAATTGTCAACAAATGTTGATGATAGATGCAATGTTACTTAATAGATGCAATGTTACTTAATAGATGCAATGTTATTTAATGAATTTGTAGCTGCTTTGTTACCATATTAAAAGATGCCCATGAGAGTGCTGTTTTACTCTACCCTTTGCATTCGTTTGACTTCACTTCTTAAAAGAGAGCTTCGTCTTTACTCTTTCAAGCTAAAATAAACCTGTGAACTCGCCGCGCCAATCAGTGTTCCTCGGCCAAATTTGACCGACGTTCTATATATGGTCATTCCTCCTGACATCATCGTTGAGCTTGGAATTGACCAATGACATGCGCATATTTAATTAGCACGCATTTGGCGTATGTTTCTTCAAGCTCGCTGACTGATGGAAGAAAGGTCAGCGCGTAGGTCAGAAGTGATTTATTACACAAACTGTCACCGGTACCTGTCGTGGGGGCGGGGCTACTAAACTGTAATGTGGTCTCTACTAGGCAGAGTGTAGTTTAACTAGACTCTGCGCGCAGGGTAGTTTTACTCCATTACATTACAGGCAAGATACTTCATAGGTGTAGCCAGGGGGTGCGATGGGTGCACACCCCCCCCCCCCAACCAAAAATAGAACCATTAGAAAATTGCTTTAAAATGCTTTTTATTTCAAGCATCTAGCTCAATTTTGAAGGAAGTTGCATCAATTTTTGTAAAATTCAAAACAAACCTTAAAAAATAAATTTTTTTACTTGCTTATGCCACTATCGCACCCCCCCCCCTCAAATTGGGAGGTGTTAACATTTCAATGTTATTTTAATGTGGAGTCAGCCCCAAAATATAACAAACTGAAAAAATAATTAAGTTTTTTTTCATTCTTTCCCAGAAATTGAACGCTAACATTTAATTCATAAACAAGGTTCCCTGAATTTTAGGCTCAATGTTGCTCATTTGGGTCACAAATGTATATTAACTAAATAAAAAAAACAATAAAATATTGATCAAATGAATGAATATTGATTAAATGAATGTAATATTTCAATTAAATAATTTCAATACAGTGACTTACCATTTAGGATAAAAAGGACTATGTAGACAATCATGACTATGTCTGGATTTATCCCTAGTCTTTTGTTTAATAAAATGACTTCATACCAACTATCATACCGTTTCATTTGATATTTTACTAATGAAATAAACATTTCATTGCATTGACATTAACAGTCATGATATGGTATATCATGTAATCATGTCCCTAGTCTTTTCTAAAAGTGCAATTACTATATCAACGTTAATGTATAAAACCAATTTTATCTTACATTACACGACACAACAATTACATAGCTGGGCACCTTAAAACTGTATGTTTTCTGAAATATGCCTCTAATCTTGGGAGGATGGTGATGTTAAACATGACCTATTTGTAGTGGCCTATAGATATTATATGTTATGTTTATATCATGACTTTGCCATACTCTGTCTGTGTAAATGTCATCAGGTATTCCATGTTTTCATGTCACAATGGTTTAATCGTGGATATACTATTGTTCATGCAATGACTCATTGGCTCTGTCCAAATATTGAAGGGGACAATAATTAGTGTATATGTAATATTTTTGTCAATTTTTTGTCATAAATGCAATTTTATATCGTGCATAATACATAAATGTATCTCTTTGTTATGAGTTTGAACAAAACGTACCCATTAATAATGCCCTTATTATGTGAATATTATTACATTATTAGAGTCCATTATGCCCATATATAGGCATTAATTTCTTTATTTCATAGTTTATCTGTAAAATCAATTAAAACATTGATTCATTCAATAGAAGTGATGATTTGATTTAGTGCATTGTATATACATTTATTGTACACATCATAATCCTATTATAGAAATGATGTCATTGATGTCAAGTAACATTCTAGTGCAAGTCTTCGAAAATCCCCTAACATTAACAACTATTTTATGTAGTTAGTTTCCAATTGTGATAAAATGTTGAATTTTATATGGGTTTCATTAGGTAGCTGATCAATTCTGAGTTTTTTCTGCAGCGAAGCGGCATCACGAAATTGTAGTATGTGTGGTATACAGTCAAAGGAGTATTTCACCATAGTTCAATATAAAGGGATGTGTATTAAGTCCAAATAAGAATGTGTGCTTAAATATACTTATACGGTAGTACAAACAAAGATGATGAATAAACATAAACATTGATATAACAGAGCAAAGTATATCAAATCAATGATTAACTAAAAGAATCGGTGATGGATAAATAAATTCTGCTATATAAGTAAAACCTACAGCAAGGGCGCTGTTTGACTTTGAACATTAACTTAATAGAACTTGACCTTGATAGCACTCAAGTGATTATTGATATACTGCTGGTTTACCATATGTGGAATATTTTACCATATATGGAATATTGGACTTTTGTATTAATGATTCACCTGACTATTGTGACTGGCCGTTCTTCTAGGCTAGCCATATGCCCATATACAGTGATAGTGCATTAGGCTATTGATCTAATACCTAAACACTGCCTTTTGTGGTATTAATATTTCTTGCTACCTCTGGGATATATAAGTAGGGATGCAAGTTGTTGATATTACAATCAAAATTTGCAATTAGCAATAACAGGTTTGTAAATGATAGACAGAATTTGAAGAATATATTAGTATGCAATGGAGCCTGGAGGTACATGTATTGTGTATATGTGCAAGACATATGTGCTGTATCATTCAATTTAGTGGTTTCATTATGAGGATTTCTGACAAAAAGCATAATGAATGGAAACAACAGACTGTGCTTAATAATGTTTGTTTAACAATAAAATAAATATGGAGAAAATAACCTGAAAAGTGCTAATGAAATCCCTGATTTTTATTAATGTTACTAACAGGCTGTTAAATGATAATATTTAGCAATATTTAAATATGTTAAACTTCAAAATATTAAACTTTATTTTCAGAATTGAGAAACAGTTGCCCCACACAAGAAACATAGCAGTCATGGGAGAAGAAATGAAGAACACAAACAATTCAGAATGCCCGAGTGATCTTTACGACAAGTTCTGTGCGTCAAACTCTTGCACAGAAATTCTTGAGTTGTTTGACAGAATGTGTGAGTCACTTAGTATCGCACCTCCAAGAATAGGTGGCGCTGATCATCATGGGTTTTATCACCGATTTAAATCGCTTCTTAGGACAACTAAATCGATGTCTTTATGGACAAAGTTGGATAAACGTGCGAGTGAGTCTGTGTATGCTGACGGAAATGCTTGTTCAAAGAACAAGGTAAGTGAATATTTATTATCATACTTGGGCGTTAGCATTTCATACTTCTTAGAGAATGGGCTAGACTGTACAAAACAATGTTTTCAGGAAGTTACAAAAAGCATTACTCTTTAAAAACTCTTGTATTATATGTTACACCAATTGTTTTGGAGGCTCTTTTACTTAAGTCCTCAGTCACAATTGATTTACGGCAATCATACGTCAGCTGTACCTTCCAAAATTCCAGAGAAATATGACGCATGAAATAAAGGAATGAGCAATAAATGAGACTGAGGCTTAACTCATGTGACCCTCTCGCTCTTAGTTTTAAAATGTCTTAAATCAAGATCTGCTTCTTGGAATTTCTCCATTTCTTTAGAAATAAATTAAGATACATTAAAACATTAAAGATAAATTTGAATTTTTAAATACACTGTAGTACCATTCATTCCAGGTATTGATAATAGGTGCAGGACCATGTGGTTTGCGTATGGCGATAGAATGTGCCTTTCTTGGTGCCAAGGTAGTGCTAGTGGAGAAGCGACCACAAGCTACGCGTAACAATGTACTCCATCTCTGGACGTATGTACCATATGACCTGAAAGCTTTAGGTGCAAAGGAATTCTATCCACGATTTTGCACAGGGGGCATCGATCATATTAGTAAGTGTAATGAAATGAATTTGAATTTGACATCGTTAATGTGAAATTGTATCTTTGCTCACCTTATTTAATGAATAGATATATCAACGTAAGCCTAGATGACATGCATTTAATTTTTATGCAACTATAGGTGCTATTTCTAAAGAGTTCAATATTTGGTGACTATTTAGATATTACCGGTAGTAAAATCTTGTCAATTGTTTAAGTAAGGCATGACATTTCAAATTGGAGGGCTTTCAATTTTATCAAAGTAATGTAATTTATTTTAGGCATCAGGCAGCTACAAAGCATATTACTGAAGACAGCTCTTCTTCTTGGAGTAGAGGTTCATATTAATACCACCTTTAATGATATCATAGAACCCACGGATGATGCACGTAAGTATAGAAAGACAATGTTGAACTTATTAATTGATGAAGGATGACATCATATCCCTACCAATGTAGGTGACTGAATAATGTGATATGAATTTAGATTAAGTCTCTATAGATTAAGTAACTTTTCTGTGAATGATGTTCTGCAGTTGACATTTGGCTTCTGTAACAAATAGCAGGTGGTGACATTTGCATAAAATTGTTAATGCCTTGTGGTTCCCAAGTTAAAGACCTACATTTATACTCATTCATTATTGAATTAAATTGTTTGGTTTAAGCTGAAATGACTATTTCATATGACCTTAGCTAATGCAGGTTTACAATTTGTTTTATTTATTCTTTTTTAGATCATGGGTTTAGAGCTGATATCTCTCCAGTAGATAGCCCTGTGTCTCAGTTTGACTTTGATGTTCTCATTGGAGCAGATGGCAAAAGAAATACACTTAAAGGTAGATTTTGATGCAACAGATTTGACCTCACTCCATGTATACTTACGGATAATTAAATGACAATGTTACTCCTGGCCATTCTGATATAATCACAACTTTTTATTGAATTTGGGTATTTTTCATCGTTTTGCGCAGTTGAGCATGTACATGGCCTGTGGATGCCATGCTAAGTCTTGTCATCGAGGTAACAAGAAATCTGTTCATTGGTTTAAACCTGATTATTATCCCATCGAACGAAGTTCGGAGGGATATAGGGAACGCCTCCGTCCGTCCGTCCGCCCGTCCGGGGAATAACTCAAATACCGTTGGCCAGATTTTATTCATATTTTGTACACATATACCCTATGGGGGTAGAAGTTCTACTCCAAAGCCGATTTTCAAAATGGCCGCTCATTTTTTAAAAATGGCGGCTATTTTAGTGCCGATTTTACAGTAATTTAGGTGCAATATGTAAAACTGTAATAGCAATATGTTTTAAATGTAAAAAAATTATATAGGACATTAATAAAGCTAGAAATGTAGATATTAAAAAAGCACATGGCAGCCATCTTGAAAAATGGCGGCCTTTACTCGTTATTTTACGATTTTTGCTGTAACTCGAAAAGTATTGGAGCGATTTTGTTCATATTTGGTATGTGAATACTATAAGCATGGCACACTGTCTAATGACACTTTTGGTAGAAGGTGGCCATTTTGAAAAATGGCGGACATTTTGAAAAATGGCAGCCATTTTAACTTATTTTACTAAAACTTGAAAAAAGAAGGCGGCCATTTTTCAAAATGGCCGCCATTTTAACGTATTTTACTATAACTCGAAAAGTAGTGGAGCGATTTTGTTCATATTTGGTATGTAAATACTATAAGCATGACACACTGTCTAATGAGACTTTTGGTAGAAGGCGGCCATTTTGAAAAATGGCTGCCATTTTAACGTATTTTACTATAACTTGAAAAGTAGTAGAGCGATTTTGTTCATATTTGGTATGTGAATATTATAAGCATGGCACACTGTCTAATGACACTTTTGGTAGAAGGTGCCCATTTTGAAAAATGTTCGATGGGATTCGCTACGCTTTGGCGTTGCCGTTGTTCTGGTTTGTTGTTGGACACACTGGGTTGTTTGCTTCTCAAATGTATATTATCCCTGTGTTTCTTGCTTACTTTATTATCACTTTATCCCCCAATAAAATTCTTTTTTGAAAAGTTCATATTTCAATTGGGCCTCTAATATTTTCAAATGATTTTTAAAATGTGTTCTTTTTAAAACTGAATCATTGATTTTTTTTTGTATGTATTTAGGATTCAAGAGAAAGGGAGCAAGGGGTAAACTTGCTATAGCCATCACCTGTAACTTTCTCAACAAGAGAACCACTCGGGAGAGCCTGGTACAAGAAAAGGGAGGCTTTAACTATCTATACAGTCTACAAATGTTCAAAGACTTAAACGATAAGACAGGAATATACCTAGAGAATTTTGTGTACTACAAAGCAGACACACACTACTTTGTGATGACTGCCCACAAGAAAAGTTTATTAAAGAAAGGTGTTTTGAAAGAGGTAAGTAATGCTACGTATAGTTATTTCATACTATATTTTATTTTATTATGCAAGTACATTCACACTCCTTGGGGTCAAGTACATGTACAAACAAAAAAAGAAGACATTTACATGTAAAAAAACTACATAACTATTAGTATTGATAAAATGTTATCTTTTAAATATGTTCATAATGTAATGGTGCAATTCAAATATTTCAGGAACATGCAGACACATCCAAGCTCCTTGGCAGGGATAATGTTGTGTATGAATACCTAGTCTCTTATGCAAAAGAAGCTGCAAATGAGATGACAGAATATAAAATTCCCGATTTGGAATTTGCCTTGAATCATTATGGTAGAGAGGATGTGGCCATGTTTGATTTCACATCATTCTTCACTGCTGAACATTCTTCACGCGTGATTGAGCGACATGGTCATAAACTCTTGGTTGGCATTGTGGGAGATAGTCTACAGGAGGTTGGTACATTTGATTCTAAAATAGAGAATCTTTTTATTATACGTGTATGCAATTAAAATAAAACCATTTTGAGAGATGCATAACTTTCTGTTAACTTTGATATTTTGCTAATGTACATGTTAAATTTGCACCCTTGGTATACGCAGCTAACGAAAATTGACCGGTACGGGTCAAAAGCTGGACCGGTACGGGTGAATGGTTTTATTTGAATTTAAAACAGCCATAACTTGCTCAACATTGACTTTCTCGTGTCTAATTTGAAATATATGATGCCTCTCGATGCTTTTAAGTACCCCAATTTTTTGCAGATTTTTAAACGGACTAAAACTCTCTAAATGCGCATTTATGCTCTTTTCTCTCGAGAATGACTGTCTCATTTTCACGATAACCCCGAACCGGTCTGTCTTCTCGCTGCAAGCAGGATGAAATTCTTTGTCACAAAGTTTGGCATTTTTTATAAAATCAAACGCGCATCATTGAAACTCACAAGATGTAAATAGCATGTCATTTACATCATACCTTGATGGGGAAAAATAGATCTTATATGTTAGAAGTACTAAATAAAAGTTATCGTGAAACCGGTCCAGCTTTTGACCCGTACCGGTCAATTTTCGTTAGCTGCGTATACGAAGGGTGATTTGGTTTTAAGGAATTTTAAGTGAATTTTTTTCAGTTACATTCGATTGATAAAGTCGTAGATAGCATAGACATGTCAATATATATTATTCTTTCAGCCATTTTGGCCTTCAGGGTCCGGGTGTGCTAAGGGTATCCTTGGGGTACTAGATGCAGCATACATGGTTAAACAATGGGGAGATGGGGTAGATCCCCTTCAGATCTTAGCCACAAAGGAGAGTGTTTTTAGGATGTTCTTGAGTGCATGGACCAGCCATTCCCTCTTCAGCAAACCCCAGGAATTTACCATTGACCCAAAAACTAGGTATGTACTCAAAATTTATAAATAGTTATATTTATAATGTATAATGTAAGCTCAAGAGAAAAGGGAGCATAGAATATAGCCTCTTAAAGAAATACCAAATATTCCCCATCATTCACTATGATTCCCCCAGTATCTTTTTTCATGGCGCAGCACTCACTTCAATTGTCAGCTGCGCCCGCCTCAAAGTTTGTGCCACTCTCAAACTTTGTATGCATCCACTTTACTCAATACTGGCAGAGAAATGCAAAAAAATCAGAAATAAATATTCTCCAACATGCTAAATCAAAACATCTCGCTGATTTAATTTACAGGAACATCATAACCCTATTCTCTTAGAGTGTCATATATTCTTTGGTAGCCTTATTGTGTTAACAGCAATATGACCCCCACCTATTCAAACAAATACCAGTTAAACTTGACTAAGTTGATGAATAGGTGACTGGAAAAGACACAAAAATTTTATAACGCGAGCAAAGCAAGCAGGGAATATTTTGAAGATGTTAATACTGCGAGCGGCTAATAATTTGTGCAAGAAATTGCACCCACCTGAGAAAAAATCCTTGAGAGATCACTGATTCAAGAAATACTAATACTAGGTTTACTTGAGGTGGAATTTATATAAGAATGACATATTTTCAGGTACAAGAATTGTGAAACAGATTTTCTGAAACCAAAAGATGTTAAGTATCTGTATGATGATGGAACTGGAGTTAAATACACTGATGTGGACACGAGAAATACAGTGAAGAAAAACACTGCTTATAAACCAGAAGATGATGAGACTGATAACGAAAAGGATGATGCGCCTGTGGATACTCAAAAACATAGTCATAATATTAAATCTAACAATGGATTTGCAAGTGAGGCAGGTTCACTGGGAACATCAGTGGCAGACAATAGTAACCTAGGGAATACAGGGGATAGGAGAATAATGGAAAAACACGCAAATTGTATCGCTTCTGAAGAATGCATAGGAAATATGACTAATGAAAATATTGATAAAGACTTGTCTATTGGAGATGATGATCTGTTTGCCAAAAATAGTGTTGGAAGTGAAAATGAGTCCATTGATGAGGTTAAGAAATCCGCATCTCTCGAAAGATCTACTTTTATTGTGGATAAAACTGTATCCTTGGATAAGACAACACCCATAGATAGTAATAAACCTAGTGAAATGAAAGAGGAATGCAACGAGTTGGTGCTTTGCAGACGACCATCAGTCAAGAAACTCACTGAAAATTGGGTCAGTTTGATGGAAGAAAATGCACATCCTCAAGGTAACATAACTACATTCACTTAAAGCCTTTGATCATAATATATGTGGATAGAAGCTAACAGTTAGAAAGATTTTAAGATTTTCATAAACAGAAAATTCAAACTTACTTATTATTGTATTTTAAATGTATAGAAGTTGTACAAGTATAGATTAAGTTCATTCCACGTAACGTAAGACCAAACCAGTGTTAGACTATTAGATTTCTGATTGAAACTAGTTAATCATCCAATGTGTTTTGCAGACTCAAAGACAGTGGCCCCAATACCTACTAAAACTACAATAGCAGAGAAAGCTCAACACAAAGATGATAAATTCTTGGCTGAACTTCATGGTAACTACTGTTGAATATTATCAATATTACAAAGAGTATGAGCAGGGTAACTTTAGACCAGTATTAGAAGAGCCCTGATTTAAACTATTTTATCAATCCATTTGAAATATATTTTGCAGACTCAAAGACCATGGCCCCAATACCTACTAAAACTACAAATACAGAGAAAGCCCAACACAAAGATGATAAATTCTTGGCTGAACTTCATGGTAACTACTGTTGAATATTATCAATATTACAAAGAGTATGAGCAGGGTAACTTTAGACCAGTATTAGAAGAGCCCTGATTTAAACTATTTTATCAATCCATTTGAAATCTATTTTGCAGACTCAAAGACCATGGCCCCAATACCTACTAAAACTACAAATACAGAGAAAGCCCAACACAAAGATGATAAATTCTTGGCTGAACTTCATGGTAACTACTGTTGAATATTATCAATATTACAAAGAGTATGAGCAGGGTAACTTTAGACCAGTATTAGAAGAGCCCTGATTTAAACTATTTTATCAATCCATTTAAAATCTATTTTGCAGACTCAAAGACCATGGCCCCTATACCTACTAAAACTACAAATACAGAGAAAGCCCAACACAAAGATGATAAATTCTTGGCTGAACTTCATGGTAACTACTGTTGAATATTATCAATATTACAAAGAGTATGAGCAGGGTAACTTTAGACCAGTATTAGAAGAGCCCTGATTTAAACTATTTTATCAATCCATTTGAAATCTATTTTGCAGAAGAACCAAAGACCATGGCCCCAATACCTACTAAAACTACAAATACAGAGAAAGCCCAACACAAAGATGATAAATTCTTGGCTGAACTTCATGGTAACTACTGTTGAATATTATCAATATTACAAAGAGTATGAGCAGGGTAACTTTAGACCAGTATTAGAAGAGCCCTGATTTAAACTATTTTATCAATCCATTTGAAATCTATTTTGCAGAAGAACCAAAGACCATGGCCCCAATACCTACTAAAACTACAAATACAGAGAAAGCCCAACACAAAGATGATAAATTCTTGGCTGAACTTCATGGTAACTACTGTTGAATATTATCAATATTACAAAGAGTATGAGCAGGGTAACTTTAGACCAGTATTAGAAGAGCCCTGATTTAAACTATTTTATCAATCCATTTGAAATCTATTTTGCAGAAGAACCAAAGACCATGGCCCCAATACCTACTAAAACTACAAATACAGAGAAAGCCCAACACAAAGATGATAAATTCTTTGCTGAACTTCATGGTAACTACTGTTGAATATTATCAATATTACAAAGAGTATGAGCAGGGTAACTTTAGACCAGTATTAGAAGAGCCCTGATTTAAACTATTTTATCAATCCATTTGAAATCTATTTTGCAGAAGAACCAAAGACCATGGCCCCAATACCTACTAAAACTACAAATACAGAGAAAGCCCAACACAAAGATGATAAATTCTTGGCTGAACTTCATGGTAACTACTGTTGAATATTATCAATATTACAAAGAGTGTGAGCAGGGTAACTTTAGACCAGTATTAGAAGAGTCCTGATTTGAACTATTTTATCAATCCATTTTGAAATCTATTTTGCAGACTCAAAGGCCATGGCCCCAATACCTACTAAAACTACAATAGCAGAGAAAGCTCAACACAAAGATGATGAATTCTTGGCTGAACTTTATGGTAACTACTGTTGAATATTATCAATATTATAAAGAGTATGAACTATAGACCAGTATTAGAAGAGTCCTGGTCAAAACTACTTTATGAATCCATTTTTAAATCTATGTTGCAGAAGAGTCGAAGACCATGGCCCCAATGCCTACTAAAACTACAATTGCAGAGAAAGGTCAACACAAAGATTATAACTTCTTGGCTAAACCTAGTGGTAACTACTGTTGAATATTATCAATAATACAAAGAGTATGAACCGGGCAACTTTAGACTAGTATTAGAAGAGTCCTGATTTATACTATTTTATCAATCCATTTTGAAATCTGTCTTTCAGAAGAGTCAAAGACCATGGCCCCAATATCTACTAAAACTACAAATGCAGAGAAAGCTAAAAACAAAGATGTTAAATTCTCGGCTGACCTTAATGGTAACTATTGTATTTATATTGTTGAATATTATCAAAGTTGACAGACACGTCGAATATGGCGAATATAAAAAGTTTAGGTAAATTAGCTAGAAGTTGCAGTTTATTGCATCTAAACTAAAACTGTGAAACCCAGGCCAATATTAGGGGAATTCTGACTAGTTTCTCAATCTATTTTTGAATGTGTTTTGCAGAAGAATCCAAGACCATGGCCCCAGTACCAACTAAAGCTACCATTGCAGAGCGAGCTAGACGCAAAGATGTTAAATTTTCAGCTGAATTTCATGGTAATTATTACTAATTTTTGCACTGCTGATTGAATTTAATCATCATATATAGGAGTTGACAGATTAATACTTTGTCCATACATACTGTCACGATAAATCTCGATACCTTATTTCTATAGTCAGCCATGAGATACCATGGTGTATCAAAAAACTATTAACGGTATGATTTGTCCATCCAAGAGTCTCAACATTTTAGGTACTTTGGATCTCTAAACTCAAGTCTTATTTTATTTCATTTAAATAGGGGTTATAAAACTTGTATCAGCTGTTTGTGTCTATCATATTAAATAATGACAGTGGCAGAATAAAACAGTACCTTGTATGTCATTTACAAGCAATAATTACAAGTTAGACAACCCCTCATATCATTTGTAAATCTTCTCATCAGATGTGCTGATATATCATAGAACAGGTCTCATAAATCTGAGCATATTTCTAAACGCAGAAAATGAGATGAGTGTCATATTTATAAATGAAACCAGAGTAGAAGTTCTACATGGAAAGTTCAGATTCATTATCTAGATTATGCAGTCAATATTCTGTCTGAGTTAAAAAACTGGATCTGTACTAGAAATCAATAAAAATAGATGCTTTATAAAAATAAGATAGGTCAAGACTGTTATTGTGAAATATCTTTTTTTTCTAGAAGGGAATTTTGTTCTCGAAAAGTCATAAATTAATAGCATTACTTCTTTCATGACTTTCTTCATGGTTCATGATTATAAGATTTGTTATTGTTTATTTTCAGGTGTGCAGAAGACATATACAAGCTCTAGTACAATGGTACTGACATCAGTTATGATGTAATGCTCTAACATCAACGTTTAAAGACTTATTTAACGATATGAACCAAGTTAAATCATCTGCCCAGAGAAATTTAATGATTAAAATGGACAAGTTGCAGTGTTTTTCAATGTTCAAATGTTGAAACTGAAGACTTGAGACAGTTCATTACAAAAGTGAAATGATGATGCCACAAAGATCTTTATTTCAGCCAAAACAAATATATTTCAAATGTCAATATTTTATTTATGAGATGGGCTGAAGTACTTTTAAAAGAAGAAGGAAAAGTTAAGATGTCTGATCAAATATGAGGATTGTACATGTTGTTTACATTATGTGCCAAATAATTATTAATAAATACAAAATATACAATGGATCAGTCATTTGATACATAATTGTGTTCTTACAGCTTTTGTTACCATTTCTTACCATTCTAAAAGACCAGGTTAAGTGGCAATTGATTTAACATTGTCTAAAACATTCACATCTTTGACCATTACCATATTCTGGCCATAAATACAATATTTTATCGGAATTGCATTTTTTCAAAGTAATCAGGATAATAGAAAATATCATTCTAGCTCCTTGAAAAACCATAGTTTATATTTACCATTTTTTCGCTCACTCACACTCTGGTGGAGTTCTCTCCTTTTATGTGTTCCATTTGTAGTGTCCTGGCCTATTTGGTCCATCAGTCGCATCATGAAAAGTTAAATTCAATATAGTGATATTGACCTGTACGTCTAAACTAAAATAATTCATCAGCCATTTTACTCAAACCGAAATCTGACGTAATGAACAAATTGAAACCAGGAAAATATTTTTCAAATTTATAAAAGGCTATCGGGCTATTGCTCACATTTCTGGAAATGGTAAAAATGGACCTATATGATCCTAGTAAGATTCTAGATTATCTAGAGCCAAAATACGTCAATATGATGATTTGAAGGTAAACACGAGACAATAGAGAGCTTTCAACATAAGTTATTTGGAATACGTATACGCAAACCTGCACTTGTACAAGTCAGTAATAGCACTGGGAGGAGCTCTGGAAACGAAGATATGGAGCTGTCATTTTACAAATCAAAACAAAATGTTCGGCAAGTATTTAGCTCATGAATTCCGGTTTCAAAATATGATTACAACACGCCTTACCATCGCGTAAGCAGGCGTCACCGTACAGCGTCAAAAAATAGCGGAGTACAGTTTTCTGTACGGTAACGCAAATTAACTGCTTTGAAGCAAAAACTATGACAAGGGTTTTAAAAAATTAATTTGATGAAAACTAATACGATTTCATGTGAAATAAAAACAGCATTCTCTTAGAAATGGTTTTAACTTTCTGATTATGATAAACGTTTTACGAGCACTGTTCGGATTTTTTCTGAGTGAATCGGCCCACATAATCGACCAGAGTGAAAAAAGGTTGTTTTTTCACATTTTGTTTGGTTATTATTTTCCCTACCGTCTGAGAGTATGGATTATTTTTATGAGAATATGTATTTGTTACTTACACATTTTAGAACGGGCGAAGATTCAGCAAACAACCATTCATTATGTATTTTTAAAAAAGATCAAATTTGTACGGTGACGCACCAGCTGTACGGTGACGCTATGCTTTGATGAACTAAATGAGACTAAGATTGTATGAAATGGAAACTCAGGAGTATGATCATTTGTTCATATATAGTGCATGGGCGCTACAGTTCAACGATATCTTCCACAGCTAATGGAAGGTTACTGGAAATGTATGATACGGTAAAGATCATGAAACCAAAAACTCTCTTCTTGCTATGTTATTGATGTTTTAAAACAAGGGATGTCACAAGTAAATCTCATCTTGCACGTGTGACTTTTTAGGATGAAAGATGCAATATCTTGCATGGGGTAAAGATGGCTGTGTAGGCTATCTTTGTTAGTCATATGAGAAAAGCCTGGTTTTGTTCAAATGATACCAAAGCATTACGTCAACTTTCAAATAGTTAATTCCATGAAAACTAAAAATATCGAAATTAATACTTCCTGTCCGCCATCTTAAATGCGAAGGTGACGGCTGTAACCTTCGCTTGATACTTACCAGTGATAATGTACATGTAGATCTGACGCTTCTATACCTCTTGTTCGAACAGTAAGCTTAGAGCACTTCATAAAATCTAAGGAAGCGTCACCGTACAGCTGATGCGTCACCGTACAGTTCTGAGGCCTCATTATCCGGTCGACGCACCGCAAATCGCAATCGCAACGTAAATATTTAGCGAATCGTACGCAAAACGATATTATGAGGTTATCTCAAAGGCACTCTAGCGCAAATTCATTGCCGTTTTGCGTCTTTAGCGCAAATCGCAGTTTTCTTATTACACGGTAGACGCATCGCTATTTTCATTTCGCATCGCAAATACACTGCTAATCGCACGCAAATTGGTATTATGCAGTCATCGCACAGTTGCGTCCACGTAAATAAGTTGATTTTTATGTCGCAAACTCCACTTTATTTGCGGCATCCCTGACCCTGCCGCAATATAAATCGCAAACATATCATCAAGAATCTTGATAGTTTTCCTATTTAAATGAACATTATCGTTGTAGAAATCTAGGAAGTGCCCTTTGAGGCATCCAACTAAAAATAGGTTGAAAACATTAGAGACACAAATAACCAAAACTTATCAAAATCAAGTCTGAAAGTGCACGATTATGCTACCTTGGTTTTGTGAAATCTATAATAAATATCGCAATTCCAATTCGCAAATATCGTCTGCTAGAATTAAAATATTAGGGTTCGATCAAGCTGGAAAATGTGGCGCATATTATTCCAAGATGTTCACAATAGAAGAGGTTTACGCTTATTCAGAGACAGGAGTCAGCCGTTAGAGATGACTGACGATGAGATATTAAACAGATATCGCATGCCGAGGCCACTCATTCTTGAGTTGATTAATATATTAGATGGGGATCTAGCGTCAAGAACAAGGAATCCTCAGGCAATTCCATGTCAGCTAAAAGTATTCATTTCATTACGATTTTATGCTACAGGTTGTATGCAAATGATAAATAGAGATATATTCGGGGTATCCCAACCTACTGTTTCGAACATTGTTGCTGAGGTATCGGCGGTTTTCTCTAGGTAGGCTATATCAGTCGGACTAATTACAAAGACACCGTGTCTTGTTTTCAAGATGGGCTACCTTCCAGTGACAGATCTAGATTTTCGCAAGATATATATAGGTTATGTAGTGGGAGGGATTCAATATGGGTTTTATTATGATGGACAATATGATATTTACCGAGAGCCCGGAGGGTCAGAGGGAAATACCAAATTATCCCTCACAATATGTGAAATATCAAATTGTCATGAGGAATAAACCCATATTTAATCCCGACCAGTAAATTAGCTTTTTATTCCATGATATTCATAACTGTCTTCATAAAATCATTAGTTAGATTTTTCTATGAAAAAATGGTATATTTAATCAAGAAAATATGACTTAGCTTTATGATATTTTTAAATATAAAAAGATTATTGTATATGTGTAACATAAACACATCAACATCAAAACATTCAGCAATACGTAAGCATTTTTGTCTGTGTCAGAGCGATGATGATAAAACTGGAATTCGTTTTTCACATAAGAACATCATTTTAGCATGCTATATCGACCCAACTGATTGAAAGAGGAAGCTTTGTTTGGCAAAAATTTTCAATACGATTTTTTCTCAATATCAAAAATATTCCCGGTTATTCATCGGGAATTAGTAGTATCATGATATAAATAGAGATTATCCTATATGAGGTTCAGGATATTGAACTATAGGATGATCTGTTTATCCCATACCAATCTTGTCATTTTGTTCTCGCTGTTCAATTGGCCGGAGTTCAGAAAATGTCCAACAAACCGTAAGAATTCATTTAGAATAGCCTGATTTTCAGATATTCATCCACATTTATTTAATCCCAATATCATGAACCGACTATAGGATGATCTGTTTATCCCATACCAATCTTGGTCATTTTGTTCACGCTGTTCAATTGGCCGGAGTTCAGAAAATGTCCAACCAACCGTAAGAATTCATTTAGAATAGCCTGATTTTCAGATATTCATCCACATTTATTTCTGAAATCCTTGTTTAACAGGGATACGCTCATTTCCTTCCTTCAAACAGATCGCGATTGTCTGCCTTTTCTCCATTAACGTTTACAGTAATTATGCGCATGTTACAAAAATGAACCAATATGCGAACGGCGATTATGACGTCAGCGGGCAGATATACTATATCGAGCATTTAATAACTGATTTATTCTATACTTAGTAGATTGTGAGGAATAATAGCAAAGTCCCCTGGCTCAGTATCTACTCCCTGAATTTATGACGTCGTAGGTCTGCTGAGCGGGAGATATATATATCTCCCGCTCACGTCACATATCAGTTATATTCCCGCATGTTATATACCTATAACACTACTAAGTATGGAATAAAAGTTTTTACAAACCAGCTTTATGTACCTATAACACGTCCAAGTATGGGATAAATATTTTTACATCCTTGAGATTTAAATGGATAAAACTAATTATACCATACTTGGGCGTGTTTCAGCGTGTTTCTGACGGGCTAATATATTAAGTCAAGTATACACCAATGGGGAAAAAATCCCACTTGCCCCATTGAGTTCCAACTTTCCCATCGAATAACGACGGTGTTCCATGGGAACTTGATGACTTTGCCCCATTGAGTCCCCATCATGCCCAATCAAGCCCTACGGAGTCCCATCAAATCCCACCTTGGCCCATTGGAATACGTCGAATTTTGCCCCATCGAATCCCACCTGGTCCCACGCGGTACCTCATGTGACCTCATGGGACTCGATGAGGCAAGATGGGGCAAAATCAGAGTCCAATGAAGCCCCACGGACCTCATGGAGCAAAATCCCAATAGGTCTATTTTGAGCTCTAAGTTTAAATTTCCCGCGTTTCCAATTTATTTGCGATTAGCATACTGTTGCGTCTGCGTTTGCGTGAAGCGCGTAATACGACGCAAACCATGATTTGCGCTTGCGAATAATGTTGATTCGCAAGCGCAACGCAAATCGCAACGCTAATTTAGCGCTGACCGGATAATGAGGGCTCTGATCTTTTTTAAATAAATGCACTGAATGATTATTTGCCGAATATTCATCTGTTCTAAAATGTGTAGATAACAAATACATATTCTCATAAAAATAATCCATACTCTCAGACGACAGGGAAAATAATAACCAAACGAAAAGTGAAAAAACACCATTTTTCTCTCGAGTCAATTATGTGGGCCGATCCAGTCAGAAAAAATCCGAGCAGTGCTCGAAAAACTTTTATCATAATTAGAAAGTTAAAACCATTTCTAAGAGAATGCTGTTTTCATTACACCCGAAATCGTATTTATTTTCATGTAATTAATCTTTTTAAAACCCTCATTATAGTTTTTGCTTCAACTCAGTTAATTTTCTAGTGTTACTATAAAATCCATATTTGCAACTGTTCGTACATTAATTAATATCTGTTTTGAACATCTACAGGGTGGGCCAAAAAACGTCCATGTCCATTTTGCTACAACATTTTTAATATTACAGACAAATGTTTAAATCATATATCATTGGAAAGACAATTCAATTTCCAGAAAATGATATATAATTTATTTCGCATAAATAAGTATTTGTTTTAAAATAGCGTTTCGATTACCACAGGGGTCAAAATCATGATTTACCGATTGCTGAATACGAAATGCTAAAAACTGACCAGACAGATATAACCCCTATGTCAGCGTTGGGGATATAAGTCTAATTTAAAGGTCAAAATAATGATTTATGTATCAAACGAAGGCAAATTAATTTACAAATACAATAATTACTATTGAGCTCTTTTACCATTTTGATAGGTGTTGGTCATCATGATAAACCATGACATCTCATTTCTTCTCAGGCCTGAGATGTTTCAGGTGAAACAGAAATATGCTATGAGTGCTATGCTATGCTACTTTATACAAACTACAATGCATAAAAATAGGTTCCATGATTATTTTAGAGTTATACACTGATGAGTCGTAAACCTTTTCTTCATAATATATGAAGATAGGTCGAATGTTAAAACCTAAAAGTGTTGATTAAGCAATGCAATTTTATGTATTAAGCTCAAAACATAAAGCAAAATGTTGTTTTCGACTTTTACTATTCCATGATACGGAGATGACCATGAAGTCCCCAATATATAGCTATTCATATTTTATGAATCTTACATCACTTTGTTGGAAATAAAATTATCATTCAAATGATATATTATTTATGGATATTTCCAACATACCAGCGAAGATATTACAAAAATAAAACATGGACGTTTTTATTGACCCACCCTTTAATAGACTCTCGCAATGCCCTTACATATTTCGTATAAAGTCAATCTTCAAACACGATTGTTTCTGTTGTCGGGCAAATTCATGTAAACAAAAATTGTTGTAACGTTTTACACGTATTTCACACATTGTTCATGAAAATGGCATGAACCTGGAAAAATTAGAATTTTATTGAAATGTTTTGTCTCTTTATTTCCATGTATACTTTTCGTCTAAATGCGATTCTACAATTTATTGTATTATTCAAATTCATCATTTTTTATTGTTGCATCACAATATTATTTATTTATTCAAATTAATTCGAGTAGCTTGTCTTGTACTCAACGTCGATTTTGCATTTGCATTATTTTACTGCACAAATCATATTTGCTTGATCGAGCATGGATAATTTGATAATTCTAATTCTAAAACATACAGGGTGATCCAGAAGTGCCAATGGTGTTTCTAGCCATTTCTTTGTTATCAGGATGTCCTTGCGTGCTGGGGCGTTTGATGCTTGGTTGAATATTAATTATATGACAATGGGGTTCGAATGGTAACATGAAACGAACATGAAACGTTTATCAAGTCGATGTGAGTTTTATTTCTTTTGCAAAATTAAATTTGCCCGGTTGATCCACATTTACTTTTTAGAATTAACCTGTTGTTGCTTGGGAAACATCTGGACCATGCTTCAAGATGATTAGTCAAGAAGTATGAACTGACATCGCCTTTGACGTTACTTCTGGATCATCCTGTATAATATATCTTACTTTCCAAATTGTATTTTATTTATAAAAACCGGAATATCAATGTCTTCACCGTCAACAAATTCCGATAGACAACGATGCATGCATTGCAATTTGTGATTGTTTTGGGGATCTCTATGCCGATTCTGCTAAATGCGGCAGGACTGAACTGCAAACAAAGAGTGGCCAAAATAAAGGTTTGGAACATGAACGTTTAAAGGAAAATATTGTTTTAGAATGATTTATTTGCTTTTGTTATTGCCAGTTCAACATCAGTATATATATAATTTAGAAAACTTATTAATTTACGCTACTAAAGAACATTTTTATCAAACTGACGAGATTTGTTCAAAGTTATTTATTTTTTGCTCACTTCGAGTTTTTTATAAATTATCCCAGATTTATGTAGACAAGCATAGTACCCGCAACATTTTTTCAACGTTCCCTTAACTATTTTGAGCTGACTGTAATAACGGTTTTTTTCATTTTACAGAATATATTGAAATCAATTAAGAATGTTGAAAGGGATTGTGATGCTGAGTTTGATTTACCATGCGATTGCGAGCCACCAACAGGTATTCTAAATTACTCTCTGTAAAATTATTTTTGTTTATAATCGTATTGTCCACAGCAACCTGTAATCAAATAGATTAGATCAATAGTTTGTTATTTTTTGATTTTATCGTTTTTTGAAATGTGATTTTGTCTAACGAAGAATGCTAAATTTTAACCTGTCATAGAATTTGTCAATGCAAATAGGCAGAATGGACAAGACGTTATCGGAAAAAATCCAATTATTACGGGGTGTGATATGTTTTTACAGAAAATCCTCGAAATCATAACGGTATGTTGACAGGGCAGGTAGACCGCGAATCACCATATCACACGTTTGATATGTTGTAAAGTTATGATGACAACTACATCTTATTGTATTTCAGTAGAATCGGCAGTGTGGACAACATATGTTCGATGGGGCAGGACTGTATGTCCAGCTACCAATGGAGCTACAGTATTGTACAAAGGTATGTCAACCATCATATTGAACTCGGGCTATTTCTGTTCTCAAGAGGAAGATGGGCCTAGTTAGGTGAAAACTGAAGTATAAATATGAAATATTTCAAATTCAGTCATTTCACATTGCTAAGTTATTCATTTAAGTCATTCATTGTTGAAAATTCAAATATGGCGGTAATTTACATATAGGTGAATTTCTTGGTGGTCATTTTGAAATTCTTATAAAGTATGACATTTATCACTACGTGTCTAATTCTTATACAATGGTGGCTTACTCATGTTATTTATCAATCTAATAGACAACGTTCACTCAAGTTCACAACGTAAAATTCTGACTTTTAAATTATAGCCAAAATGTGAATATTAAATCTCAACCCGTCCTAGATTCTGTAATTTATAGAACCATACTCTTATAAAAAATAATCGACACTCTAAGATGCTATGGGAAAAAATGATGAATGAAAATGTGATGAATACAACCAACATTTTCCAATCGGTCATTTATGTGGGTGGAATTACCTACTAATAGTAGAAAAAACTCGAGCACTGCTCAAGAATGTGATTACGTAATTATAAACCTTAAGTTAAAAGTCTTGCCAAGAGCATGCACATGAAAATAAAAATGAAAAAATTCAGTATTTACTCCAGATACATTTTTTTAAAACCGACATCAGAGTTTTTGTTTGAAATCATTAATATATAATAACGTACAGCTAAAATGTACACTGTAAATTTTGTCACTGTACGTTGTCGATGGTTAGGCGTGTTCCTGCATTATCAGTAAAATTATGAATGTAATAAAAATGATATAAACTCTGTAATGATATTTTCACTATACCTTCAGGTATAGCAGCCGGATCAGAACATCTGCATACAGGAGGAGGAAGTAATTATTTGTGTCTGCCTGATGACCCGGAATGGCAAACTTATGTTGACGGAGTAGCTGTCGCTGGTGCTTATATACATGGAGCTGAATATCAATTTTATAAAGACAACAAACACCATGTTCCCTTTTCTGGTGCAAATGCACCGGGAGGCGACCCTCATGCCCTTCATGACCAAGATGTGCCATGCGTTGTCTGTCAGATACCCCGAAACACAGTGATGATTCCAGCAAAGCGTACATGTCCTTCTGGTTGGACGAGTGAGTTCAATGGTTACTTGGTGGCAGAACATTACTCACATCCTAGTAACAAGGAGTTTGTTTGCATGGATGATGCACCGGAAGCTCTAACAGGAGGTCATGAAAATAGGAATGGGGCATTGTTTTATTCTGTTCAATCTGTATGTGGTTCACTCCCGTGTCCGAAGTACGTCAATGGCCGAGAGTTGACATGCGTTGTATGTTCAAAGTGAATCAAGAAATGTCACATTTAATATTTAAATAACAGAACATTTAGTAAGAAGTATCACAATTTAATAGAATGATGCAAATAAAATATCCAATGATTCCTAATATGACTCATCTTGTTATATTTTAACTTAAAATGTTACAATTTTAACCCAACTTACAAGTGTGTAACAACTGGCTCTTACAGTGTTTAATTGACTCTTGGGATGAATAATGTCACAATGTAAAATGGTATTCATGTATTTATTTCACGAAATCACTAATATGGTAGTTTTTCGTTTCCACCGTTTTGTTGCACTGAAAACTTTAATTTGCATAATAATGTATTTGTTTTCATAAGACCCCAATCAGCCAATGACTCCAATAAATCATATAAATGCCCCATGGTTCAAATTCTGAATCTGTAAAATGAATCTGTAGCATTTACCTCTACCTCTGACTTGCAAACAATAAAAGACAGACATTGGATGGAGGTATGTCCACCAATTTAAGCATTTTGTTGACCATTTAAAAGTTTCAGTTTTATTAATGCTAAGCCTTGTTTCATGGTCTAACTATGCAAAAAGCAACAAATGTATACACACTACATAGACGAAATGAATAAAACATGGATTTATTTAATTTTTATTACTCATACTTTGAAGTCATACAAAAATTGCTAATCAAAGTTGTAGGTAATACTGTATGGTGAACATTCAATGTTTTAACAAAAAGTAATTTTTATAACAACGACTAGAAAAACTGAACCCTCCTGATATATGAAGTTTTACATAAAAATAAATACTGTTAAACTGTTTTATGCCGTTTACATTCGTTTCGCATAGTTGATATCTATTTTATCTGTTTATAGTAGCCTAAGACTTAACTTGTCTCTATTACAAATATTCATTCCTCTCCAGAATTGATAAGCAGCAGTTATAATATAAGTAGTAACATATTATTGTAATACAATTGCTAAGTAACAAAACCGTTTGTCACAATTCTACAACATTTTTTCATCAGTCTATCAGCTATGACTTTGGTTAAGGATAATCCTTTATTTTTTAAGATCTAACAAGAAAATGAAAAAGTAATAAACTTTTACATTTCTCCATCTTTGATAACGTCTCTATTTGGCCATAGGTTTAAAGGTGAAAAAAGTTGGCAGCAGTGATATAATTTTATTATTTCTCTATGTAAATATGAATTATAGGAAACATCCTTTGATTCTCGCCTTTAGATCTAAATGACTAGTATCATAAACGTCTAATGCCAGATATGCTGAAACATTTGTTATATCATATACTATGGCACTCTGCTATCATAAATTCATCATAAATACAATATCCAAACAGGAATCTTTAATACAAACATCTATTTGTGATTATATAATAAAAAAATATCAGTCAATAGTATTATTCGTTACATGTAAGTACAATTTTAATATATCAGCTGTTTGTAACCAGACTGGTTTCAGCCAGACTCTTCTTTGAGTACCATCTTAATATTCAATAATTAGCTTTCTTATTGTCATAATGTTTTTATGACTCTAATTGTTTGGGATAATGTTCCAGTTAAACTATTCTTTGAGTATTATCTACATCATGAATTGTAGCAGGTGTTTCTAGTTCTTACATGCAGTTATAGGTCCCAGGTCCGTGTTTATCTTTGATTAACATCACTTTGTCTACGATCTTCCCATCCTGCAACCATACAGAGAAAGGAAGTAAAAAACTGTCCTCTGGCGGTTTGTCATTTTAAGCTACAATTTTTTAAACAATATGATGATAGTACCACAGACTGTCAGACAGCCACTTATAAGAACACTATACACCAGGCTATCACCTTTCAAATCGTATTTAAAAATTGCAATTTTTCAAAGCTTCTACGAAGGACGTCTATTTCAGATATGGAATAATGTTATCAAAAAATATTGGGTCATAAAAATTCTCTAAGCGTTTAGATGAGCCATATATAGATTGGTAATTTGAGAAAGGATTCTCATTCATTATTTTTCAGTTGCTGCCCTGGCTAATGTAACACATCCTCCTAAGCAGGTGTCCAAAATCCGGAGGATGAATCTAACATATTTTGAAGTATTTTAGCTGGTTTTTTTCGCAATTTTTGGTAGTGGCATAATAACCAAAAAGCATATTTTTGTGGTTTTACCAACAATGCCATCTATTTTTGTTGCCTTTTGTTGATACCTTTAGCTGTAACAAAATTACATCATGTTATTGTGAATAGTTAGTAGGATATAGCTGAGACGAACCTGATCATCGGAGACCTGCTCCATGTACAAGTGGGTTCTGTTGTGGATTGTCATACGAGTGTACCCATAATCATCGAGGCGGATTGCACTCCAATCTGGCTTGTCAGCTATAAACGGATCATGTCTCTCTTGACACCCCTTCAACAATAACAAATACAACACACAATGATAAATATTGCACTTTGAAAACCAAAATGGCCACCATGTAATTTACCCAGTTTGTCTTAAACCTAATCAGATCTTGGCAAATCTCTGCTCTTCCATCTATAAAAATTTCAAGTTGAATAGATAAATGGTGTCCTGGAATTGTGATGACAGATTTAAGTGGCCAGTGTATCTGGCGTCTGCCCACCCAGCAGCACAGGACGACCATATCGTTACAGCACTTTTTGTAATAGCAATAACAACAAGACACACAGTGATAAATATCGCACTTTGAAGAGCAAACTGGCGACCATGCAATTTATCCAGCATGGCCAAAACCTAATCAGACCTTGGCACTAGTCTGCTCTTGCATCTGTAAACATTTCAAGTTGACAAGGTTAGCGGTTTTCCTGCAATTTTGATGACAAGAATTTATTTGTAGTCTTGAACTTTGGGAAAATTTAGATAACATTGTTTGTGACCTAATTTGATGAGCTTCGACCTTGAAAATTTCACTTTTTCAGACCTCAGTAGGTGTTTTGTAATTAAGCTGACCTAAATTTAAATCCAAAATATCAATTTAGAAAATCAACTTTCTGACCTTTTCAAGGTCACTCAAGGTGAACGAAAGGTCAAATCTGAAATCTAAGGTCAGATTTGAACTTCTGAGAACTTGTAGATGTTTTTAAAAAAAAATGTGGTCAATTTGGAGCAAGTTGAAAAATTCAAAATGGCCGCCAAATTGAAAAATTCAAAATGGCCACCATGTAATTCAGCCAGCATACCCAAAACCTAATCAGATCTTGGCAATAGTCTGCTCTTGCATCTGTAAAAATTTCAAGTTGAACGGATAAGTGGTTTTCCTGGAATTTTGATGACAAGATTTGTTGAAAAATTCAAAATGGCCGCCACGTAGTTTATCCAGCATGCCCTAAACCTAATCAGATCTTGACACTAGTCTGCTTTTGCATGTGTAAAAATTTCAAGTTGAACAGGTTAGCGGTTTTCTTGGAATTTTGATGACAAGAATTGATTTGTAGTCTCAAACTTTGAGAAACTTGGATAACATCATTTGTGACCTATTTTATTGACCTTGACCTTCAACCTTGAAAATTTCACTTTTTCAGACCTCAGTAGGTGTTTTGTAATTAAGCTGACCTAAATTTAAATCCAAAATATCAATTTAGAAAATCAACTTTTTTGACCTTTTCAAGGTCACTGAAGGTGAATGAAAGGTCAAATCTGAAATCTAAGGTCAGATTTGAACTTCTGAGAACTTGTAGATGTTTTTAAAAAAAAAATTTGGTCAATTTGGAGCAAGTTGAAAAATTCAAAATGGCCGCCAAATTGAAAAATTCAAAATGGCCACCATGTAATTCAGCCAGCATACCCAAAACCTAATCAGATCTTGGCAATAGTCTGCTCTTGCATCTGTAAAAATTTCAAGTTGAACGGATAAGTGGTTTTCCTGGAATTTTGATGACAAGATTTGTTGAAAAATTCAAAATGGCCACCACGTAGTTTATCCAGCATACCCAAAACCTAATCAGATCTTGGCAATAGTCTGCTCTTGCATCTGTAAAAATTTCAAGTTGAAAGGATAAGTGGTTTTCCTGGAATTTTGATGACAAGATTTGTTGAAAAATTCAAAATGGCCGCCATGTAGTTTACCAAGCATGCCCTTAACCTAATCAGATCTTGGTACTAGTCTGCTCTTGCATCTGTAAAAATTTCAAGTTGAACAGGTAAGCAGTTATCCAGGAAATTTGATGACAAGATTGTTTATGTGCCGCCCGCCCGCACGCCCGCACGCCCGCCCAACAGCACAAGACGACGACAATATAGCACTTTTTTGCCCAACAGCACAAGACGACGACAATATAGCACTTTTTCAAAGTGCGATAAAAATGATCAATATGGGTCATGAAAAAAAAAGATTTTGTAAATCCTTTTGAAACTTCCAGATATTATTTTATTTATTTATTTATTTATTTAATTTATTTATTTATTTATAGACATACACTGTAAGAGTGGCCCAAATATATACAGTGGATACATTAAGAGTGTGCCAAAATATTTAGTACAATGACTTAGATGTACTTACAGCAGATCCAGTAACAATGTGTACAGGGGCTGGAGGATTGGTGTAGGGGGCATCTAGACTACCATTACACACCTGAAACAAGTGATGGAGAAACAAATGAATTTTGAAACATGTAAAGCAAAACAACTATTCATGTTGATAATGTGATTTGAAAATGCTGAAAATACTATACCATTGGAAAGGAAAAAGGATGAAAAACACAGTGATGCTGATAACATTTAAACAATCATTTTAGCTTAGGCAGTTTATTTGTCATGTTTGGCCTAAATCAAATTCATCTTTTAAATAATTGAGAAATGTGGAAAGCAATTGGAAAAAGCTCTGATAAGCTTTACTACTTTTGAATAAGAATATTTAGTACTAACCTTGAAGTTATATACTGGCCACTCCCTCTCATATGAGTGTTCATGGGCCCAGAATTGAAGGTCAACCCCAGCTTTGTAAAACAGCGTTTCCAAACTAGGACTTTTGCCTCCTCCTGTTCTGACCTGAAAAGGGTTAATTTGATTAAATAATTTGTAAAGATTTGTGGTGCCTTCTGTAACAATTACAAATCTCACATCCTACCACTAAACCATAGAGGCATTGGATGGAATAGCCGAAAAAACTTGCAATCCAGGATTGTAACAACTGAACAAGTCTTCTCTGTATGTGACAATAGATTCCTAAATCATAGATGATTTTCTTTTTTCATGACTATATACAGGCCCGTAGCCAGGATTTGCCAAGGGGGGTTCAGTTTTCAAAAATTTCCAGGGGGGTTCACATTTGACAATTTTGGCCAAAATGTGGCTAAAATCACTTGAGAAGTGCTCAAAATAGTAAAAATCTGCATGATTTTGAAAGAATTTTTGGCCAGGGGGGGGGTTGTGAAATACTAATTTGGACGAGAACAGCAATACTTATTGTACTTATGCAACTTTAACTTTCTTTCTAGATTTCCAGCTGGAATAATTGACTCACAATGCTTTGATGTTTTGTGCAGTCATCTCCATCCGTATTGGAACAATAGGCAGGTCTGTGGCCCATAGTTATGATCCATGGTCTGGCCTGTCTGTTTTCAGGTTTATTGGCCTCCTACAATCAAATATACATCATTGGTACCAACATCTTAATCTTTTTTATTGTTAGTGCTATTGGTCATGGGCATTTATTTCCAGATAAACTATTGTTTTTTATCAACATGAACCAAGACAAGGAACTTGTTATTTTATACACTAGTTTTCGGTTTATCTTAATCTGTTACATACATACATTGGATATTTTTTGAAAGTACTATATCTTCTATTTACGAGGATAATATACCAGGAATTTAGGTCTTATTTTATCCAAGTGTGTCATTTCCAATCAGAAGATCCTGTACCTCCCTTAGCATTTTTGTTTTGCATTGGGCATTCATGTAGATAATGTACCCCATAGTATACATCCATGTATCTTTAATATTGAACATACATTGTAGCAATACTAGGAAGATGAGAGAGCAAAACTTACAATTAAATCTTGCTCTATCCAACTGAATTGGTTCATAATCTGTGCAGTTCCATATGATGTGTAGAAGTAGACCTCTGTAGAGAATGCAATGATATGCGCTGGACCAATGTTAAAACTGGAATTAATGTTGGAAAATGAATTAAAAGTCAAATAATAATTTTGCTACATGTACATACACAGATCTAGGGGTTGTAAATTCCTGCTTAAGATATGATTGGAAAAGTTAGTTTACCTTTTCTTATAGATTACATTATACAGTAACTCTAATTGGTTAAAAAAGTAAATAAGTATGTAATGACCCTGGTTGCAAGTTGCTTGTTACAGCTTAATGTCCAGTATCTGTTGATTAGTTTGACTTTGCTCTTGAGAGTCTTTTCTATCCTTAGTTTCTTCTTTATCCTCTACTACAGGTACTTTTAATCTTTGGTTTATGGTGTCCAATTGATCAAACAATCTTTCAAATTTATGTTCTAATTCCGATCGACATTTTCCTGACTTGTGGTGGAACATGCACTCAAACAAGTGATGATTTACAACATTATGTCGTAAACTAAAGATATGAGACAATATCGTAATTATGACTATGGTTTGTTAAGCTACAGCTCCCTGGAGGTGCCCACAGGTTGTTACAAGTATCAAAATAAAAAAAATAAAAGTTTGATTTTTTAACTTGTTTTAGTTGTATATTAGAGTTTTTGTCACTCACCTCCACCAGAGGTTCTGCCCATCTCCTCCAGCTGCAGGCATTGTGAACCTCTCTCTGTAGTTGGAAAAATTACTGGAAAAACACAGTTTCATAATCATTGTATTTATTTCAAATACATTAAGCAATATTGCATGAGCTGTATACCTGTATACTGCCCCTTGCAGCATGGCAATATGCAATATACATGTATTGGATTAAAAATGAGTTCAAAATGGCAAATACGGAATGCATTGTGTATAATCTGTTGACCTTATAAGGAAACCCAATCATTCCTCAGAGAGCACTGCAGAAACGAGAAATGTAATTTTTAAATAATGTTCATGTGTATGTTTATGGAAAAATTGAAGTGGTGACATATAAAAACCTTGCTATCACAATAACTTTTGTTCTCTAAATACATACTATGCACTTTCATGGTTTCCAACACAAGTCATGTATGGTATATAAGCTGCAACTGCTTCAACCTGTCTCATGAACTCATCACCAAATCTTGCATTGTCCTGGAACACATGTTCATGCATATTACAAGACACGTATTTGTATGTTATATGAGCTGCTAGCACATTTACTTTCAATCAATAAACAAGGCATGAACATGCAAACCAACTGCCATTTGTAAGAGGCCGAACACCAAACACCATCCTCAAAAAGGAATTCTCAAAGGATCAATGTCTATCTGCAAAGCTGCCACCAGACTCGATAAAGCACAGTACTGCAACTGCAGTAATTCAACAAATGTCATAAGGAGAAAAGTTCATCATGAATATTCAAATATTTTGGATCTAACATGTATTTCTATATTCACTCACCGTATCCATATTATATGCCATATCTCCCACATGTAATATAGCATCAAAGTGTCCACGTTGTGTCTCTTCCTGGAGTCGACCCATAGACTGTGCATTGATATTACCCATGTCTCCATATACAGCAAACCTTGGGCTCCAATCACTTCCAGGAGGCATAGCCGTAAATGTGAATATGTCGCTCCAACCAAGGTGACTCCCACAGTGGTACACTGAAATAAGTAGAAGAGATGTGATGTGCAATTATTGGTATGTATGTAAATGTGAAGATGTCGCTCCAACCAAGGTGACTCCCACAGTGGTACCCTGAAATAAGTAGGAGAAGAGATGTGATGTGCAATTATGGGTATGTATGTAAATGTGAAGATGTCGCTCCAACCAAGGTGACTCCCACAGTGGTACACTGAAATAAGTAGAAGAGATGTGATGTGCAATTATGGGTATGTAGCCAGTCATGAGGCACGGGGGAAAGTGCCTCACCTTTATAAAAAGGAAAAATATATTCAGACCATTTAAAAAATGATGTCCGATATAAGTAGCGTCGTATATCCCATCAATGCCTCTTCTAACTAAATTTATCACAACTACATGTACATGTATTTTTGGACACCCCAGCTGTTAGACAATTACAATTTTGAAAGCTTCTATTATATTGTATATACAGTTATTGTATTGTACTTAAAATGTCTCACTGTATTTTTGTCCAGGTGTCAAATTCATCACTTTGACCCTATGCGTGTAGAATATTCGTTTTTCTGGGCCACCATCCGTGAAAAGATCTGCCACTCCCTTTGCTATCATGTTCATATCATTTGTGCCATACTCAACAATGCTGGTATTGGTTGGGTCTTTGGTTACCCAGGTTACCACCATAGTTGTTGCATCCTCTGTAAGAAGACAAAAAAAAATAGTGCTATCATTCAAATTCCTAGGTGCATTCATGCGCCTCTGGGCCTTTATTTATATATCTGAGATTTGTCATAGCTCCAGACCCTATCAAAACTGACTCAGATCTGACATATACAGTTGGGGACAAAAATAAATGACAGGTCGATTTTCGATCACCATTTCCTAATTACGGTGGTCTGAAAGCCCATAATTTCCAATATTGTCTAGATATATATCCCTTAAAATTTGTATATTTTACATTTTGTATAATCTCATCCACTGATGTATGGCCTCTTGTAAATTCTCTTATTTTTAACATGGGAAATCCTCACTTCAGCAAATCCACCTGTCATTTATTTATGTCCCCAACTGTACATGTAAGCATCTCATATCATAGTGGTACAAGTTCCTGTGACTAGATCTATACAGAGGAGGCCATTGGGACAAGATAAGGCTATAATAATGATAATCGTCCTTTCCAACTGCCATGTTTTGCTATACTAGGAAAACCCGAATCATTATGATATCCGTTGGCGATGGCAAAAATCCCTAAAAGTAAAAAGATTAGGAACAAGGAAATTACAATAAATTGTAACAACTTCAAGACCACATGTCAAGAGTTTCAGTGAACTATTTATGTTAAATTTGAGTTTAGCTGCTGCTTACCTCCATAGCTCAAATGTACCTGTTCAGGTTGGCCATAGAAACCTCCAAGTACGTGAGAAAACAGACAAAGTAAAACAGCACAGATCGAAGCCACCATTGTTGACATTTGGGAGGAAACGCCATCACATGACAATCATGTGACCTTATTACAGTAGATTTACGATCGTACAAAATTCTGAACGAATTATAGTTCGTACTTTTTCAGTAATCACTTTGAGAAAAATTGATAGAAACATTAATCGACCAGTGATCATAAGCTGAGACTAACTGAGACTAACATAAAAAATTATTTTATGTTAGTCTCAGTTTATGTTAGTCTCAGTCAAAAGGTAGTCTTAAAGTCAGAAACTGTTTTTGGGAAATGTTAGGGATTTTTAAAAAGTTTTCGTTTTAAATTATCAATTTATTTAGCCTAGGCCTATTGCTGGTGTAAAAGAAATTGTGGTCCCCGAGGGGATTATGGTCCCCTTTCCTTACGGCCCTTACTGGCCCTGACTGTGTATAAATAATAAGGAAAATAATTGTTATTAGGTCACCATATAAATCAATAGAGAGTAGGACTAAAATTTGATCTGATTTATTGATCTAATTTGATCTAATTTTAATTATAATCTTATCACTGGATTTTACATATACTCAGAAATCAATCAACTCCCCAACCTATCAAATTTAAAAACAACATTATTTTATACATGTAAAAAATAGAGAACAAAATACAACAAACAAGCAGAGACATGTAAAATGTTTTATATGTCTCTCGAGTAATATAATTGAATACACCTCATGAAACAAACAAGGAGAAAAGGCAACACACTTTTAAACAAATAAAGACATAAATAAAAATGTCATTGAAAGTCCATGACGCTGTTCAATGACGATAAGATACCCATTCCAGAAAGTTCGCCGAGTCCAAGGGAGAACGGAAGTGTGAGGCAAAATAGACCACCAAGTTCGTTATTTTAGTTGTTTTAATAAAATATATATTGACTGGCATTATCTACCGACAGAGGATCATGGCACCACCAAGCTCAACGGTGTAAAGGGTAGGAAGTCCTATCAAATTATGATCCTACTCTCCATTTATTTATATGGTGACCTAAATACAACTCTTTCCCTCATTATCTTATACACAATCAGGGCCAGTAAGGGCGTTTAAAAAGGGGACCATAATCCCTGGGGGACCATTATTTCTTTCACACCGGCCTGAAGTTTTGCTTCATTTAGGCTACGCGCCAGATTCAAAGCCTGCCACATACCTGACTGCGTATTGTTTTTTGTTCGAGATCTCATATTTATACTCTAGCACCGCTGGACAGGTGTAAAAGGGTAGGTGGTTCTATCATATTATGGTCCTAATCTCCATTGATTTATATGGTGACCTAAATACAACTCCTTCCCTCATTGTCTTATACACAATCAGGGCCAATAAGGGCCATTAAGAAAGGGGACCATAATCCCTGGGGGACCATCATTTCTTTCACACCGGGTGAACGAAATTTTGAAAATTGAAGGCCCATTTTGATAATTTGGCTTAAAAGGCCCACAAAACGCCAAGTAAAGCCTAAAAGGGCCCACTAATTGAGTCCCTGCAAAATATTTGGGCCCAAAATATTGTTCTGGCCCCACCAAAGGGGGACGTCGATGTCTCCCCATGTCTTATACTTGCTGCAGGAAATTGTAAGTGTTAGCCCTGCACGAAACGTTCCCGGGTTTTATTGATAGCTATCAGGAAGAGTTCTGCAGACGGCTTGAAGGTTACAATGCCCTCAGTAAGGTCATCGCTGAAGGGTAATGTGCTACTGCAGCTATAGATACATAGAAAGGTATCGAAAAAAGAACTGAATCGAAGAGAGCCAATTAAGGACAAACGATGTATGCTTTATAGCAGTTTTTGAATGTACTGAATCGAATACTGATACCCAGATGATTGCTTTACCCTGTATACGGAATGACCGGGCGTTATTTTCATCAAAGAAGCGGAGGAATTAATATGCAATGAATTGTACTAAACCGTCTCAAGGAGGATTGGCTCCCAGAATCGAAGTCGATATTTTCCAACAATGAAAACGCCGAGATGTCGTTATTTTCTGAAATTATAACCGATTATAAATTCAAAATAAACAGTTCAAAAGATTCGAACCAATATCTCAATCATTTCCTGTGAGTTTTGGAATTTTTCGTTAAGAAATAAGACCAAAATTTACGATTCAAATGTTGAAGTGAACAAAATGGCGGCTGTTGGAATTCAAATTTTGTAGCACGACATGCCCATATATGGGACAGAATATCGATGTTGCACTCTGGGAGCCAATCCTCCTTGAAACCGTCTGCAACTGGGTGTACGAAAAAACACAACATCAAATATTGATTTGTACAAGGATATATCATTAAGGATATTGAATCTCAGTGATCACTTCTTTAGAGCGTGTTGGTGTGAAACAAGGATATATGAAGGGCATTGTAGACAAAAAGGGGATACATTTTGTAATCGGTTGAGGTTTGTTTTTTATGGCTACCGATCAGCTGATCCTACTCTCGCTAGGCCTATGGTATTGATTTTGACTCTCAGAGCCAGCGTTCTTGAGAGTAACTTAATGTACTTTTTCTGACATTTCGGAAATTCAGGCGTTATCAAGAATCAAGTGAAAATGCGAAAAATATTGTGGATCTGATGCGCTATGTGATTAGCTCTTCATGCAAAATAGGAACTTGAAAGTTTGCTCATGTAGCCTATTGTTGAGAGTGCATTTTTATAACACTTTTTGTACTAGTCTGCCTTTTCAGTCACGTTTAAAAATGATATCAAAAGAATGAAGGTCGTGGTGACTTAGCTAGTAGGGACACTTTTTAAGAGTAAAATATACATTTTTGGGATACTATTGCCAAGATCCGTGCTCAAGTATGTATGAATGTAAACAATGGGAAACCACATCTTGAATTAAAACACAGTATCATCTTATAAACTGGAACTGCCATAAAACTATACGTGACAAAGTACTGGTGTATATAGGAACTCCAAATTGTAACTCGATTGTTGGTGTTGAAAATGTTCAGCTTCGAATGGAGAACGTTTTTATTCAGAGACACCCTACAAAGTACGTTGGTCGCAATCACTTGTCTAATTGTGTTCTTATGGATATGGGAATCTTGGGATCGGATCACGCAAAGGAGGAATAGCCCGCCTGGACCATGGGGCTGGCCCATGATAGGAAATTTATTCCAAATGGGGAAGGACCCCTACGTGACTTTCACCAACATGCGTGACAAATATGGAGACATATTTAGCTTCAAACTAGGCAGGTATAACACGGTTGTACTGAACGGGGTTAACACGATAAGAAAGGCTCTTGTAAATCAACCAGAAGCATTCGCAGGACGTCCGGACTTTCATTCTGTAAGGTACATATCCGGAGGAAAGTCCCTCTCTCTTAGTGCGTACGGTCCCAGGTGGAAACTACATCGTCAAATCGCTGGAAAAGCAATGAGAAAGCTTATCCAGAACCGCCGTAATCCGATAGAGGATGTCATTTCCCATGAGGCAAGACATTTAGTTGACAGTCTCCTTCACAATGACCTCCAATTTGATCCTACCAGAGAAATCTACCTTTCTGTTGGTAGTATCATATACACTATTTGCTTTGGTGATGACACCGCTAGTCGCAACGATAAAGACTTTGTCCTTTTCTTAGAGAATTTCAAAGACTTCATCGACTATTTCACAACTGGCAACCTGGTGGATATTCTTCCATGGACACGTTATTTTACTCGGGGAAAAATTGAACGTTTTATCGAGATCAACAAAGTAAGAGAGACTTTGCGTAGATCCAAAGAGCATGAAATTCGTCAACGTTTTGACCCCGATAATCTTAATGGTATGACTGATGCCTTAATCAAAGCCACTCTCGATACGGACGATGAGCTTAAGGAGGCTGTTGGACTTACAGACGACCATATCCTAAGCACGATAGAAGGACTTATAGGGGCGGGCTTCAGCACGGTGGCAACAACGTTATCTTGGAGCGTTCTATACATGGCTGCGCATCCTGACATACAGACGGATGTTCAGAACGAACTAGATAAGGTCATAGGGGACAGAGACCCTTGCGCTAGTGATAGATACGATCTTCCATTCACAGATGCTTGCATTACTGAAATTTTACGCCATTCATCCATTCTACCACTCTCCTTACCACATGCCACAACACGTGATGTCATCCTTGACGGTTTCGATATTCCGAAAGACACCCTAGTTCTTATCAATCTGTGGTCTTTAACACGTGACCCTAGCGTCTTTGAGGATCCAGAAACGTTCAACCCTCGTAGATTTCTAACAAAAGATGGCGCTTTAGACAAAGTCAAAATGGACATGTTTCTTCCATTTGGGGCAGGTAGACGTCGCTGTATGGGAGAATATCTTGCAAAGCTAGAGGTGTTTTTATTCTTTACAATGCTGTTAAAAAAGTGCACCATACAAAAGCCTAGTAACGTAAAGATAAACTTTGAAAGGACGTTTAGACTTAGTTTAGATCCTAATCCATTTGAAGTAATGATACATCTAAGACGACAGAACTAGTTAATTAATTCAATTTGACATTTGATTTGCTCAGAAGACGCATCAGTTGGCAGTTTGTTAAGTAATACCAAATTCGATTCATAAATCAACATGATTTCCTCGAGGCATTTAAACAAAAAATAATGTCCATTTATCCCTTAGAGAATGCCAAGTGAGACGTCTTTTAATAAGGGTAATATAACATATTACGTGGTGTCAAAAACAATGGTACTTCCTTCTACCGCTAAAATTCTAAATGACACGTTATATGTCATATATCATTTTACAGAGAATTGAGTATGTCCTCACCAGAAGGTATAGTGACATATATGTATATCTTTTTTTCGTTTACTAAGTATATATTTTTTTCAGTAACAGAATATTAGACTTTTGTTATATTAGTTTAACGAAGCATATCTATTTATGTTGAGAATATACTCATAGCCAAAGACTCTAAAATCATAATGTATACAGTTATCCATGATTCAAATAATGCCATTGTTTTTGAACCTCCGTAATTGACGTATGTCAATACAATTCATGTATGAAACTACATGTACCTAGTGTACTAATATTTATAAAATCGAAATCTTACCGGCACAATATTCAATATAAACTATATACCTATCCATATATTACAGGGTAGTCAAAAAGAACTACATTATTCAAAAAGTTCTATTATCTGATTGGTTTATAAACGATACTCCTCCTTGACCAATCAGATTGAGAAAGAAATTCATTTCAAATAGGGTTACTATTTGACCCGTTTGTACATGAAATCATCGTGGAAAGTACATTTGAAATATCCACATATTTTGCCAAATCACTTGTTCTCGAGCCTTTTTAAATAATAAGATTTACATACAGTCATATAAAAAGACATATGTGTGCTCTGCAGATATTCTGTATTAAATGGATGGCATGCCTTTTTTCTAAAAATTCCAAAAGTACAGATTTTAAGTTCCAAATAATCATTCAATATTTAAGGTGATAAATTGTATGAACCAAATTACTGATATATTTGAAATATGGTTGGTGCAGCATTTTATGTAACTATGTGTGAGCCAAACATAACAAAATCTACAGATTAATAAAAACATATAAAGTTAATGTGTACTCTCTGATACCTGCATACATAATAAAAATAAAATATCCATAAGTTCAATAAATGTTTATTACTTTATCATTATTATAGCATTTACATTCACCAGTACCTCAAAAACTACAAACATCCAATTCAGAGTTTTGTACATAGGCCCTTAATTAATATACTTGGATTTTGACAGTACTCTCTTAATATGCTGTTCTGTTGATGATCATCATGTTATTACCATTTAAAAATTTGGTTTGCGTTATTTCAACTCAGCCCCCCCCCCTCAAGTAAATAGAAAAATCAACTAACTCGAAAGGATTGTCATATGATGCACTAAAATTAGCATATCAACTGTAATCAAAAGGAATTCATTTTTGTTTGGAATTTTAAAATCATCCTTTGCAGTTCTTTGTTTGTGGTCCTACTTTCAAAACATATAATTGAGAATGGACTTGATTGGTACAGTAAGTTTTTCTCAATATGCTCAAGAGAAGATTTAAGTAATGATATCACAAATTCAGTGATTACATGAGATGTTTTCTCTACATTTAAATCTTGATTTTTTTACCTCCCTCCAATAAAATTAATTCCACGAAAAAGTTCCACATAGACATTTGATTGAGACCCTAAAATACAGAAAAGCCAAATCACACCATTGTATTTCCACAATATGAAACTATTCTTCAATTTATTCATTCATAGAATGTATTTTAGTCCAATATAATTTCTAGACCGGAAACTAGTTCCGACAAGACTGAACCGCATTTGGGGATTACCCAGCGTGCATCACTATTCACGTCGTTTGTGTTTCCTATCGTAGTCTCTGTCTCTAGAATCATCTGTTTGTCTTTTCTGTCCTTTTTTAGCTTCCGTCAAGAATTTATTGAGACCGAATGGATCCTCTTCATCGTCACGTTCAAATTGTACAGGTCCTTCACGACGCTGGGTACGATCTGTTCCGGAGAACTCCTTGTCAGGCACAAATCTGAAACAAAGTGACATCTATAAAAGACAGGGAATATTAAAACAGCTCATGAAATGAAATCAACAAGAAGCTTTCAACAGTATCTGCGTGGCTTTGCAAATTATTTACGGTTAAATGAACCCTTGATCACTTATTCAAGGTTTGGAATTATAAAAAGCTATAAAAATCAAATTCCTAAGGCCATACTTCATGGCTCAAAAGACTTTTTTGAAAATAACCTTTTTTAAACTTCCAACCTTTAGAAATCGTTTGAACGAATTCAAATATTCATGACACATCTACTTGATGTATGAAATCCAGTTCAAACAGACCTATTTGACTTCATTATCTTATCCAGATCATCTCCAAACTGGTCCTTGTCCATATTTTTAGAAGGTCTGTATATGGAAGATCCTATGTTAGCATCCTGCCTCCACGGTTTGTCGTAAACATTGTATGATTCATCTTCTCCTGCTCCAAACCCACTGTCCATACCCTAAAACATACAATTAAGGAATAAAGATTGAGATTCTATGATTTGTGCTGAAATATGACAATTTTTACTTTTTTAATTTCAAGAGTATGAACTTTTGAACATTTAAAGTTCATCTAGTTGAGCTAGTCATCTGAAACTTCTTGCAGAGTTGCTCCATGAAGCCTAGATTTAATGTGCTTAAGAACAATTCAAAAATCATACAGACAAAAAATTTAAGCAACATTATGTGGATGTTAAGGTTAAAGGGAGAACATTCATTTGACATCCTATGTGTGTTTTGACCCATAATGAGCATGGGCGTAGCACTATTTTTCCAAGTAGTACGCCACCACCACAGGAACAAGAGTCGAGAATCAAAATTTTGAAATTTGGTTGTATTTGGAGCGAATTTGCAACCATCTGGTCCGCCTGTGCCTACCCAGCGTACCAGGCGCTACGCCCATGATGAGTTTCATTGATTTACCTTATTTTGGTTGAAGAGTCTCTGGTCAAACTGGCTGTCATCATTGCGGTTTGTATTAGGCATACCAAGAGCTATCTTCTCACTGACATCACGCTCTCTCTCCCTCTGTAGCCTGGACCTGAAAGTAGAAGAAAACACCAGCCTTAGTGCTTGGCCTGAACAACATGGTGCCCATAGCAGAACAGCCTAAATATACAGCCATTCAGTCATTGATATCCATTTTTCTTTCAAAATGTGCAGGGTATAAAACTAGCCATGCTCCAACTGAAATACTTGTGACCCTATGATGAAGACCAACCCCCTTATAATGACTCAGTTCAACAATTCCGCTTCACTATTAAGACTGACCTTTTATCAGGAGCAGCTCTTGCCAGATTCCTGTCACGCTGTCTGTCTTTGGCTCTGTCTTTACGGAACTCATCTCTCTCTTTAACTTCCTCATCAACATCTGAAACAAATGGCGATAAGTGGTGATAACAAGATTAAATACACATGGCATATTATATCAAAGGAAGTTACAGCTTAATATCATTCATATGAGAATACTGAAAAAGAAATTTATTAACATCCCAAAATTCTCGGTGACACTGTCAATGAGAGACACATGTACTTGAATGAAAACTTTTATAAGAAGTTATGTCTGTTGGTACACAAACATCCTCCTAAGCAGTTGTCCAGAATCCGTACCTCCTTCTTCCCCCCTGCTATATGCAGTTAGCATTTCCCCGATTAGGAACTCGCAATTTGATTGGCTGTCGCAACACTGCGACAGCAATCATGTATACGTTATCGGCGCATAATTAGATCACGTGATTCAGTTTAATCGGGCGCGTCCAACTTGGTTATAGCAGGGGGTAAAATGCTCATGGTGTGTTTGTTCCTGTGTGAAGTATCTATGAGGGGTAAAAGAAAGAAGATATTCTGGATTTTGAAGCCCTGTGATCGGAGGATGGTACACAAAAAATAACAAATCTATCAAAACAATCAATTTGATACTGAAAAGAAATATTCAGAGATTTAGCCATCTGTATTCTGTATTCATGCCCAAGCTCTTATTCAGGGTTTAGAACACCATCAATATCGTTAAAAGAAGGGGATCAGAATTAGTGTTGAAAACTGTCTTCGTCTTTTGAATCACTCTACTCACCATCAGCTCTGCGTATTCCTGCCCTTTCCTCTCTGGCTTTCTGGGCCAATTGTCTGAGTTTATCTTCATTCTTCTCCTTTTCTCTCTGAGCCATCTTCTTCTCAATTTGGGCTCTCATCTCAACTGCTTCACGAGCCTAAAGAAAGACAGTGTGACACTTTTTATTGCAAGTTTTTTTGTTTTTTTGTTTTTTATTGCAGGGATATCAAAGGGAGGACTGGAACACATCTTTATGGACTAAGTTTGTCAACAACGCATGTGCATCCAGGCTAATGGAAACAATCATAAATGAAATGATCCTCTCAGCAATGAAGAATACTTCTGAATAAATGACTTCAAGAGTACTGTTCTGCCTCTAGTAGAACCATCGAGGCAAGATGAATATGTTTTGGCAGGAAATTTTCAAATTAACATCAGTCAAAATTTGATGACCCGCGAACCACTTTTACAGTTTTTGTTATTACAATAAAATAAATTGTAGAAGTGATATGTATATGAAAGATTGCTTTTCAATTCAGAATTAAACAATGTACATCTGCCGAAAATTTCTACTCAAATGGTTGAGAAATCTTGAAATGGCAGACCAACTCCCAGAACTTAATGATCACCCTGTAGTTCCCTAGAAAGATGTGATTACATTTGTTTCTTTTCAATCTTTTTAATGTTCAATATGGGCTTTCATTTCAATAGAGACTTTACTATATAGCTTTGAAATCTCATTATTTGTGAAATTTTAGGAAATCTGCATGTTTGATAAAGAAAAAATACACACGGTGAACAATATCGCACCCTTGAACAGAAATGGCCGTCTTAACATTTATCCAGAATGTCGAAAAACTAATCAGTTCTAAACTTTCATAGGTAGAAACATCCCTGAGAGAAACATTCCTGAGAATTTCAAATGAATCCCTCAAACCGGTTTGGCTGGAAACCTGTAGACAAGCCTTGACAGACAAGATTTTAGGACGGAAAATCCAAAATGGCCACCTTAACATTTACCCAGAATGCCGAAAAACTAATCAGTTCTAAACTTTCATAGGTAGAAACAACCCTGAGAATTTCAAATGAATCCCTCAAACGATTTGGCTGGAAACCTGTAGACAAGCCTTGACAGACAAGAATTTAGGACGGAAAATCCAAAATGGCCGCCTTAACATTTACCCAGAATGCTGAAAAACTAATCAGTTCTAAACTTTCATAGGTAGAAACATCCCTGAGAATTTCAAATGAATCCCTCAAACGGTTCAGCTGGAAACTGTAGACAAGCCTTGACAGGCAAGATTTTAGGACGGAAAATCCAAAATGGCCGCCTTAACATTTACCCAGAATGCCGAAAAACTAATTAATCAGTTCTAAACTTTCATAGGTAGAAACATCCCTGAGAATTTCAAATGAATCCCTCGAACGGTTTGGCTGGAAACCTGTAGACAAGATTATTCAGGACGCCCGCCCGCCCAACCGCCCACTGATTACAATATAGCACCTGAGGGTGCGATAACAAAAAAATTAAGTGACTTTTTAGGTGTCTGCATGTTGTGAATAGAAATCTTGGCCGAGCAAAACCACAACTGACAAGTCCTCTATAGCCTCCAACCCTTAGGTACAACAACATGACATATAATACTTTTCAGGTTAAAATATCTGGTGATCTGCATTCATCCTTACAAGTCAAAAATATGAGTAATCCTCAGCCCATACATGTCAATGTTAAACAACATATTGTATTCCTTACCTTTCTGTCAGCAATGTACAAAGCCTCAGCCATCTTGGCAAAATTTTCATTAATGTGGACACCCTGTAGACCACGACCATCTGCTGCTAGACGTTTGTCAAGAGGAATTGTGTAACCCTGTAAAAAATACAAAACTTTCTATCTGTTTGTATGTGGGTCATCCCTTTAGTACCATCCTTATTTCTGCATGCATGTATTTATTTTTATTGTTATAATTACATTTTTCATTCCACTTCTTTTGAACTGAATTAAAATCTATGGATTTTGTAGAATAAAAATGACATAATGGTTGTAACTTACCCTAGCGTTTTTCCAGTTAGATATACATGGAGGTATCTTCCATTCTTGCTGTTCTTTTACTGTTACCTAGAAACAAAGCAACCTTCATCACACACACATTTAAACATATTGCACTTAAACATATTGCACCACATCAAATTAGTATCAACTTATTTCTATCTTTTATACAACTTCTGTCACAAAAACAATTGGTTGGAAAACAAAAACCTCCAAAGCATGGATACTAACAAGACCTCATGGTAGAGCAACATGAAAACATATTGCAAATCATGAATACCCTCATGCATTAAACAAACCAATTTATAAACTTAGCCCCCCCCCCATAATCAGTGTGTCCTTCAAAATTTTTTTTTTATCTTTTCTCAAAAACTCATAAACATGTATTTAAATTGTTAACAAATCCAATTTTAATGTAATAAGTCGATACTGAAATAAAAAGTGACAAATACGCAAAAAGAGGCAGTATCATGGCAAAGCCACTGTATGTATCAGCGAACTCAGCAGAATGTTCAACTCAACATGGACCCTCAAATGCTCATGGTGTGTTTGTTCCTGTGTGAAGTATCTATGAGGGGTACTGAGAAGTACTGACATATATGACATCAGAATACTTACTTTTCTGTTAGGTGAGTGCATTACAGGTGCTGGAGGGGAAGGTGGTCCTCTGGGAATCTTCTTGTTAGTTCTACAACAAAAGCACATATAAGGTCAGCAGTCTCCCCAACAATGGAAAACATGATATGACCCATCCTCCTAAGCAGGTGCCCAGAATCCGTACCTCCTTCTTCCCCCCTGCTATAACCAATTTGGAAGCGCCCGATTAAACCGAATCACATGATCTTATTATGCGCAATGACTTATACATCAGTGTTGCGACAGCCAATCAGATTACGAGTTCTTAATCGGGGAAATGCTAACTGCCTATCGCAGGGGGTAAAAAGAAAGAATATATTCTGGATTTTGAAGCCCTGTGATCGGAGGTTGGATATGACCTCAGGTGATAATTTGTTTTACTTGAAGATGAGAAAAATTGCAATATTTTGGTCATAATTCTATATATGATAATACTGTTAATATACATCTAGCTTCTAGTTCCTAATAGTTTATTTCAAAAATGGTCTGTTTTGCACAATAGTTTTTAAAATACTCTTTATTTTCATATATCCTCAAAATATGGCTAAACTACCACACAATACTACAAGACATATGAATTATTTATTCTAGCTTTCATATGTCGCCTTACTTGAATTTAGGTGGTTCCATGGGGTCTGACTGGACCTCTACCATTCTTATAACTCTCTGCTTGGCCCCGCTGTTGAAAGCCATACCTTGCTGGGAGGGTGTATACCTGTAACATTATAAATACTTGAATTATAGTGACTCTAAGGGGTCTAACTGAACTTCTGTCATTCTTCTATAAATTCACATCTCGCTCAACTATGGAATAGATGAAAACAGAATTAAAGAGATTAAACACAATTGAAAATCGAACCTGATATACTGTGCAGGGGCTTGTTTCTCTGCGGCCCTTACAGGCATGGCTGCTGAAATCTTACCCTGGACAAGTTTCTCCAGGGCTTGTCTAGTTCTCTCGGTGTTCTAAAATAGATATGGACAGTTAAATTAGTGATATTTCATCAAGTTTGTTTCTTGAAACAATTGTTAAAAAGTTTGTATATTCCTCAAACATTCCGCTATTCAAAGATGATTTAGGTTATTTAATATTTTTTATTAAATACATTTAAATACATGTATTTCTATAGGCTACAGAAAATTTTAAATATAATAAATTTAAGAATAATCTACAAAACCTCATTAGTTTTGTTCTTTTGTGAAATGGGATAAATTAGGATATGTACCATTATATGACAGGTAAACTTTTGTTAAACTTACATCTCCTATTTCTTCATCATCTGGTCTCTGTAGCTCTGGGTCATCATCTGACATAGGCTTGGGTACCAGGTCCCCGAATTTAGTATGGACCACCTAAAACACATGAATAACTAGCAATAACACAGAGGAATAAACTTAGCCCTATTAGTTGGTTTGGACAACCTAAAACACATGAATAACTAGCAATAACACAGAGGAATAAACTTAGCGCTATAAGTTGGTTTGGACCACCTAAAACACATGAATAACTAGCAATAACACAGAGGAATAAACTTAGCCCTATTAGTTGGTTTGGACCACCTAAAACACATGAATAACTAGCAATAACACAGAGGAATAAACTTAGCCCTATTAGTTGGTTTGGACCACCTAAAACACATGAATAACTAGCAATAACACAGAGGAATAAACTTAGCCCTATTAGTTGGTTTGGACCACCTAAAACACATGAATAACTAGCAATAACACAGAGGAATAAACTTAGCCCTATTAGTTGGTTTGGACCACCTTAAGAAATGAATGAATTGAAGAAATATACCAAGTCTCCAACAAGGCATTTATATTCAAAATGTCACCACCTGCCATTTGTTACAAACAATGACTGCCAAACACCATTCATAAATAAGTTGGAGACTATAACAATATGTGACGCCACTTCGGGAGGTGAGATAACTAGTGCTTGCATGGAATGGAGTCATTGTTAATCTGTCAGATTGTACCTTAAGTAATGGACGACATGTATAGTAAGCAAAATAGGCAAGTCCCGAATTTCCTCCATTCTGATTCTTTTGTATTCCCAAACACTGTATGGACCACCAACACACATGAATTAGCAATAATTCATAGAAATATATATCTTTTTCCGACCAACACACTTGAATAACTAGCAAAAAAAACTTTACATGGACCAAGTCAACATAAAGCTCTAACTCAATGTTTTGATTTAAATTATACCATTCAAAACTTTTAAAGAGGGTTTCAAACAATATTTATAACTGTATTGAGTGTCATGGCTTGATTCATTGAGTTTATCAATAACTTTTATATCACAGGAAGGTTTAAACAGGTTTCTATCTAACTCTCTTATTGTTCAAACTATGCAAATACAGTTATCTGTAAATATTTGAACATTTGCGATAAACCTGACTTTAAAGCAACAAAGACAAGACAACCCAATGTAGTTCATTAATATTTGTGTAAAGGAAAAAAGTGCAATATCATGCTTACGTGTAAATTAGACAATGTGATGATAATGAAATATAGGAGCTATAGCTAGGCAGAATACAAGAGCACTTAGAGCATAACTGCATCAACACTTTCAGGTAAAAATAAACATTGAATTAAAAAAACAAAATACATGTACAGGGTGACCGGAAAAAAAGGAGACCATTGAAATAGGCAATATCTCCTAAAATAGACTAGTGACATCAATGAAATTTTGCATACATCAGGACAGTTCTATGGAAATTTGTTCCTGAAAGTGTCAATACAAGCAGTCAACTGGTTCAGGAGCTATGATCATTTACATAACATGCTCCAAATAGGCGCAATTGAGACCAACGCAGAGCTGGATACATTTGGCAAATACCCTTACATATTCCGACCTTGTTATGGCATTACATTTAGCATTTATTGCCACCTTTAGGTCAGCAATTGTCTCAGGATTGTTTTGGTACACATTGTCTTTCAAATTGCCCCACAAAAAGAAATCAGGTGGATTCAAATTTGAGGTGTATGGAGACGAAGCTTATCTGACCTATGGCTTCTGACTCAGTGGTCCCACTCAGTTACAGTATCATCCTAAGGAGGTTTTGGGCAGCCCTTGGTTTTCATATGGGATTTAATTGTGCCATATAGTGGTTTTAGTAACATGGCACTATGCCCAATACCTAAAGTGACTCTTAAGATTTGGTAAATCAGCACTTTGGCAACAGGATGATGAACCACATGTCAGATAACCCTTCATTGCCATTACAGCCTAGACTTGAATCCTGCTGATTTCTTTTTGTATGGATATTTGAAAGACAATCTATACCAAAACAATCCTCAGACTATTGTTGACCTAAAGAAGGCAATCACTGCTATATGTAATGCCATAATAATGCCATAGAGGGCAGAACATGTAAGGGTAGTTTGCCATATGAATCCAACTCTGCGTTGGTCTCAATTGTGCCTATTTGGAGCATGTTATGTAAATGATCATAGCTCCTGAACCAGTTGAATGCTTGTATTGAAACCTTCAGTAACAAATTTCCATATAACTGTTCCAGTGTATGCAAAATTTCATTGATGGCACTTGTCTAGTTTAGGAGAAATTGATTACTTCAATGGTCTCCTTTTTTTCCGGTCACCCTGTATTTCAATTCAATTGAGGAAAATCTGAAAATATTTGACCCCTTGTTGAATCTTGGCAACAAGCATGCAATACAAATACACTTCAAAGTTTTCTAATGATTTAATATCTTCATACTGAAGACCACATGAAATTTTCACTGTTTTATGATTTATTAAAAGCAGTATCAACAGAATTATTTTATTCTCATTGAAGGTATTACAGAAGCACTATCGACAAAATGGATGAAGCTACACTTGACCAACTTTCTGCAAAGTTTGCCCAAAAATTAGAAGGGGAGCATGTGTTTAGAGGTGTACTCCATCATAGTGTTATGCTCACTGAAGGAACAGAGGAGCAAAAGAAATTTGACAGCCTGCAAATGTCTGCAAATGACTGTATTGTAGCTACATATCCAAAATCTGGTGAGAAAATTTAGACAGCAATGTTAGCATTACTTGTTTTAAATCAATTTGTGAGGTTTCATAAAAAAGGCAACTGGAGTTGCAGCTATATTAATTAAATTTTTGTTTTTGTATCTATTCATAGGGACAACGTGGATGCAAGAAATAGTATGGCTGATCTACAATGGCGTGGATATAGAAAAAGCTAAGCAGAGCCCGCTAGACGAACGATGCCCATTCATGGAGATAGCCCCAAAAATTGATTTCATTACAGATATGCAAAGTCCAAAACTCTTAAAAACACATCTTCTTCACCTTGGATTACCTACTAGTTTTCTGAACAAATCAAATGACTCGAGACCAAGGATTGTATATGTAGCCAGAAATCCAAAAGATGTTGCGGTTTCCTTTTATCATTTCTATCGTTCTAATAAGAGTCTCGGGAATTTTAACAGGGGATGGAATGAATTTTTTGAAATGTTTATTTCTGGGTATGTTGTCTTTGGCGACTGGTTTAGTCATGTGATCACATGGTACGAAACTGCGAAAAAAGATTCTACGATCTTGTTCATAAAGTATGAAGATATGAAACGCAACTCTTTGGAAGAGATCAGTAAAATTGCCAAATTCCTTGGCAAAGATATCAGCACTGAAATGCTTGAAACTTTGTATGATCATACAAAATTTGAAAGCATGAAGAAAAATCCCATGGTCACTTTTGCTAAAAACCCAAGCATTGATAGTTCAATTTCACCATTCCTGCGCAAAGGAGAAATCGGTGACTGGAAAAATTATTTCACTGTTGCTCAGAATGAACGTTTCATGGACATTTACAACGAAAAAATGAAAGACACAGATCTGTCATTTCAATTTGAGTAACAGTGTACTCCTAAAAATGTATGAGCAATTGGTGAGAGAAATTTTGATATTAACATATTATGTGACATAGAACAGGCATAAGATTCATGACATTTGGGGAGAGAGCATTTTTGATAAAATTGATTGACTACTGTAGCATGGAAGCCCATTCAGATACAGTTTAGTTTAGCTTATTTCAAACAAAGGCCCATAGTTTTCCAAAAAATACAATACATCTTTACTACAATTTAGTAGCTGCTGACTTAAATGCTCTTTACAAATACATGTATGTTGTTGAGTTTTCAATTTTCACATTTTATGTGGATATATTTACATGATATTTTAGTTCAAATTTTCACATTTTCATGTGGATATATTTAAATGGTATTGTAGTTAACATTTTCACATTTTTATGTGGATATATTTGTAACTTGATATTTTTGTTCAAATTTTCACATTTTTTTATGTGGATATATTTATATGATAATGTAGTTCAAATCACCACATGTTCATGTGGACACATGATGATATTGTATTTCCTGATATTGTATTTCATTGCGGATATATTTACATGATATTGTAGTTCATAATAATGTTCAAAAGCATAATAATTCATATCAATGTATTGATCAATTTTTGATTTAAATCAACTTTCTGAGAAAAGGTAGACCTTTCACAACTGATATGACATAAGGACAAAAATAGCATATTACTAATTTTGATGTTATTATTAGAATGTAAATAAATGAAACAAGGCATAACCATGTGTTACAACCTGCCATTTGTTACATACACCAACCCCTGAATGTCAAACAACAACCACAGAACACAATCCACAAAAAGTTGAAGACAATTACAATATCTTTACTGCTGGTATGCAAAAGACACAAGTTGCAAAATCTCCTTTAAAATATCCCTTAAGCCTTCAGTCCTGCTCTTCAATACATTTATGAAGCTGAAACCTGGTGATCAGAGATTGAGGGACTGGTAGTTAAACTAAACAATATACTGTATTCTTCTTTAATTTGGCCCTTCTTAAAGGCAGAATCTGATCTATAGGGGGTGACAAAATTACAAGCAACAGTATAATTGACCTACCAATCTATTCCTTACTATATCAAATACAATATCTCCCAAAAGATTCACAACATGTTATAAATTGGTGAAGATATTAATTATTCAAAGTGCAAAAATGAGTAAAAAATGTTTAAATTCTCCCAAATAATAAGAATGGTTACCATTCTTATAGAAAAATAATACATTATTGTAAAAATCTTTAGTTTTCCTGGAATAAAGTATGCACTTTTGTGATTTTTAGAAAATAGACATGACAAGGAATGACATTAGCCAAAAATATTTTAAAATTGAAACAATTTTTTGTTTAGCCTGCTCACTATATCTGATTCTCTCTTTAATTTGGCGAATTTGCCATTTTTTGCATATTGGCGTCTATTTAATTTAGGGGTTTTTCAAAGGGATAAATCCATTTCTTATATGATTCCCGACCAATCTCCAGAGTTTTAAATTCTATATTGCGTTCACTATATGCAGCCTCAGTGTTTGCAAGTCTTTCTTGCCGGGTTTCTTTTCTCACCCAATTCAGAATACTCATTTATTGATTAGATTTAGTAGATTTAGAGAAGAGATTTTTTCAAGTTGCCAAAATTTGCCAATTTAAAAGCTTGCCAAATTAAAAACGAATACAGTATTCATGTTTTATATCAGCTCATTCAGGCAATATCCTTGGAATTCCCCCTGCACAAATAGTTTACAAGTTCAATGTAGTAAACATGTAACTGTATGTCCTACAAAGCAGCCTTTTCTTTGCTCCACAATTAAAGTGTGTCTAATAGCAAGGGTAGCCAAAAGAAGAAAACAGATGATTTTGAGCTTTTAAAGATGAGACTTTTGTTGTTTGACACATATTCTGAACTAGCTCTTGTCTAAGTTTATTACATGGCAAATAAGGCCCTGTCAATGTTGTACTGTATATAATGTTGTGTAAATAAAGGAACCATAAAAACCAACTAAACTAACTTGCTTGATTTATTAGAGTAAAATTAAAAATATGACAATTCACAATATTGGCATTGATAGTGCCCAAGACAGAAACTGATACCAACGAGCAAAGTCCAATAACAGCAGGCAGGCATACCAAAATGCAATAAAACCAGTCACAACTGGTCAAATATTTGCAGATCACTGGGCCAGCCAAAAATATTTGGATATGTAGGTACATATTCACTTTTAAATTTGTTTTTCAAAATGGGTGGCCAATAGGAGAAGTGGGACTTGAAAAGGTGTTCACAATGAGAGGTGTTCAGACAAGGAAGGTGTTCAAAATTACAGGTTTCACTGCATACTTGACACTTCATCGCAGCCTATAACACAGTTTAGTTATAGAGACAACACCATAGGGACATCATTTCACTGAACACAATCAGGTACAAATTACACTTTTCAATTTAGGAGCTAATATCAATTATTTCATTCTATTGGGGTCACGCTGTACCTCTGCATCTTTAACATTGTAATAATACACAAAGCCTGGAGTCTGTGCTAGGCTATATATTTCACTCGAAAATGACTCAGTTTTCTCAACAACAAAAATAGTGAAATATTGGTAACATTAATAAATAGACAATTTTATTAAAGGATAAACATTATGATATGTTGACTTTTATAGTATGGTATGAATGAACAAATAGTTGTACTTAAATTTTTTTAAATATGATCATATCAGTTTGTCGAATCCTTATAAGGAATATGATTAAAAATCAAAGTAAAGGAAATATTTGCTTTTCAAATAGATGCTCAAATATAGCCAAATATGAAAATAACTTGCTCTAGAGGAAGGAGATCAAAACAGAGTGTAGGAAAGATTTACTTTTCAAAATGAAACTCAACTTTCTGTCAAGTAGAAATATAAATGTTTTCCACTGGTTTAATTAATCATCTATATTTTTATTAACTGACATTAGCAACATGGATAAGGCAACATACGACCATCTTTCTGCAAAGTTCACCCATAAAGTAGAAGAGGAGCATCTGTTTAGAGGGGCAATCTTCCATGCTTTCATGCTCACTGAAGAAACAGAGGAGCAAAAGAAATTTGACAACCTTCAAATGTCCGCAAATGACTGTATCGTAGCTTCATACCCAAAATCTGGTAAGAAAATGTAATAAAATAATTTGAACGGAGACATATTTTGAATTTGCTTGGACTTTTTCACCAGTAGATAAACCAGCTAAGATATACCATAGATCGTATTATGCTTTATGTGATTTGTCATAAAACGTGAAATTTCGTTCCAAAATTGACTTATGAAGCTACTGATCTAGAATTCTTATTTCATACTGTGAATGATCTTAATCTTTAATTTCATAGGGACAACATGGTCACAAGAAATAGTATGGCTGATCTACAATGGCGTCGACATAGAGAAGTCAAAGCAGAGCCCTCTAATGGAACGTTTCCCATTCATGGAGATATCCCCCAGAATTGATTTCATCAAAGACATGCCGAGACCAAAACTCTTAAAAACTCATCTTCCTCACCATGGGTTACCTACTAGTTTCCTGAACCAATCAAATGACTCCAAACCAAAGATTGTATACGTTGCTAGAAACCCAAAAGATGTTGCCGTTTCTTTTTATCATTTCTATCGCTCAAACAAACACCTTGGTAATTTCAACCAAGGATGGAATGAATATTTTGAAATGTTTATATCAGGTTACATCGTATATAGCGACTGGTTTAGTCATGTGATCACATGGTATGAAACTGCGAAAAAAGATTCTTTGATCTTGTTCATGAAGTATGAAGATATGAAACGAGACCCTCAGGAAGAAATCAGAAAAATTGCTAACTTCCTCGGTAAAGATACCAGCAATGAAATGATTGAAACTTTAAATGAACATACAAAGTTTGAAAGCATGAAGAAAAATCCCATGGTTAACTTCTCGAAAATATCAGTCATTGATAGTTCGATTTCACCATTCATGCGCAAAGGAGAAATCGGAGACTGGAAAAATTATTTCACTGTTGCTCAGAATGAACGTTTCATGGACATTTACAATGAAAAAATGAAAGACACGGATCTGTCATTTCAATTTGAGTAAAAGTGTACTCCTTCAAAGGTTGGACAAATCTATGATCATGAAAAAGTTAAAATTGTAGCTATGCTAGCACTCCTGAATTTAACTGTTGACTGACGGGTGACAATTTGATTGCTACAGTATATTAAAGCCATCTTATTTGAATATGAATAGTACCTGCTGTGCATCTTGATGCTGCTAGCTATCATACCAAACCCACTTGCTGACCTACATTTATTCTGCCTATTTAAGCAGCAACTAACGACAAGCCATCTGTTTGCAATTTCAATGAGTGGATTTATCAAAATCAATCTTGTTACAGTGGCATAAAAAATCACATGATCACTGTGAGCTAACTAGTGGCTTGATTATTATCTGAACTTCAAATTGATGAGTTTAATTTACGCACATTACAAACGATTATGTAACCGTCAGCCAGCAGTTGATACCAGACTACTTGATACAATAAACCTCATCTTTATAATAATATAACAATAAACCTCATCTTTATAATATTTAGCCAGTATGTCCCTATCATTGAATATGTGCCTGAGGTCTGACGTCTGATGTATATATATGACGGAACAAAGGCATATATTCAATGATATGGACATATTTACATACCTAAAATAAATTTACACCACATTTCATGAAGATTATTTGTAAAAATATGTGAAAAAAGACGATTCCAGACGAAATCACTTCGTTCACATGTTATGAAATCATAAGATTGTCATGGTAAAAAGTTTGGCGGCTATACAGGAATATATAGCCGACCTTCCATACAAACACTTCGCTAGGTACATTATACAATGAAGTAACACATTTCATCTAAATTAAATGTTCATGTATATTCGGTCCTGTATTCTATATGATGAGTAAAAATAAATATATGGCTGAATTACCCACATAAAAAAGTAATTTGTACAATTTTGAATCACACGATCTATAAGTTTGGAATTGCCCCAAATAATTAATTAAAATAAAATAAAACTGTTAAAATGAATAAACTGACTTTTAGTAGATTGTATTCAAGTTTTAATCAATTAAAGAAAATTACATCAATAAACCCCAACTTACTTTGTCCTTGGCATGGCCATATTTGGCAATTGCATCATATTTGATCTTTCCCTGTGCATCTAGTGTCATAGCAAGTGAACCTGTCCCTGACTTTGCCTCTGTCTTCTTCTGCCCCATACCCAGTGGATATTGTGCAACATGGACTTCTGGGAAGGCACCTCCATCTCCAAAGTCCTGTATAAATATGAATTATACAATAAGGAATAACATTATTTTGATATTTAAAATCATTAAATAAAGTTATTAAATTTGATTATTTTTAAATTATAACACAACATTTGAAGTTCATTCTTTAACCAAATGAAGAATCTAATGATTTGACAATGTGGTCGAGGACTTGTGATTATTTAGAGATGTATAGAATAGATGTGACAGTCATGGTTATATAGAGGCCAGTATATGGAAATCTAACCCCAGTATATTTAATAACATAAAATAAATAGAGGATATCCTATGATTTATGAGTGATATGATTTTTATCCACGAATTGATATGATATCTGCACGAGCGAGCGTAGCGAGAGAGTGCAGATATCAATATCCATGAGTGGATTAAAATCATATCACGAGTAAATCATAGGATGTTCTTTTTATTCCATAGTTAAAGTCATCATCAGAATCGTCGGAAATTAAGTTATTTAATTCGAATTTCCAAACGATCCGGCGATGTTGACACTTAGCCTCGTTTTGAGTCTGAAGTAGCAAAAATCCATAAACCATCGCATACGACGTCGTATGTCATGGCTAAAAAACCGTATGTTATGGTTAAGTGAAAATTTGTCAAAAATATCATATTTTACCACTGATTACAAAAATACCGTTTTTATGTTCACATGTTATCCTATGAATATCATGCTAACTATGGAATAACACAAAAAATGTTACTCTTAAGAACTTTTCCATTTGTTTAAGGTAACATTAAGTCAGTTGTTCATGGGACTGTACATGTTTCACTTATAGAGGTGTTCCTCCTATATATATATAGGTGATTCACTTATAGAGGTGTTCCTCCTATATATATATATAGGTGATTCACTTATAGAGGTGTTCCTCCTATATATATATATAGGTGATTCACTTATAGAGGTGTTCCTCCTATATATATATATAGGTGATTCACTTATAGGGGTGTTCCTCCTATATATATATATAGGTGATTCACTTATAGAGGTGTTCCTCCTATATATATATATAGGTGATTCACTTATAGAGGTGTTCCTCCTATATATATATAGGTGATTCACTTATAGAGGTGTTCCTCCTATATATATATATAGGTGATTCACTTATAGAGGTGTTCCTACTATATATATATATAGGTGATTCACTTATAGAGGTGTTCCTACTATATATATATATAGGTGTTCCACTTATAGAGGTGTTCCTCCTATATATATATAAGTGATTCACTTATAGAGGTGTTCCTCCTATATATATATATAGGTGATTCACTTATAGAGGTGTTCCTCCTATATATATATATAGGTGATTCACTTATAGAGGTGTTCCTCCTATATATATATAGGTGATTCACTTATAGGGGTGTTCCTCCTATATATATATATAGGTGATTCACTTATAGAGGTGTTCCTCCTATATATATATATAGGTGATTCACTTATAGAGGTGTTCCTCCTATATATATATATAGGTGATTCACTTATAGAGGTGTTCCTCCTATATATATATATAGGTGATTCACTTATAGAGGTGTTCCTACTATATATATATATAGGTGATTCACTTATAGAGGTGTTCCTACTATATATATATATAGGTGTTCCACTTATAGAGGTGTTCCTCCTATATATATATATAGGTGATTCACTTATAGAGGTGTTCCTCCTATATATATATATAGGTGATTCACTTATAGGGGTGTTCCTCCTATATATATATATATAGGTGATTCACTTATAGAGGTGTTCCTCCTATATATATATAGGTGATTCACTTATAGGGGTGTTCCTCCTATATATATATATAGGTGATTCACTTATAGAGGTGTTCCTACTATATATATATATAGGTGATTCACTTATAGAGGTGTTCCTCCTATATATATATATAGGTGATTCACTTATAGGGGTGTTCCTCCTATATATATATATAGGTGATTCACTTATAGAGGTGTTCCTCCTATATATATATATAGGTGATTCACTTATAGGGGTGTTCCTACTATATATATATATAGGTGATTCACTTATAGGGGTGTTCCTCCTATATATATATAGGTGATTCACTTATAGAGGTGTTCCCACTATATATATATATAGGTGATTCACTTATAGAGGTGTTCCTACTATATATATATATAGGTGATTCACTTATAGAGGTGTTCCTACTATATATATATAGGTGATTCACTTATAGAGGTGTTCCTCCTATATATATATATATAGGTGTTCCACTTATAGAGGTGTTCCTCCTATATATATATATAGGTGATTCACTTATAGAGGTGTTCCTCCTATATATATATATAGGTGATTCACTTATAGGGGTGTTCCTACTATATATATATATAGGTGATTCACTTATAGGGGTGTTCCTCCTATATATATATAGGTGATTCACTTATAGAGGTGTTCCTCCTATATATATATATAGGTGATTCACTTATAGAGGTGTTCCACCTATATATATATATAGGTGATTCACTTATAGAGGTGTTCCTCCTATATATATATATAGGTGATTCACTTATAGAGGTGTTCCTACTATATATATATATAGGTGATTCACTTATAGAGGTGTTCCTACTATATATATATATAGGTGTTCCACTTATAGAGGTGTTCCTCCTATATATATATATAGGTGATTCACTTATAGAGGTGTTCCTCCTATATATATATATAGGTGATTCACTTATAGGGGTGTTCCTCCTATATATATATATAGGTGATTCACTTATAGAGGTGTTCCTCCTATATATATATATATAGGTGATTCACTTATAGAGGTGTTCCTCCTATATATATATATAGGTGATTCACTTATAGAGGTGTTCCTCCTATATATATATAGGTGATTCACTTATAGAGGTGTTCCTACTATATATATATATAGGTGATTCACTTATAGAGGTGTTCCTACTATATATATATATAGGTGTTCCACTTATAGAGGTGTTCCTCCTATATATATATAGGTGATTCACTTATAGAGGTGTTCCTCCTATATATATATATAGGTGATTCACTTATAGGGGTGTTCCTCCTATATATATATATAGGTGATTCACTTATAGAGGTGTTCCTCCTATATATATATATAGGTGATTCACTTATAGGGGTGTTCCTCCTATATATATATATAGGTGATTCACTTATAGAGGTGTTCCTCCTATATATATATATAGGTGATTCACTTATAGGGGTGTTCCTACTATATATATATATAGGTGATTCACTTATAGGGGTGTTCCTCCTATATATATATAGGTGATTCACTTATAGAGGTGTTCCTACTATATATATATATAGGTGATTCACTTATAGAGGTGTTCCTCCTATATATATATATAGGTGATTCACTTATAGAGGTGTTCCTCCTATATATATATATAGGTGATTCACTTATAGAGGTGTTCCTCCTATATATATATATAGGTGATTCACTTATAGAGGTGTTCCTCCTATATATATATATAGGTGATTCACTTATAGGGGTGTTCCTCCTATATATATATATAGGTGATTCACTTATAGAGGTGTTCCTACTATATATATATATAGGTGATTCACTTATAGAGGTGTTCCTCCTATATATATATAGGTGATTCACTTATAGAGGTGTTCCTCCTATATATATATATAGGTGATTCACTTATAGAGGTGTTCCTCCTATATATATATATAGGTGATTCACTTATAGGGGTGTTCCTCCTATATATATATATAGGTGATTCACTTATAGAGGTGTTCCTCCTATATATATATAGGTGATTCACTTATAGGGGTGTTCCTACTATATATATATATAGGTGATTCACTTATAGGGGTGTTCCTCCTATATATATATAGGTGATTCACTTATAGAGGTGTTCCTACTATATATATATATAGGTGATTCACTTATAGAGGTGTTCCTCCTATATATATATATAGGTGATTCACTTATAGAGGTGTTCCTCCTATATATATATATAGGTGATTCACTTATAGAGGTGTTCCTCCTATATATATATATAGGTGATTCACTTATAGAGGTGTTCCTCCTATATATATATATATAGGTGATTCACTTATAGGGGTGTTCCTACTATATATATATATAGGTGATTCACTTATAGAGGTGTTCCTACTATATATATATATAGGTGATTCACTTATAGGGGTGTTCCTCCTATATATATATAGGTGATTCACTTATAGAGGTGTTCCTACTATATATATATATAGGTGATTCACTTATAGGGGTGTTCCTCCTATATATATATATAGGTGATTCACTTATAGAGGTGTTCCTACTATATATATATATAGGTGATTCACTTATAGAGGTGTTCCTCCTATATATATATATAGGTGATTCACTTATAGAGGTGTTCCTCCTATATATATATATAGGTGATTCACTTATAGAGGTGTTCCTCCTATATATATATATAGGTGATTCACTTATAGGGGTGTTCCTACTATATATATATATAGGTGATTCACTTATAGAGGTGTTCCTACTATATATATATATATAGGTGATTCACTTATAGGGGTGTTCCTACTATATATATATATAGGTGATTCACTTATAGAGGTGTTCCTCCTATATATATATATAGGTGATTCACTTATAGAGGTGTTCCTCCTATATATATATATAGGTGATTCACTTATAGAGGTGTTCCTACTATATATATATATAGGTGATTCACTTATAGGGGTGTTCCTACTATATATATATATAGGTGATTCACTTATAGAGGTGTTCCTCCTATATATATATAGGTGATTCACTTATAGGGGTGTTCCTCCTATATATATATATAGGTGATTCACTTATAGAGGTGTTCCTACTATATATATATATAGGTGATTCACTTATAGAGGTGTTCCTCCTATATATATATATAGGTGATTCACTTATAGAGGTGTTCCTCCTATATATATATATAGGTGATTCACTTATAGGGGTGTTCCTCCTATATATATATATAGGTGATTCACTTATAGAGGTGTTCCTCCTATATATATATAGGTGATTCACTTATAGAGGTGTTCCTCCTATATATATATATAGGTGATTCACTTATAGAGGTGTTCCTACTATATATATATATAGGTGATTCACTTATAGGGGTGTTCCTACTATATATATATATAGGTGATTCACTTATAGAGGTGTTCCTACTATATATATATATAGGTGATTCACTTATAGAGGTGTTCCTCCTATATATATATATATAGGTGTTCCACTTATAGAGGTGTTCCTCCTATATATATATATAGGTGATTCACTTATAGAGGTGTTCCTCCTATATATATATATAGGTGATTCACTTATAGAGGTGTTCCTACTATATATATATATATAGGTGATTCACTTATAGGGGTGTTCCTCCTATATATATATATAGGTGATTCACTTATAGAGGTGTTCCTACTATATATATATAGGTGATTCACTTATAGAGGTGTTCCTCCTATATATATATATAGGTGATTCACTTATAGAGGTGTTCCTACTATACAGGTGATCCACTTATAGAGGTGTTCCTCCTATATATATATATAGGTGATTCACTTATAGAGGTGTTCCTCCTATATATATATATATAGGTGATTTACTTATAGAGGTGTTCCTCCTATATATATATATAGGTGATTCACTTATAGAGGTGTTCCTCCTATATATATATATATAGGTGATTCACTTATAGAGGTGTTCCTACTATATATATATATATAGGTGATTCACTTGTAGGGGTGTTCCTCCTATATATATATATAGGTGATTCACTTATAGAGGTGTTCCTACTATATATATATATAGGTGATTCACTTATAGAGGTGTTCCTCCTATATATATATAGGTGATTCACTTATAGAGGTGTTCCTACTATACAGGTGATCCACTTATAGAGGTGTTCCTCCTATATATATATATAGGTGATTCACTTATAGAGGTGTTCCTCCTATATATATATATATAGGTGATTCACTTATAGAGGTGTTCCTACTATATATATATAGGTGATTCACTTATAGAGGTGTTCCTCCTATATATATATATATAGGTGATTCACTTATAGAGGTGTTCCTACTATACAGGTGATTGACGTATAGAGGTGTTCCTCCTATATATAAATATGGGTGATTCACTTATAGAGGTGTTCCTACTATATATATATATAGGTGATTCACTTATAGAGGTGTTCCTCCTATATATATATATATAGGTGATTCACTTATAGAGGTGTTCCTACTATACAGGTGATCCACTTATAGAGGTGTTCCTACTATACAGGTGATTCACTTATAGAGGTGTTCCTCCTATATATATATAGGTGATTCACTTATAGAGGTGTTCCTACTATACAGGTGATCCACTTATAGAGGTGTTCCTCCTATATATATATATATATATAGGTGATTCACTTATAGAGGTGTTCCTACTATACAGGTGATCCACTTATAGAGGTGTTCCTACTATACAGGTGATCCACTTATAGAGGTGTTCCTTCTATATATATATAGGTGATTCACTTATAGAGGTGTTCCTACTATACAGGTGATCCGCTTATAGAGGTGTTCCTACTATACAGGTGATCCACTTATAGAGGTGTTCCTTCTATATAGGTGATCCACGTATAGAGCTGTTCCTCCTATATAGGTGATCTACTTATAGAGGTGTTCCTCCTATATAGGTGATCCACTTTTAGAGGTGTTCCTCCTATATAGGTGATCTACTTATAGAGGTGTTCCTCATATAGAGGTACTTCACTTATAGATGTGTTCCTCATATAGAGGTGCTCCACTTATAGAGGTGTTCCTCCTATATAGGTGATCTACTTATAGAGGTGTTCCTCATATAGAGATGCTCCACTTATAGAGGTGTTCCTCATATAGAGGTGCTCCACTAAGAGGTGTTCCTCATATAGAGGTGTTCCTCCTATAGAGGTGCTCCACTTATAGAGGTGTTCCTCATATATAGTGGTCGGACTCGCCTGAAAATCTCCACTCGAGTGGGCCACAAAAACCACGATTATATTCGCAATTTGACTTAGTTGAGTTACTTCCGGTTTCAGTTTCCCAAGTAGCGGCAGAATTCATCAATTTGATCAAGTCTTTCAAGTGCCTCTATACTTTTTATTAAAATTCCCGGCTGTTGAATATTCCCAGAATGCATCAAACCGGAAATGAAACTTTTGCATAAAAATAACGAACGCAGAATAAAATCCAAGTATGTTTTTCTTCCGCACATGGCATTAAATAGAAAATAAGTTGTATTCTATACATCATGGAAATTGTGAATAGGAGAGACGAATCGCGAGTCAAGGTAAGGTGAAAACAAGTGAAAAATATTTTTTTGGTAAAAATTTCAAATCGTGAGTTCAAGTTTTCAACTCAACTTTTTTTCAACTTTTAGGACAAATAAGAGGAAAACTCGAGTACACGAGTCAGTCTTCCAACCACTACTCATATAGAGGTGTTCGTCTTGCTCAATCAACAGAACTTGATAAAATCATCTTCTTCTGTATTCCCAAAAAGCTTGGAAAATCACAAAAATTCAATTTCTCGAGAGAAACTTTTGTATTCCTTATTGAAAATACAAGTTATAAATAATAATTAAGAACATTTTGGGATCATATTAAATATCACATAGGATCAGAATTACAAATACATGTACACGCCTTTAATCACACTTACATCTACTGTCCTGGGGACCCATCCCCTTCTGTGGCCATAAGGTGGGGCAGTTTTCTTGCTTGCAACAGGCAGCTGAAACAGTTTGAATCAAACATTTATTTTTCATTCACAAATCACAATCAATTCATCAGTATAACAGGGAATCAAAATAATTATTTCACTTCTATAATTATCCAATTAAGATTTTATTGTAAAACTTTACACAGAGGTATATACACAAAATACATGTTTACATGTCGGGATATAGCAAAATACATAAACGGAAGTTATCATAAACCCAAGTTTGCATTATATGCATTAAGGATGAGTGAATAGAAGATATTTGTAAAACTTGAAATAACACTCTTTGAAACCCTTAGAAATGCTAGGGATTTTTCAGACCCTTTTTGTATAAAAATATTTTCATGTTCTTTCTAAGAACCTTTCTAATATATATTCTCGACTACATACCGAAGCATTTACACGTCTTATGAGATCTTCATCTTCCCTGTCATGAACATACTGCGATGGAGCAGGCAAAATGCTGAAAAGAAGAAAATGGAAATGTTCAATCACAGGGTGAGCCAAAAACTGGAACATCTTCAGTTTATTGCAACTTTTTTATCAACTTATTATCTCCAATGGGGAAGTTCATACATCAAAACAACAACAATTCTTGTCAAAAATTTCTAATAAAAACTTGCTTTTAGGTTATGTGACCTTGGAACTGGGAACCTTATTGGGTAAGGTAGGTCTGCATGTTCAGAGATATTAATGGCTTCCTCACTGCAGCCCCATGTTATTTTCAGGTACACATAACTTATTCCATATATGGTATTTTCCCAATATAAAAAACAACTGGCCATTGAGTTTGATGCTTCATATAGGCGAATATTAACCTTTTTCGAATAGGTCAAACTATCATCAAACTACTATCTACTTCTTATGATCTTCTCCAGATTATCTGCAGATTGTGACTGATCAATGTAAATAATGCTTCAATTTGATTGGCAATTGAACTGACGACATAACAGTGTGCAAAATAACTTTTTTTACATATCGCCATATCTGGCAGGTTCGCATCTTGCGAATGGCGAGGAGATATTTTGCATACTGCTTTAGTATGTGATTGGATAACTGAGATGACACCCATGCCTACTGGTAATGACATAGAACTGACAAGACTGGCACATTCAGTATTTTCTTGAAGATCTTCAGACGAGACGACAGGAAAATTAGAAAAATCGAGGCCATACGCGAATTTACCCCACATTTATTGTGGTATGCTCTCCCAAATAACTCCGATTGATTATCCAAATCTCTGTAGGTTAACTACAGGGATGTACACTATTATCCTCACATTCTGGTAATTGACAAAAAATTGAAAAAAACAAAAAAAATAAAACAGATCAAAGAACATTAAATTATTAGGGCTAATTGCGTACCAATCATGCAGTTTGAGGTGATAAAACTTGGCGTCTTCTTCGGTGATAATAAGATGTTTCATAAACATTCATAAAAATGAATTGATTATGAGTGATATAGGAAATAAATCAATATTTACCTCGATAGCGAAATTCCAGCTCCGGACATTTTGTTTTTAAAGAGGGCGCTGAACATGTAGTCTCACTTCTACGAGATGTTTATTTTATTGAAGGATGGCTATTTTCAATCACCAACGATACTTTTTTATTTCTACTTGATTGAATTTACGCCAATAGAATTGATCATTTATATTCAAAAGTATCGCATTTGAAAATGTAGACGATTTTTTCTCAAGGTCATTCAAACCCGGAAATAGATTTTTATATTTTTCAAAATTAGTACATTTTGATATGAATATCACATAATTGCTACTTCAAATATATTTTACACCTCATATGGTGTGAAGTATGAGTCTAAGATCAGTTTGGATTGTTTCTTTACCAGGGAGAACAATAGGAAAAGTTTTATTTAGCAAGTACGTAATTTTCACTCAATTATCGCCCATTAATTTCTTATTAATTTTTATTTATTTCTCTTATAAAATCATATACAGGTGGCTATGATATCTAGTTTATCACTGATTATATCAACTGTAGTCAATCTTAAGTCATTTCAAACGTTTCAATCTGTTCACCGTTGAAAATGAAATTGTAATTCTAGAATTTCAAGAATATTCTGCTGCTTACGGACCTCTGCTAGATTACCTCTTCTTGGTAGTGTCTAGGCTCAATAAATATACTCAAGAACAAGACACAAAATCTTCAGATATCAATGAATATCACATGTCATACCTCAAATGATGCGTACTGTTGTTAGGTTCATTTGAGACTTACATAAAACATCTCCAATCACTAAAACCACACATTCAAGACAGCTAGCATCTGTTGATTAAAGCATAAAATAAGTGAGCGAACCTTTAATGGAGTGCTTCGGCTATTTCTGTTGTTCAAATGATTATTCCCGAAGTCAAATGCCTTTTCTGAGAATGTGATGCCACTCCGGATGACGTCACATCAGAGGTTACAGAGAAATCCCATGATGTTTCTTTAAACTCCTGTAGAAACAATAACAACGGTTTGTTAGGCTACGCGATCCTTTACTTTCATTGGCTGTTTGTTGGGATGTGACGTAATTCAATAGACGAACAACATCGGACACTGCCGGAAATTACCGAAGCAAGTTCCATTATCTTTACGCTCTGAAAATTTAAAATAAATGTCTTGGGAAAATTCGATATACAGCGTCAATAATTGATATCATGCAACCATTCAAACTAATACATAAAGGAGAATTTACAGGGTAAATATTGATCACTCAATGTTTGAGAGATGGAAAAGATAAAGGTCAGTACGGGCGTCATATTTTTGGGTGGTCATTTTTTGGATGTGCCATTTTTGGTTGGTGTCTTATCTTCTCATTTATTCTTTGAGCCAATACCAAAAGGGGCTGGGTCTGGTTCCGGATTTGTGCTTGTGCCTGTTTGCTGTTTCAAGCTTTTCAATCACTTGACCATTCATGAAGAAATGATTGGCATTTCGCCGGTTTTTTTAAGCATTTCTATCAATAAATCTTGGAAATCGAAATTCATATGTGGACACCATATTTTATTTATCATTTACGTTCAGGTATTTTGGGACTGTAGAAAGACGAGCTAAGATATTTGATGGTGAATTCTATACCAGCATCCCAGATCATAATGCTTTCTATGAGGCGCTTACGTCAGAATTGGGTGTGACATTGAATCCACTGAATAAGGTAAAACCATGAACATATTTTTGACTTTGATGACTATATCGTTCATTCCATCATGATAGTGGATTATATCACATTATCAGAAGTCAGTTTACATATGAATTATGTTGTTCTTGTAAAGTGGTCCATTATACATTATCCAAATCACCCCTAGCCTATATTGTATTATCAATGATTCACTATTTGCTTCAGATATCATGTAATATAAATGATTTATATCAGTGTATCTTATACATTTTTCAGGGCTCCACACGTGACAGCTGTGGTAACATTGGCCAGAAACCTGTATTTGAACTCACATTGAAGAATAACAAAAAGCTATGGCCACTTTTAGTTGTTGAACAGGTACAGTAAGACCTTTCAAAATTCCCTTTAAAAAACTCACATTGAATGATAATCATGAAGGCCAGTAGCCAGGATTTGCCAAGTTTTTTTTAGAAAATTCCAGAGGAGGATCACTTTTGACAACTTTGGATCGCTCGAACCCCCTGCCCCCTAACCCCACCCCTGTATATGGGCCTTTCATGCTAATGTATTTTAGCTGGACTTCATGTCTCATATGTTAGAAAAACCTCTTCAGGAGTGAAGCAAATGGGTGCTGAATCTACTTTGAAGTTTTGAAACTGTCACCTACCTGGAAACCTGTTTTCGCCAAGTTGAAAGGGAGGAAAATCATGAAAAATTGATATATTTTGATTAGCTGGATCAGATTTGTAAAAACTGATAATTTACACCCACTTGTGGAATGCCATTCTGGTTTCCCAGACCACCTATCTGCTGCTTTTTGTAAAGTTCAAGACAAAGGGTGTGTGGGGATCACCATAGTCAGGAATGCCTGAAGTTAGAATGTGCATCAAAATAATTATGGGAATTATAAGAATATTTATGAGGATTAGTATCAGATCTAACAAGCAAAATATTTCTCAAATTTTAAAATATTTTTAGGGCTAATATCATTCTTTTTCATGTTCATTTCCAAAAGTCCCCATAGCGCATTCTTTATTTGAGAAAACTAAAGATTTTTACAATAATGTACCATGTCCATTTCTCTTTTCTAAATGTGTTGTGACCACATTTTATATTTCGGAGAATTTACATATTAATATTTTATTTGAACAGTGTATAATGAGTTCTTGTGAAGGAGCCCGTAACATAAACGATAAATGATATATTTTTCAGTATGGTGTATTGTTTTGCTGTCTTCCACTAGTAGAGGATGGGTGTGGCAGTAAACCTCCTCTTGTCAAAATGTAAGTTACAATAGTTCATTTCAAGTCATACATTAGATGACTTTTATTTAAGAAGTGGTAACATATTCTTACAGCTTTCATTTTTAATTTTCATTCTTGAAGTTGTAACATATTCTTACAGCCTTCATTTTTAATTTTCATTCTTGAAGTGGTAACATATTCTTACAGCCTTCATTTTTAATTTTCATTCTTGAAGTTGTAACATATTCTTACAGCCTTCATTTTTAATTTTCATTCTTGAAGTTGTAACATATTCTTACAGCCTTCATTTTTAATTTTCATTCTGAAGTTGTAACATATTCTTACAGCCTTCATTTTTAATTTTCATTCTTGAAGTTGTAACATATTCTTACAGCCTTCATTTTTAATTTTCATTCTGAAGTTGTAACATATTCTTACAGCCTTCATTTTTAATTTTCATTTTTGAAGTTGTAACATATTCTTACAGCCTTCATTTTTAATTTTCATTCTTGAAGTGGTAACATATTCTTACAGCCTTCATTTTTAATTTTCATTCTTGAAGTTGTAACATATTCTTACAGCCTTCATTTTTAATTTTCATTCTTGAAGTTGTAACATATTCTTACAGCCTTCATTTTTAATTTTCATTCTGAAGTTGTAACATATTCTTACAGCCTTCATTTTTAATTTTCATTCTTGAAGTTGTAACATATTCTTACAGCCTTCATTTTTACTTTTCATTCTGAAGTTGTAACATATTCTTACAGCCTTCATTTTTAATTTTCATTCTTGAAGTTGTAACATATTCTTACAGCCTTCATTTTTACTTTTCATTCTGAAGTTGTAACATATTCTTACAGCCTTCATTTTTAATTTTCATTCTTGAAGTGGTAACATATTCTTACGACAGCCTCAATTTCTAGTGACTGGCATACATAACCTGTAGTTGACATTGATGAGTTAAATTACTTAATTCTTTTGATGAAAATATGTTAACTTGAATGTTGTAGGGTTTCACAGGCACAAATTTTAATCCAAATATTACATCTTTAAAAATGCCACAATTACCCAGAATTTTTTGCTGTTACAGAACAGGTCTATCTGTTGGATTCTCACTGCTGTTAGGCATGGCTGATTGTATTGGACCTCTTAACCAACCACTTGCTGAGGTACATATACATTACTTCTGAGTATTGCACATTAAAGTAAAATCTGCCTGATGTAACTCCCATCTGTAAGGAGCATCTTTTTAATCCACCAATATACAGGGTGTCCCGAAAGTATGGGCCCCCCCCCTAGGCAGACATATTCCAGTGTCCTCATAGTATGTGTCATATATCATTTTAAAGCTTGTCCAAAGTTACATTGATTTGCCAAGTATCAGGGTTTAACTCCCAAATGGGAAAAAGTTACAACCATTTTAAAAGTTAGTGTTTTGTCAAAATAAAGTTCAATTTTACACCACACTACTAGTCAATGTGTCCCCCCTTGGCCATGTTAACAGTGGCAATTATTTTCAGATATGACCTTAAAAGCGCTTCAAATAGGAGTGTGTAATTTTATAACCCTCTTAAAACCTGTTAAGGGACTTTAGAAGAGTTTCCTTAGAGTTTCTACCCTCACCGTTCTCTTTTTCCAACTCAATATCCATCCGACCCGAAAAGAATTGCTGCTGTTAAAATGGCCCGGGAGGACACATTGACTAGTGATTTGGCGTAAAATTGAACTTAATTTTGACCAAACACTAAATTTTGAAATGCCTGTAATTTTTTCACATTTTAGAGTTGAACCATGATACTTGGTGAATCAATGTAACTTTGGATAAGCTTTAAAATGATATATGACACTTACTATGACGACACTGGTATATGTCTGCCTAGGGGGGGGCCATACTTTCGGGACACCCTGTACAACTGTTAAAAAAACAATTTCAATTATGCATGCTAAGAAATTCTCTATGTAAGTAGCACCTGTCCACGAGGAACAGTATTGGCCAGTACAGAGTCTACCATAAACACAGGTTTTATTGTATGTTCATCTTGATATGATATGTTGCTTTTATCTAAAATGACTACAATGTGGACCAAGAACAGACCAAATAAGCATTGCAAAATTCAATTATCTTGAACAGGAAGTTTTTGTCTACCCTTTATTTAGCTGTTTCCTTTTTCAGACTTCTGTGAAGTTGGCAGAACTACATGGCTACCTTCACCAGGCTGCACCATTTGGTACTCCAACAATGATCAGTCCCCATGTTGTCAAGGGAACACTACTTAGTAGATCAACTACCAGTCAATCTGGACAGAAGGTTAGGAGTCTACATTATAAGCTCATATGGTGAACTGTATGTCCATCCATTTGTTGTGAGGTGAACCTCACTTATTAGATCAACTACCAGTCAATCTGGACAGAAGGTTAGGAGTCTACATTATAAGCTCATATGGTGAACTGTCTGTCCATCCATTTGTTGTTGAGTGAACCTCACTTAGTAGATCAGCTACCAGTCAATCTGGACAGAAGGTTAGGAGTCTACATAAGTTCATATGGTGAACTGTCTGTCCATCCATTTGTTGTTGAGTGAACCTCACTTAGTAGATTAGCTACCAGTCAATCTGGACAGAAGGTTAGGAGTCTACATTATAAGCTAATATGGTGAACTGTCTGTCCATCCATTTGAACCTCACTTAGTAGATATTTGAAATCTGACTTGAGGGCTAGAATTTCACAAACTGTGACATTGGCTTAGCTAGCTATGTGGCATGCAATAAATATTTTTTAGGCATGTTTTAATAGATTAAAATCCTCTTTCTCGCAAAAATCAAAATAAAGATTTACTATCAAATGTCTTAAATGAAAGAGATCTTTTAGATATTTATTTCTGATCATCAAAAACATGATTAAATTTAATTGATGAGATAAAGTACAATATGTAAGAGATCTTGCTAAAATATTGAAATTACAATTAAAATAAATGTAATGAGAAATCATTGTTTTGTTCCAGCATCCTGCTTGGAAGCCAGTATCCCATAGAGGAAAATCTCAACTCTATCTTGCCATTACAGAACAGATTAGAGCAGTGCAAGTGAGTAGATCCCTCAACTGAAAATTTAGTATATTATGTCACCACCAGATGTGATGACATACTGTTAAAGTCTCCAACTCTATCTTGCCATTACAGAACAGATTAGAGCAGTGCAAGTGAGTAGATTCCTCAACTGAAAATTTAGTATATTATGTCACCACCAGATGTGATGACATACTGTTAAAGTCTCCAACTCTATCTTGCCATTACAGAACAGATTAGAGCAGTGCAAGTGAGTAGATCCCTCAACTGAAAATTTAGTATATTTTATCACCACCACATGTGATGACATACTGTTATAGTCTCCAACGTGGATGATGATTGGTGTTTGCTGATGGGCATTTGGCAGCTGTAGCAAATGGAAGGTGGTGACATTTTGTATGTCAATGCCTTGTTTGTATGTTGTCAGAGTATTTCGTTGATGTCAGTGTCAAAGGAGCAGGTAAGATATGGCAAGCCATTTTCAAAGGGCTATATCTTTAATTCTAAGAATACTTTAAACACAAAAAACAAATGGTTCTGTTAGATCCATGTCTTGTCTTCAATAAATGACAGTAGGATAATAATCAAGTTGAATGGATTATCTCTTAAGCTGTCCCTAATCCACCAATCTTCACCAATTTTCCCTAATTCGGACGCAATTTTCACCAAAAATGCAGCATTTTATTTCAGCTTTTATGGCAAAATTACAATTTATTGTAAGGAATGATCTACCTCTAAAAAGGAAAACTTGATTACTTTGGGATTAGGATAATCCAAAAACAATAACTTTTTTAGGCCGAATCTTTTACCTCAAAGTAGCAATTTTTTAATGAGATTAATGCATGAAAACATTGAGCTATGTCACATGATTGATTTCCAAAAAGAAAAAAATGATCTAAATGAGATAAGCATTATCTGATAATCCATTTGTCATTTTTACCTCATAGGCCATGACCTTAGTGTGAAGTGTATGAAAAGATGTCACTTAGAGCGACATTTAGATGTACCCTATTTTATGCAATCATGTTCATAGATAGAGTTATATATGTTCCATAGATGGCATGATATATTCTACATGGGTGAGTGCTAGATACTCTGTGTATTCATTGTTGCATAATTGCGTATTATAGAAATGAGCATGGATATGTCAACATGACTGGGTCGTGTAAAGTTTGTACAGTAAAACATAAATATGTTTAACACCTAGTAAAACACATAAGAGGAAATACTTGTTTATATATTTGAATTGTATAGTGTGAATGAATATTTGAAATATTACACATTTGCGATGTTTCAACAAACATGATTCAATACCATCTTATTTGAATTAACTCTTCCCATGTGTATCTTTCTTTATCATCAACCATATTGGGGGTTTCGAAAGTGCCTTATGTAAAGGAGTTTGCTGTAAATGATCTTTCGAATAGTGTTATATGTAGTAGGTATTGATACAGGTACCACTGTATACAGAGTACATGCAAATAATAATTTTCTCCAATGGTTTGGCCAAACATTTTTTGCATTTTTTGTTCATTTCAAATTTTATTGGATTGTTTTTGCTGATTGGAATTTTTATGGAATAATAAACAGTTTAATGCGTTGGGTTTTACCCTTTGACAATATGTATATGGCCTTGTGTAATTATGGCCTTGTGTAATTATGATATTGTCACGTACTCGATCACTCTATATTCTCAGTCAATACTTCGGGCTTTGTATGAAAAACCTTATACCTTGTACCCACGTGCCGGCGCACTTGGGGCATGATACATTATTTGAAGAGTTCAATTCTAACGTTTCAGATTATTCTGATCATATGAATTGTAGGTGCATTAATGCACTTGTAGACCTACGTGTATGTCTTATAGATCCAACATTTTTCTTGTCATAAATAAGGCCAGAATTGCAAAATTGTTTACCTTTGCTATTTCGATAAAAATTGCCTAATTGAAATGCTCGTTCACTATAGAACCAATCTACACTTAAACGATAATTTACGATTCCTGAGACTACAACTATCTTTAATCATGCTGTGATTAAATAAAATGATACCCTGACATATTTAAAACTTATTTAGAATGGATTTTTCTCTATTGAAAAGTCCTTTGAATGGCGCTATTTTGACAATCAATGAAAAACAAAAAATTAACAATTCTGGCTTTATTTTATGACTCTGTATCTATCTATCTTTCACTAGACGAAGTTCACATCAATGGATACTATGAATGTATTTATACCTCAGGTAGCTTTGAAATTGAATAATCTTTTAAAACTTTAAAAATTGAACCCTTCAAAACTGTATCACCACCCACGTACATGGGTATGAGGTACGAAGCCAATACTTCGTAAAGAAATCATGAAATAACAACATGTAGAACAAGGCATTGCCATTACAAAATGTCATCACCGTGTAGTTCAAGTCAAATCTTGAAAAGAAAATGATTATATGAAGCAAGTTGAAAAATGCCTTTTTGAACTTTTTGAACTTGAGAGGTCAAATGTCAATTCAAAAGTCAGATTTGACTTTTGAGAACTTGTAGGTGATTTTGAAAATTCGGTCAATTCGAAGCAAGTTGAAAAATACCTTTTAGACCCTCTTCACTTTGAGAAGGTCATTGAAGGTCAATTGTAAAATTTAAAGTCAGATTTGAATTTTTGAAAAATTGGTCAATTTAAGACCGTTTTCACCTTAAAGAATATGAATGTACAGTAGTAAGAAAGAGGAGTGCATTCTTGTTGTATTGTTTTTGAAGAATGGACACTGCAGCTATCTAAAACCAGTGTGGCACAAAATATGATTGACAGTCTTTGGCTCAATATTTACACCTTGACTGTCACATGCAGTGCACCGAAGCTGTTCTTATTAAACCATTTTCAATCACTCAATAGTTGAATTGTAAACACAAAATAAATACAATTTTCAATGTGCCTTGCCTGATACATGCAGTGCATTGAAGCTGAACCAATCAAACCAACCCACTTCTCTACACATTTACCACATAGTTAATACAAAAGAATTTTTCTAAACTTGGATCATGGGTCAATTACCCTTCATAAGAATCAGTGTGGAGTTTAAGTTAGATAAACTATTCGAAATGGGTCATATGAGAACTAATAGCCTCACGCCAAGCCCCTCTGCTATTATTTCTCATAAAACCCAGTACTCATAGTTTATCCGTAACTGAATGAACGATTAGAGGATTCAGTGACCTTCTATAAATTACAAACTGAACATGTTGTTATACCTTAGATGACTACCTGGTTGTTATTCACTAAAGGGGGTCTCATTATAGGTTGGCACATAAAAATGCCTTTGGGTTCAATGACTGCCACTTGGTTTGGGGTTGTTGCTTTTAGGGGCTGTAATTAGAAATAGAGGTTTTGGTTTTAATAAGGGATCCCAAACTTATCTTTAGGCCATAGGTCTATGTAAAAGTAGTAAAGAGTAAACTTATGCCTTCCTTCCTACTACTTTTCCCTAGGCCTATGCTGTAGGTCAATCGACGGAATTATGATTACGCTTAGGGGTGCTGTGATTCCAGAAATCAATAAATGCTGCATCTAATATAACACCATTCTTGAGTCAATTTGACCTAGGATGAAGAAACTACATAGGTGACCACGGGCTTTGAAACCCCATTACAAGTAGTAATAGCGAATTCAATTAACAACTGTCAGATCAACCTACTATTTTATGGCTCATTAAATATAAATAGTACCTGCCACTATTTCATTCATATTAAAATGAATTTGCCATCAAAAGTAGGTTAAATCATCGCCTTTTACCCAACATATGACATCATAAATACTATCAAAGTGCAGTCTAATACCGAATGAGCCAAAAATGTAGCCCAAACTAATTCCGCATCTGTTAAAATGTTATTTCGCATAATAAAACCTTGTTTAGTGTTCTTTCATTTTACTAAGTTTAATTGGCCCTGCCCCAATAGTCGGGATTTTATGGCTATAAAACGAAACATGGTCCAAAATGCCAGCCTCATCTCATGACTACGGGCTATCTCTGAGATAATGTCAACCCCTACAACAAGTAGCAGAACAATTTCTGTGACCATGAACATACAACCTCAACCGACCAGTGCAGGTCTGCCTGAAGGGACGAGGCTGAAATTTGTAGAATGGCCATAGAATTGTGACCTTGAGGAATGGACCCATGAAACATGGTAAAATGCAAAAAGATTTTACATGGTAAAATTAACTAAATATGATTTCAACTCATACTGGATGAATGAGTTAATAACATTTCTTTGGATGACATTTTTGCCTCACCCTGTAATTCATTTTATTTTCACACTTATTCATTTCAGCCTGCCCTAATATAACAAAGAATCTAGGTTGAATAGCCAAAACCAGGCACATGTAATTACAAAGAACTATTCAGTATATAAATAGCTATACGTGAATGACACGACTGTTTTATACACAAACAATACAAGGTTAAATACAGGATTATAATCCATAACGCTGAGTAAGTCACTATCTGAGTGTTGTAACAAACAAATTATTTATGGCACTTAGCTGCCCTCTATTTTGTAATTGTATAATATTAGTATGAAGCACTTTAAAATATCAGAAAAAATACTAAAAAATCACGAAAAAAATATCAAAAAGTAGGTTTACAATTAACTTTTCCCCTTTACAGTTTAAATCATGTCTTAAAGTTCAATACAACTTTGCACTAAAAATTATTAAAAAGGCCTGCACTTTTGGTGAAAATTGCATCTGAATTAGGGAAAATTGGTGAGGATGGGTGGATTAGGGACAGCTTAAGAGATAATTCAATCAACTTGATTATCATCCTTATGTCATTTATTGAAGATAAGACATGGATCTAACAGAACCATTTGATTTTGTGGTTAACTTATTCTTCGAACTAAAGATATAGCCCTTTGAAAATGGCTTGCCATACCTTTCGTGCTCTTTCTGTAACAATTCACAGCGTTACATTTTGTAATGTTTAGGCCTTGTTTCTAAATTTTGAGCCTTTCAAATGCAAAAAAGTAACAAAAAGATTGTTTAGAGTTAAATTACCCTTAATACTTATAGAAACAGGTCATCATATTTTATAACGTAGTTTATTTATTTTACACAAAATCGTGCCTGCAACACACACAAATTCTAATATTTTCAAAAATATTTTTATTTTTGGCAAAAAGAATAATACATTGGAAGCAAAATACAATACTGTTTTAGCAGGTTAGATATTCTAATATAAATACAAGCTCTTCAAATTTAAACTGAAAACTGAATTGTTAAATGTGTAATGTACATCAAAATCAGGTAGCGTCTTGTACAAATGCATGTGTTTGTCAGTGTCATTGTGTATCGTCCATTTTATCATCTTCATCTTTTGTATCATCGATGAATTCGCAGGACCAGCTTGTGACATACCTGCGGCCAGTTTCACTCGGTCTGTTAAAGAGGGTGTTAACCATTAGGTCGTGGTCAGCGAGTCTACTTTTCAGGTCTCTTATTTCATCTTCTTGCTCCTGCAGTTTGTCTTCCTGTTCTTTCATGAGCTCTCGGGGCTGAATTTGAAATTCATGAATCATGTTAACTGGGTTTCAAATTACAATAAGTAAAATAAGTATATCTGAACACCTCATTAATGTAACGCCTCTTAATGTAAACACTTTTTCATTTTCCATTTTTAATCTGCCATAGGCTTCCATGTTAAAAGTTTTAAAATCTGAACACCTGTATATCAAAACACCTATCTAATCTGAACACTTCTAAATGTAAACACTTTTTCATTTCCCATTTTTAACCTGCCATAGGCTTCCATGTTAAAAGTTTTGAAATCAGAACACCTACATATCTGAACACTTGATCAATGACCATATTTTCTTTTTATACTGGCTATTTTTGTGTATGAGGGAGCATAATTTATTTCGAAGTTACCATGATCACATATGCCTTGTTCTTGTCCAATAGTTCATCTGCCTTTAAACCTGCAATGAAAATGTATATTTTCAAATTATTCATAGAAAGCAAAATTTATAAAAATGGGGTTCGGTAACAATGGAATATTGCATCACAGATTCTCTGAATGCAGGCTTGTAACAGTAGAACAACTAGTATCATGAAATTTTGATCTTTAATCATGATCTGGAACATAGGCAAAGCCCGATAGGAATAATTTTTAAATAAAGATGGCATGGTGATTGATCTGTGTTTATTTATAAATGAAAAAGATAATACTGGATTCTGTTGGTGCTGCCATCTTTATATCGGCCCAGAACCTATGATCTGGAACAACTTGATCATGAATCACATTAAAATAAGAACACAATTATGGGTTGAAAATTTACTTGTATTGTTAAGTTCCTAACCTGAGAAGCAGGATGGAAGATGAATGTGTCTTTACATCCAGGCCCGTAGCCAGAGGGGGTTCGATGGGTTCAAGGGAACCCCCCTGACCAAAACATCTTTCAAAAACATGCAGCTTTTCACAATTCTGAGCACTTTTTAAGTGATTTTGGCCATTTTTGGACCAAAATTGTCACAAGTGAACCCCCCTGGATTTTTTCAAAAAGTGAACCCCCCTTGGCAAATCCTGACTACGGGCCTGCCATCTTACTTACCTAAATTGTAAATATTGGTGGTTCCTATGGTTACATTACTACAGTCCTTAATGACAACTGCTCCACTATCTTCTGAAATCATAACACATTTAATTGATGTCTTTTGAGTTTCTATGAAGCTGATAACGACTTGATGTCAGGTACTTCATGTGACATAAGACTTAAATAAACATATGACATTTTAATTGGAGAACAATTATCTGACATTGACAAAGAGATTTTTTAAAAAACATATTTGCTTATGTATTAATTTTTCTAAAAAGCTTGTTATATCTACATGTGTATTGTTTTGATTTTCCTTATTTTGAAGCACACATTTTTGTACTTTGTTCTTTAAAAGAAATATTTTAGAGAAGTACTCCAATTACCTTGATCTTCTAGCACATACACAATGGAGCCGGCATCAAAGTTATCATTTTCATCGAGATTCAGTTGATCATTTGAGGTAAATTCACTGTTGCTCTGAGCCTGGGCTAAAAAAGAATTCCATATAGAGGAATAAATAACCTAAAACCAATAGACCTTAGGTTTGTTTTCTCAATAACCCTACAATATTAGTATTAATAACGCTTCTGTTCTGTTGAGGGAGCAGCTTGAAAGTCTAATTAACTTGAATTAAGAGTTACTAATTCTATTTGCATAGGTTAGTGTGACCTCCCCTACCTCTATCTGACATCTATATTTGTGAAATGGTGATATTTGTTGTTTTCTCTAGTCACACTATCATTAACATATTTGTGTTGTATGTTCCAACATGATATTTGATACATTTAGCATGTTGTATTCACTTTAAAAATCATAGGGAACAGTTTTAAAGTTTTACAACCTATAATATACTGTGCACTTATGAAAAAACCTGGGAATGAGCAAAATATTCTAGATAAGCTATCTATATAGTGTTTAGATACTCTGCAACAAACTCAGCAAAGAGAGTTGTAAAAGAGATGTTTGGCCAAATACAATTGTATATATTTAAAGTCCCAATATAAAGTTTTTAGTTTGGCTTATATTGTAGTGTTTATTTAATTTCGAAAAGTGGTTTTTGAAGGACTTTTAGCTCGAAAAATCCTGAATTTATATGTATATATAACTAAATTTTATAGGGCACATATATCACCAATGCATAGCATACATCCTCACATGTTTTTTGAAAAAAATTGCTGCAATCGTGTTTGATGTTTAAAATATTTCAATTTTTATTTGAAAAAAGGCAGAAAATTTGAATATTTGAAAAACAAGAAGCTTATAACTGTTTTCTCAAACTTACATGTTTAAAGTCATGACAAATAGTAATTGATTGATAAGAACATATTTTCAAACTTTACACTGGGCCTTTAACACTTTAACTAGATTTATGACTTCATTTCTTCATGTGAAGCGGATGCAAATAATACGTGCAGTCATAAGGCAAACACATCGAATGAGTCATCTATATATTAATCACTAATGCATCCAATCTTTTCATTCAAAGTGATAGTGTATCATTTTAAGACAATTGGTACGCATGTCCTTTTCAAGCACATATATGCTATTGCTGACAGGGCCTTTATACACATTAAAATTGAAGTTACTTTGTAAAGTTACACACTGATAAACATTTAAAGTCATGAGTTCATATTTTCAATTGATTGTACATGTATATGTAATTGAATAAATTGTGTTTACTAAGTAATAAATGGAATTTGAAAATTTAAAGAATGAGGTCAAAAGTCAGAGTCCAATCCAATACCTTCTAGCTTCAATGCATGTCCTGAATTCAGTGCCTTATCACATTCTTGGCTGTAAAAGTGAGGAAGTACAGTCCTCAGATAAGGTCATGGAGTATTGTACTTCTTGAACCAAACCACAAGAAGTTGTCATCATGGGGGTCAGTAGGGAGTATCTCATAATATCTAATTTCCTTTGAACTAGAAAGGCAGTGGAGGGGGGGGGGGTTAATGAGCCGCCCATTATACAAAGTTAGCTTAATATCAAGCATCAATATATTGACTAGATGTGAATAGAAATAATCTTAATTTATGTCATTAGATATTCAAAATTCAGTCAAAGTGAAATCATATTTGTTATCCAAAACTTTTAATCAACTTTTGAAGATTTAATTTTTCATACTGATTTAGAACATATGCACAACATGTTATATAACAGATATCATATAAAACAGTCAAAAATGATAAAATGTTAAAAGGTGTATAGAATACAATATCATCATTGCTAGCAGGGAATAAGATGAGAGGGGCTACAAATGAACACGACAAATTTAAGTTGATAATCTCACAAAATCCTGTATTGAACTTTTGAGATGTTCCCCTACACTAATAAATGGAATACATTTTTCTACTTAGTTTTACATGACAACTTTATGAACTAGTTTTTGAAGTTAGAGGAGATAAAAAAAAAGAAAAGTGATTGGTTTCGTTTTGGAGGTGATGACTCATATCTAACCTTGAATTTAGGTTTAAATCAACATTGGACTAAATGTAATCACTGATAGAGTAAACCCTGCAGGTCTTTTATTCTATACCATACTTTTCACTCCTTTACAAAATAACAACATTATTTCAAAGGAAAAAGCAAATGGCATGCAGTTCCTTTATTTGACTCTTAGTTGACAATAGGTGGAATGTATAATGACGTTGGATGGAATGTACAAAACAATGCTATACATTTACGAAAACTGAGGTGACAGGTTGTGCTAATGAGTGACACATATTATTGTACCAGATTTTTATTTATTTTTGTGTATAACATGAAAATTTAAAATTTTGGGGTCCTTCACAGTCACTTCATTAAAGCATAACAGTTAGTAAAGTATTTCTTCAAATTTTTCTTGGGAAGGTTAACGTTTAGGCAACCAAAGAATGAATATATGCAGCCAGAAAACTACAATAACAATACAATTCACCCAACCAAAAACTGTAACCTATACATGCATGAAACAGTGTGTCAGCCTGATTGGTAACTGAGTTAACCAGTGCATAATACAGTGGTCTCCCCAGCATTAAATCAAGTGGGTGCAGCACCCACGTGAGATTTTGAAAATAGGCTTCCACCCACCTGAAAATCCATTTGCACCCACTTGAAAATGGGAAAAATTTTGAAAAATTTTCATATTTTGACCAATTTCGGTCTGAATTGTGAAAATGAAATTTTGCACCCACCTGAGAAAAAATCCTGGGGAGATCAATGCAATAGAAATTATTTACATTCTAATTCAAACAAACATAAAGGGTTATTCATATCAAGTGAGCTCATTACCTTCTGAAGGACTCTCTTTAGAGTATGGCATGTCATCTTTGTTAATGGTAGCCTGACCTTGGTTCCCTGCAAAGTAAATGTCAATGGGTTTATGGCGAGTACGTCATAATTTATGTCATATTTAGAAGGATTATAACATATAGGGTGACCCAAAAATATGGCCCTTTATAATGTCTATCTTATTTAGATAAAATATACCAAAATATAGGGTGACACGAAAATTCAGTCTTACATTCTCAAATATGATGAAATCTTCATGAATTTTTTTTTATAGATAGATCGTTCAATTTGGGTTTGGTGCATTTACGTAGCATTGAAGAGTTAAGAGAAATCATGTTTTCATTGGAGGCATTTTTCATGCCAACTAGCCTGATAAGTAATATCTATGAACGAAATCTAGAAATAACTAAATAAATGGTGAAAGTAAAATCCCAAAATTCAGAAAATTCAAAAAATAGTATTTGTTTACATTTTTGATGATTTTTTTACTTGAAAATCAGGGTATAGGAAAATGTTCTCTAAATAACAAACTTCTTATTGATCATATATGTATGAATTTAACACTCCATCTACACGATAAATCAAAGGGAATCTGACTTAATTGGAAAACTTATTCCAGGGTTGCAATTTTTGTGTCACCCTGTACAATGTCACTATGTCCAATAGGGGCAATAATGCTTCATAAACAAAAGCCCTCGACAATATTTATTTTCTGTGAGATAATAATTTAGGGGAATAAAACAATGACACATAAAAATGTGTGTCATTTAAGGCACCTTGTAAATATAATTAAAAAAACATGTCCGGTAGTTTTCCAGATATTTTCAAATTCAATGACTGTTTTTCTTCATTTCTGTATTTTGTTTTTGTCGGTTTCACTTGAAACCATGTGGTCTTTTTGCAACTCAGTTTTACACATTCTCATTAAAAGTTTTTAAAAATATAGAACATGTCATTTCAACATTATTTCAAAATATTCTGCTTTTGATCTATATTTTCCATATCTAGTAAATATACACATTAAAATCTGGAAACTTTACCAATTCATTCATTGTTATAATCTTGAATCAGAAAATAGGTTATCCCACAGATTTACACATGAATATACACCAGAAGTGTCACCTGTTTACTGTACATTTGATGTTGAAATATATATGAATGAATAAATAAATAAAAAAATAAAATAATCTATCAGAAGTAAACAATGAAGTTGTAATAAATCAAATTGACACTTACCACCGCATGCACACAGAAGATTCCTTCCTCTCTTCAGAAATGACATAACATTTGTATTTACATGTACATTTAGGTTGATCAGTGTACACAATTAGACAATTTTATGGACAAATTACTTTGCAGTCTTTTTGCGTTCGCTGAAACTACATGTGTGATGATTTGTAATTGCTCAGATATTTTTAAAATGTTTTTAAGATTGGAATGTGAACAGCATTATCAATACCAATTCAATATCAGTTATTCTTTAACTTGAAGTAGTTAAATGTTTGCTTTTGATACTATTTGTTTGGTATTTATAAGTCAATTGATCAAACAACAATGACTTAGGGGATTCCCCATTTATAAATATCTTTATTACAATACAAATCTGTTTGCACCTGTCACTGATGATCAAATAAATACACAACATGAAAATTAGGGTACCCTATTGAGAATACCCTGTGGAAATACACCTCTATCTGCCTGATTTGAGTTTTATTTACCATTCTCAATTCTGTAGAATATAGGGTTTATTGTGTCACCACTGCAAATTCTATGGAATGTAAGGTGTATGATGTCACCACCACAAGTGGTGACATATTGTTATGGTCTGCAACTTTTTTGTGACGGCGCTTGACATCCGACAGTCTGCAGTCAACATTTTGGAGTTTGGCATCTATGACAAATGGCAGGTGGTGACATTTTGTCTGTTAATGCCTTGTTATCTCACTTTCATGTTTCTCATTTTGTGATTGGTTGAACATGCATCACATGATATGATTAGTATCCATTGATATTTATTTCCCTGGGATGCTTACTGTTCTTTGGCAGAAACTAAGTCTATCTTCCATTCATGTTACAGTATGACAGACAGGACACCCCAGATGCCTATACCCTCACAGGAAGTGCAGTATGTAAGGCTGAACTGGATGGTTTAATACAAGATGTATCTGTTAATCTACAACAGAGAAAAGATGGGGTGCCCCTAGACCACCTTGTGGTACACCCATTTGTCAGCATTTCAGACTCCCAATCTATATACTCTACAGGTACTGGAAACCATTCTCTTTTTCACTATGTCTACTATTTTTACTGCAATATAAAAGAATTTAGAAAGCAAAATTTATGAAGCAAAATCTTGAAAGAGAAAGCATTCATCAACAGGAATTCAGAAAGCAGAATTAAAGATTTACTTGTATTTCCCTTTAAAATACATGTACAACATATTGACTTAATTCTTGAAATTGATGTGAATTAAACATTTCTATTTCACATTTACCAGATTGATTGATTGATTGATCAATTGATTGATTCAGGAATTATATGAAACACATGCTATTATTGTATATTATATTCTTACATCAACCAACAATTGTTATAGCTACAGAACTAATTGTTGTCATGGTTACATATACCTTGCTTCCATGTTTACAGATTCACCACTCAGCTCTACATTAGGCTCACTCAGGGGACCTGAAAATTTTCAAAATATGCTTCGAATAATCATAGTTTCTTATTTCATATCAAGATTTAAGAAAGGTGTCAAATATGCCAACATCAATTAAAACATCATATCAAGTGTAATATATCATAACTTTGATCTTATTGTCTAAACTGTTGTCATAGTTACAGACTCCTTATTGCCATGGTTACAGATTCGCCACCCAGCTCTAGAAGGCTTAGATTCACACCACCTCTAGAAATGTTCACACTGTGCCATTATACTGTGACATCATTACCTCATCTACCAATCAAAGGCTTCTACCAGATGAAACTAAAGGTAGTGTATAATATCCTAGAAGGTGCAAAATGAAAACCACATTCTAAATATGAAATACAAAAAATGTATGTCATGCCCGGTGATTGGACAAAATGAACGGAGGGGGAGAAGGCGATTTCTGCTAGAAAAATCTGGAAAAATGTACTCATTAAGCAAATCAGTGATGAACTTTCTGTTGAAAAATAGATCTTCCAGGTTTGTTGAATTTTCTTGTAGAAATCTGCTACTCCCTCCCTCCATTCGTTTTATCTGATCACCGGGCGTGTATAGAATGTGTATCCCTTTCTCGAATTAATATGTCATTTAAGATTATCTGATGCAAAGCATTACAGGTTTTATATTACACCAACCAGATTCTATTTTTAATATAATAACTTTGGTATTTTATTTAGGACAAAGATTCGGTGGAATTACTTATCCAACTAAAACTGATGGATAATATCAAAGCATCATTTGAATATTGTGAGCTCCAGATACCTTTCTTTAACAGGTAAGAATCTATCAGTATGAAATTGATATGATGTTCTCAATATTTTTAATCTATGATTCTTGTAGATTTTATCACTTGTGTTAATTTAGCATTACTATACAGGCCTGTCGCCAGGGGGGGGGAGTTCAAGCAAAGCCCAAAATTCTTTCAAAATCATGCAGTTTTCAAGTGATTTTGGACCAAAATTGTCACATATTAACCCCCCTGAATTTTTTGAAAAGTGAACCCCCTTGGCAAAAACTTGCCACAGGCCTGCTACTGAGGATTAAAAGTGGATACATTTTGCTTTAATGATGTAATAGAATTTTACTTTAAGAACAAATGATGAGCCTTTTGTGATTAGTAGAGATTTTTTACTTAATTCAAGTTTTCTTTAAAAAATGTTCTTTTTCCAGGGGTCCCATGGTACACTGTGATTCTACCCCAAGCTGTGGAACAACCCTCATGTCCCCTGATAAAACAATACTTGTATGGAATATTGGTAAATATTTTTATTTCCCTGTAATTAGCAGATAAAACTAAATATAGAATTTAACATTAAATTTTCCATCTTGATATGTGCAAAGAACTCCATGCTCTGTGACAATCTTCAATTTTATGTTTCACTTATTCCATTAAAGTGTCTCACATATTCGATCAAAACTTGCCATGCAAACATGTTAGTCTACTTTACTGGCCCCCCTTGCTGTAACAAGGAACACAAAACACATTAAAACGTAAACATTTATTCTGCTTCATTCAAATATTACTATTTTTGGCGAAAGGAGTCTGCAAAGGTGCCGCAAAAGCAAAGAATGAAGAAATATAATCGGATTAGCTAATTAAGCAAATCCACCTAATTAAGCTAATTAGGCAACTTTAATTAGCCTATAATAGCTTATTTCTTAAAGTAAGGTTGAAAAAACTCATTTAAATGGTAAATGCTTAACATACTTACATAAATTGCTGGTCAGTTGTATTTTCATACTGAACCTGATGAGGTGATAGGGGCTGGGTAGGTGGGTTTTTGCAATGCTGCTTGACGGTTTGCTGGCTCTAGCTAGTCTAACTGAAGTTCTAACATGTGCCTATGTGCTGATGCCTTCATCGCAAATTACCTATATAACTATATATTAGCTAATTGGTATACTGCAAGTAAATTCAAGCATGAATAAAACTCTGCATATTGTAAGTTTAATTAACTAAAGGTCAGCATTGGGCACTGGCCTAAGAGAGATAAATAAAACTTAAAGGACCTGTCCAATTTTATATGCCATTTTAGGCAAAACAAGCTTAAGCTTTACGGCACCAATTTCAAACTCCTTTTCAATGCTTTCAACTTCATTCAATTCATAAATCAAATTATTTCATAATTTTCATAAACCAATTAGTCACTTCACTATGAAAGTGAGGGGTGTTGTTTATTAGCAGAATACGCTGTGTGCATGGACTAACACAATATCAGTGGTCATTTACTGTGTCAACTTAGTAACCCTTGCATATCGTGCTCACTCAAGTATTGAATAATTTTTTTTTATGATCTAAATGTTTGCGGTTTATAAAAAAGTGATATATTTTAGTTAGAAATACATTTATAAATATATTCATTCAAACAGCACTAGAATGCGGGAAGAAAGAGCAATGGTGACAAAATGCAGACAGAATTTTCCGTAAGGGTTTCAAACATTTCTGGACACAATCATACATGTACTTCATGTGAACTGTTATTTTTAGTGCTGTATTTATAGATATAATTTCACGTATTAAAATCACATTTTCCAGCAATGACTTCAAATTCGGAAGCACACCCATATCACATTTTCTTCAATAACTCCAAACATGTGTAAACATTGACCATGTGCATATAAATTCAGATTTCACGAGTTCTTTCCTATTCGAGTACCTCATACACCCCTGCATGGATTTGAGTTGGATTCGCCTTTTATACGTGAGCCGGTACACATCTCAAACGCTGATTGGATAAAGATTGCGAGAATCTTTAAATTATTATTTTCCCCTGTTTAACAGAAAGTACAGTTAAACGTGTAAAGTGGAACACCTCTGTAAGTAGAACACCCACATAAGTAGAATGCTTTTTAAAGTCCTGCAGACTATTGACTTGTTGTTTTACCTCTGTTAGTGAAACACCCTCCAAGTGGAACACATTTTAGAGGTACCAAAGGTGTTCCCCTTACAAGGTTTTAGTGTATTGCAGATTCAAAAAATTCTATTTTTACAGGTCATAAATTCCCCAGCAAAAGCAACGAGGCATCTTTGAAGGCCAGTGTAAAGTTTGGCCAACCCAATGTCCAGGCTATCAAAGAGGAAACCTTCTGCACAGGACAGAACTCATATGCTCAGGTTTGTGTCTTAAAGGAACCCTATGCATATTTTTCAGTATTCAAAAGCAAAGATTTGCTTTTTATTGTCCTAGTATTTCCAATGGATTGATAAATGCTCGATCAATTAATGACACCAAGGACAGCTTATACAGACTACATCGGAGCAATTGAGAAACAAAAATGGAAGATTAAAATCACAAATTGAAAAATGAGATTTTTCACAGTTATTACTAAAAAATCAAAGCATGATCATGACTGAAGCAAAGTCTAAACTTACTTTTTTAAAAATAGACATGGACAGAAATGTAAGCAAGAAATATACTATAGTAGTAAAATTTTGTTGCCCTTTAATAGTGTATAAGATTTTAGTTATATCGTGAGAAAGAGCAAAATTATAAACCAGATTAAATGATTGCAGAGTTGTTTGCTTGCAGATATACTTCAAACTAGTGGATTACACAGGTAGTGGTGTTCAGATAGACCCAAAGTCAGTTCAAGTGTCCCCACAGACAAAGCACAAGCTCACAATAGGTAATACTACAGTGCTTTATCAATTTGCAATGGGGGCTTAAATACCTATGGACTGATTATGTGAAACAAATAAAATATTTTGAAGTTGGGCACATCATAGTTAAGGTATCATGTGTGATTGGTGACAGCCATTTAAAAGTTGATTTTGAATTACATACAACATGGTTTGGTACTCACAGCTGCCTGACTGCTAGTGGTTATCACTTTTCACTCTTGGCAATGAACTTTTAAAAACAAGTAGCCCATTTTGGCAATGGACTGAATGCCATGTTGTTATCATGACTGAATATGCTAAATTATTGTAATCATGTTTTCAACCTAAGTTTTTCGACCCTGACACCCAACTTCCTCTGTTTCAGTGCAAGAACTTGTAGCGGCAGACTACAAAATCTGGAACTCCCATGGTGATGCCCTATCTGGCTTTAGTCCCATACAGAACTCTGCATAATACCAGAATACATTCCTCCGCATATTCTATTTTACATTCATTCCTGTAAAAAGCTGGAACGTTAAAGCATGACAAAATGACACCACCTTGTAAGTTATTGCAAATTGTTACAGATACCAAACGCAAACTATTACTGACGCTCTAAGCCATCCAGAAAAAATTTGTAGACTGTAAGAATGTGTCACCACTTGTGGGGACATAAAAAACTGTGGTGGTGACATAAAAGCAATTGGGAATTTCAAGCTTGTAACTGAGCTGCTTTATAAATAGGCCTGAGCAGTCTAATCCCAGTTTGTATGTAGTTCAGGAAATACAAACTATTTTCAAATAAGAGACTTTCTTGATGACCTTTATTGCAGATAGATGACCTGATTCAGAAACTCTCATAAATAATCCTCTTTCTGGAGCAATTCTGAATTTGAATATTCCATCAAGATTGAAATTACATTGAACTTTGAAAGTTTTTGTAACTCTTTTTTATATCCGAACTCTTGATCTTAATGATCACGAATGTGAGTACATGTATATTGATCAACACTAAAAAGCAGTAACATGTAACTAATGCATTTTGATATTAAATAATGTGCAATAAAAACAATGTTATATATTTTATATAATAGTTTGTATATTTATGTAGAGTCAAATAAGTCCAAGTATACATACTCGTTCAATATAATGTGAATTATATCATGTATATATGAAATCAATTTTAAATCACAGTGTCTCGTTAGGATTCAAGATTTACTGATGGTTAACATTAATTCCAGATCGAATGAATACAGTGGAAGAGCCAACCTGTAATTAAATTCCAACCATTAGGTCTGAACATCCTGAATGATTCGTTTTTAAGCTAGCACTTAACACAAATATTGCTAAAATTGTCCAATTTTCCCCTCTCAAACAAACTTTCAGAACAGCTTTTGTTCTAAACAGTTCAAGAAATTCATTTGATAGGTTTATTGAATAACTGGAGACATGAAGTTTCAAAATCTATAATGTTTTATTTTGTGGCAGCCCTGTTTTGATTCATCAGTAAATCGCTTGTATAATTTACAATCCTGTGGTAATTTTAAGAGGTTTTGTTCAATGTTTAATGCATTCTTTGCTTATGACATGAATTCCATTCTATCTTGCATTTAAGTGCATGATTGCCCTGGCATTTTCTAAATTTATGATATAATTATGAATATTATGGTAGTATAATTTTTCATTTTGAAGAGTACGAAATATAATATATAAGATCATTAGCTAAATATCAGTGATACAAATCATAAGCAATGTATTGTGTAATCCTCAGTAAAATCTTATGGAATCTGAATGTATCTGGTCATTCACAAAGAGTGTTCTATCAGAGAGGTTACATACATGTATACATGTACATGTACATGAATAATCTTTCTGCTTGAACTCTCCCAGCAAAATTACCACAAATCCATATCATTTTTTTAGTAATAAATAGTAGTCAATTATACACTATTTTATCATGATATATAATTTATATTTTTACAATTTACACAGTGCAGTAATATACAGTGTAGTAAAATATAGTAAATGCACTCTAACAGCCTTTAACATTATCTCTCAGTGTCTTGATAGTATCATATTGGTGTCTCAGTACATAAACAAATATCACATTTTTTCCAGTAACTAAAAATTTTCATAGGAAAGAACAAATTTGGATTGAACAGGAATTCAGTTTCACTCAATCAGTGTTTACAAAGTTTTGGTAGTTTTAGCAGCTTCGGAAGCAGTTGTGGAAGCAACCATAAGAAAGAAAGCAAGCAATAATATTCCAAGCAGGCCATTTCTAAACAAGCTAAAAATATCAAAATAGTTTCCACACATGAGCATTCATATCAATTTAAACATTCTTTTAACATGTTGAGTGTGTCAATGTGATACAAATGTGAGTAATTCGTTCATTTTTTTGGTCACAAGTAGCTTTAACAAGGAATATTTAGTTCTAAAATATTGACATAATCATCTTGTTTAATGTGATGACACATGATACTATACAGACATAGCCTATTTTGGTTTGTAAAACAGTTTCAATGTTAAACTAGTACAAGGCATTAACATGAAAAAAAGTAACTATTCGTTACAAATGTCAATCTTACATGTGATAACAATGTGTATAACTTTCGTTGTAACTTAATGTAACTTAAGGTAGATTATATCAAATTATTCTTGACAGGCCTGTAACCAAGATTTGTCAGGGGGGTCACATGAAAAATTCAATGACAACTTTGGCCCAAAAATGGCCAAAATCACTTGAAAATGGCTCAGATAGTGAAAGCGGCATGATTTTGAACGAATTTTTGGCCAGTGTTCGCTCAAACACCATCCCTCCTGGCTACGGGCCTGCCTGAGAATGCCTGAGAAATTCATTCTATCAGTAAGGTTTAAATATTTTGAGGCTGAGGTTCAGTACTTTGAGGTGAATATCACTTTACATGTCTATTTGAGCCCAGCCAAGTAGATATATTTCATATCCTGAATAAATTCTGGTTAACGTTAGTAAAATATGAGCCGATGTATAGTATTCACAATCTACATTTTCAAACTTTTATCAACATTGTAGGCCATGTTTTAAAATGTATGACCTATTCATATCTGGGATTTATTAAAATCTTAACATTTCACGAGTCATTCAAAAATGGAACTTACTGAACTGAGCTGAACTTATGAGGGAGGTCCTAAATTTGAGATTTATCAATAATTTAAGATTTATCCATAACAAGGTCTGACAAATTGTTATTCTGGTTACAACTTTAAACCCACCCACCTGTTGATGCCTAGCAGCATTGCATACATGTATGCAGAAATATACAGATGTACATTATTTATGTATATACATTATATACATGTATATAATTAAAGGAGCTTTGAACATTAACAAATAATGACTGCAATATAAGATATCTAAATATAAAAGTCTATAAAACCACATGCAGAACACTACATCTCTAACCTACATAATACAATGTACAGTAAATTAATATGTGGACACATTAAAGATTGTGTAACATTTCTGCAATAGTGAGCCAAATATTACAGGGAGCCCAATTGGACTATTTTCATCATCATTTCTAGTTTTCCACTTATTCAAATCACATATATCGAATACATTTATGGACACATTAAAGATTGTGTAACATTTCTGCAAAAAGGTGCCAATATTACAATGAACCCAAATGGACATCCTCATCATTTCCACTTATTCAAAACACAGATATCTGAAACATTGTCTATCCTCTATCTTTTATTTCATTTAAGCAATTTAATAGCTTATTTATTGCTGATAGAGGCATTCTTTTTAAATGTACCTTTCAATAATCTGCATTGTTATCATAAATATCATTTCTGGTATCTCAGATCTAAAGTTACTGAGCAATCCATCTAAAGCAGAAAAATTCAGTAGCGGATCTAGAGGGGGTGTGTGGGGGCGCAGTGAAATTGGTCAGAATGCACCAAATGATGTTCAATTTTCGAAATTTTCTGGGGGGAGAAACCCCAAGGCCCCCATTTACCGGTATGTGCTAGTTCGCTGCACTCACTCACATGGTTCGCTTCACCAGCAGTTATTATCAAACACACCCCCCCCCCCCAAACACAAAATCCTGGATCCGCCCCAGAATCTCATATCACATTTTCCATCCCTCTCCCCCTGGAGAGTGGCAATGAGACCTTCAACCAGAAATGTATTGTTTGACAGTATCACATTGGTGTCTCAGTACATTAATATATAACATTTTTTCCTGTATCTGAAAATTATCAGGTGAAAGAGAAAGGGTTAAGTTTTACGCCATTGCATTTAGAACTTTGCTTAGCAATGACCATGAGATAGTTTGAGTCAGGTCTGGAGATTTAATCCTGATGTCTCAGCTCCTTTATAGCTATCATATCTGTCCTGATCATATCCACTTTAAACATTTAGTTCAAATGAATTGAACTTGCATTGTGTTGGTGTCTCATAATCTTAATAAATATTTTTTCTTCCTGATTTGTCTCAGCTAAAACAAAGTCCATCTCCATTCTTCACTGTTGTTAACAAACAGAGCATCTTGTTGGTTTCTCTATGTAATAAATTGATAACTTAAAGCTAATCGCCAAAACTTCCGAAACTCCCACAACTGCCAAAGCTGCTAAAACTGCTGAAACTTGACCATGAACCCCAGCTGCCTCTCCTGCCAAACCCACCGCCACATCCGTAGCCTCCCCATCCGCCACCCATCATACTTGCTGCCCCATAACCGAGGACAGCGCCCCCTATCAGACCTGAAAATAGAAAAAAGAATACAATGTACTTAAGTTATCAAATCCTTTATTGATTGTTTAATTTTAACTGCAATAAATGTTAGTTGTGAGCTTCAGATTGTTGTTTTATCTAAAAGTCAGCTTTATCAAATAATTTAATCAAAGTGGCACCATCTGTTGGTGTATATTTGACAACAAAAAACAAATTTCTCAAACTAGGAGTCAAGACCTATGGTGTAGGTTACCAGAGCCCCTTAAAATGCATAAGAGCACAACTCTGACAATAGGCATTTTTTCATTTGGCTGAAAATTGTTGATGGATAGACAGACAAACAGACAAGAGGGCAATTTCATGAATAGCAATGCCAGATCTGTGTATCACTCACCTGCTCCTATCTTCCCCGTATTGCTGTCTAAAATACCTTTGTTCTTCTTCTCCTTAACATACACCACTTGCTGGGGACGCTGAGCATAACCTACAAGCAAAGGAATAAAAATAAAATTCAACAGGACATATTGTTCTATAGATTAACAAAGTAAATCCCTGATATTACACTGCCAATCTTAAACTCTACTGAACAGCGCTGTTGCACAAACTGTACTGTACAGTTTGGTTCTCAAACTGTACTGTTCAGTACTGCATGCTAAAACATCTTTACAGCACTGAAAGATGATGATGGGAATTGGGTGTGTCCCCTAACAAATTCTATTTTTCTCTGACCTTTTTCAGTCTTTTAAACCATATTTTCTATTTGACTAACATATTAAAATTTTCTGACATGTGTGACAACCATTTTTATTTCATTTTTAACTTTTTTATTTATTAATATTATTTCTATTTCATACTAGAAAAACAGCAACTCCACGGAGTAGCAAATCCCACCGAACAAAACATGTTCTGATAAAAAAATTGAGTCAAATGCATCCACTGGTATTTGAATTATCAAAGATTATGTCTTTATGAAACATGGTTGCCATTTTGAAATTCAGCTGTCATCTTTAGATTTCTTCTTTAGCAGAGAATGTCCGTCCAATGGTATCTGGGTTATCAAAGATTAATTTTTTAACGAAAAATGGCAGCCACTTTGAAATTCAGCTATCGCCTTTGAAATTTTTTCTGAAGCAGATCTCCTTTTTCCCTAAACATCAGCATATAAAATTGGAACCAAATCCATCCACTAGTATTTAAGTTATCATTAATTACGTTTTTTTACGAAAAATGGAAGCCATTTTGAAATTCAGTAGCCATCTTGAAAATTTATTTTTGGGCAGAACTTCTTTGTCTCTAGGCATCAGCATATAGAATTTGAACCAAATCTGTCAACAGGTATTTGAGTTATCAAAGGTTACGTTCTTTTATGAAAAATGGCTGCCATTTTGAAATTTAGCTACCACCTTGAAAGTCCCTTCTCGAGCAGAGCTCCTATGTCCCTAGGCATCATCATGCAAAATTTGAACCAAATCCATTCAATGGTAATTGAGTTATCAAAGATAATGTTTTTTTATGAAAAATGGCCGCCATTTTGAAATTTAGCTGCCATCTTGAAAATCCTTTCTTGAGCAGAGCTCCTATGTCCCTAGGCATCAGCATCTAAAATTTAAACCAAATCCAATCAATGGTATTTGAGTTATCAAAGATAACGTTTTTTTACAAAAAATGGCCGCTATTTTGAAATTTAGCTGCCATCTTGAAAATTCTTTCTCGAGCAGAGCTCCTATGTCCCTAGGCATCAGCATCTAAAATTTGAACCAAATCCATTCAATGGTCTTTGAGTTATCAAAGATAACGGTTTTTTACGAAAATGGCCGCCATTTTGAAATTTGGTGGCCATCTTGAAAATGTCTTCTTGAGCATATAAAATTTGAACAAAATCCATCCACTAGTATTTGAGTTATTAAAGATTATATTTTTTCCGAAAAATGGCCGCCATTTTGAATTAAGCGGCCATATTGAAAATTCCTTCTCGAGCAGAGGTCCTACACCCATAAGGCATAAGCCTATAAAATTTGAATGAAATCCGTCGACCGGTATTTGAGTTATTGCCCGGACACACGAACGGACGGACGAACGGACGGACGAACGGACGGACGAACGGACGGACGGACTGACGGCTTTTCTATATCCCCCTCGAACTTCGTTCGGTGGGATAATTATTTCTATCCATTGATGGATACTAGATGCCCATGTGTGCTGCGGGAAGCCTGGGCGTTATACTTTTAATCATTCTTAAATAATACAAACCTCCTTGATGTTGATAATGTGGTTGCTGACCATAAGGTTGTTGACCATAAGGCTGTTGACCATAAGCTTGCTGTTGACCATAGGGTTGCTGTTGGTAACCAGGTTGTTGTGGATAATGCTGTTGTGGATACGGTTGCTGTGGATACGCTGCAGGTTGTTGTGGATACCCAGCCGGTTGTTGTGGATACGCTGATGGTTGTTGGGGGTAAGGAGCGTATGGCTGCTGAGGGGGTGGCGCATAATTTTGTTGGGGGTAGGGTGAATGACCTCCAGGAGGGGGGTAGCCTGCTCCAGCTTGTGGGTTATATGGGGGTGCAGCAGACGCACCTGAAATATAATTTCAAGGTCCTTTATAGATGTCATTCCTATATTCCTATTTCACCTTCTTTTTAAACTTCACCTCATTAGGAATTCAAGAATAAAAGAATATGAGAATAAATGAATTAGATTAAGGAAGATACTGAATGTGTAATCACCACAAATATCCATTAAATGAAAAGTGTTCCTATTTACTACTGTAGAGAAAATCTCAGAGACATGAAAATGAAAGAGGCAAGCAATATTAATTAACCCTATTTTTCTTTATCATTTATAAAAAAATTGCAAATACGAGAATTTAACATACCATCAAAACCTATAGGGGGTGGGGGCGCTGCTCCATAGTTGTTAGGTATAGGGGGTGGACCACCTGTGGGATAGGGTGAGTGACCCCCATGTGCTGGGTAGCCAGAGGACACTGGGGCTGCCTGCTGGGGTACAATTGTATCCTGTTGTGGGGGTGGGGGACCTGCTACTGGGGCTTGCTGTTGACCTGGAGGAGGTGGAAGCTGAAATGATACATGAAATTATATTTGCAATTATTTTTTGCAAGAAACCAAACATCGAAAATTTGCACAGTTATCTGGATTTGTGACATCACTTCAAAAAGCAATTCAATTTAAGGGACAAAGTGCGTAAATGAAGTCTCACTTTTGATCTTCATAGTATTTCCAATGGATTAATAAGTACCCGATCTTTCATTTGACACCAAAAAAAGCTCAAACAGACCACATCAGAGTTGACACTTGATCATGACAAAATATTTTTGATCTATCAATTTATATATGTCAAGTTTTTAGCAATGCCATAGAAAGATGGCATTGTTGTTTGCATTAATTATCAATTCATTTTTGACAGGATTTTCAGTTATTTAAAAAATACACTATTTGTGAAAAGTGGTAATTCACTTTTTTCAATCTCTGAACTTCAAATGCTGTTTTCTATGCAAGTAATTTTTTTTCACTTCAGTATTATCCCAAATTAAAGTTTTTATCATATTTGAGTGACTGTGTGAGTGACATGTCTCAAACAATATTTTGTCCTTTTTCATTCAAAAATAGGCGCATTGCCTGTTTAATAGTAATCTATTCTATTTTGTAAAACACCAAACAGGCTGGGTTAAGATTTTTAATAAATTTCTTTTTAGACTATCCACTGTGTAATAAAACTAAACATAAAATAACAAAACTGAATTCATTCTTAGATGATTTTTTTAATGATTATGAATTACACAAATTTAGTAGAGTTTTGTGCCATATATAGAGTTTAAGTTATGAAACCCACACTAGAGACGGACATTTCAGATGTGATGTAACTCTTTTTACTTACTGTACTGGTTATTGCTTGCATCCATGCACTGAAATAAAAAGATCTTTATGAAAATTCCAGTATCAGAATTATCAAATTCAAATTGGAATAGAAGTTTTGAAAATTTAAAAGCTACAATTAATACAAGCCAATTAACATGCAAAATGTCACCATCCAGGTTTCTCATTTTTATTCTCATGCAAGGATATGCAAACTTATCAAGAATTGATCCCTCAACAGTAAAACCAAAGACCGATTTATTCTAGTAAGAGGCTAGAGAATTATTACTCTTATCCAATGATCTAAGGGTGCTTACTTCAATTCATTAGTATCTGCGCATAAGAACCAGTGGATTTTCTTCTTTCGCGGCTCCTGTGGCACAGCTATGACATTATCAATTGAGGCACCCGATGGTAGTGTTGGGCGTTCTGGAATCACCGATGTGTAACTTCCAACAGCAAGGTAATTGGCTACATTCTGAAATGCAGAAGTATAAAGTTATTTTGGCAAGATCATCTGGTATTCAGAATTTTGTCATTTTTCTCATTCCTTTTTTCTCTTAAAGGTTTTTGTAATCTGAGGAATTAATCCAGGGTGCTGCATTAGCGATTTCTGTATAAGAAAAGTAGATGGAAGAAAACAACTGATGTTACAGAGAAAAGAGAATAAAAAAGATGCATTTCCTAGTGATCATGAAAATATTTCCTGAAATTACACAATCTTTTTACACAAGGAAGAAGTTCACCAAAATCACAAACCACAAATTCAGGTTCGGCTCCCCCAATCGAAATTTTTCCAAATCGCAGTTTTTCAACATTTTGAGCACTTCATTGTCAAGTGATTTTGGGCTAAAATTGTCAAAGAACCCCTTTGATTTTCTTAACACTGAAACATCCCCCCATACTGCCAATGGGCCTAAAATCTATGAATAAGTATAGAACGCTACCTTTAATAGGACACTTCCTTTTGCTTCTGTGTCTCCCTGACTCTTATACCACACTAAGGTACTGTCTTGGTAAAGCATACAGTAGTTCTTCTTCCATTTGTCTCCTTGAAGGATACCTCCCTCTGAAAGGTAAAGTGTTCATCATGCTACGTTTCAGCATTCTTGAAATCCATATGAAGCTTAAAACAATTGTTTAAAAATGAATTAGCACATAATTCAACTGTCCGTAACCTGAAAACTCATAAATTCTTAAATTGTATAAATGAACATGGAGTCATTTGACAAGATACATATTAACCTTATCTAAATGATCTCAAAACTTTTTTCTATCATCTAGACAGGGTAAATAATTTTAACGGTGTCAAAAGTGAAATCACATGGCCTAAAGGTTTTCTTTTATTTGGAAAAGAAGAAACATATAAAACATGATACACTGCATTGCTAAAGAAAAGTTTAAAGAGGCATAAGTTCAGCATATGTACTTTTAGCACCAAAGTTTAATTGAGAGGAAAAGGTAGGAAAAGGTAGGAAAATAGCTATGAGTGATTGCAAAACTAACTCTTCCAAGGAACAGGTGAGCATTTAACACTGGTTTTGTCAACAAAATAACTAAATGAGACTCATAACGGCAAACTCATGTAAGATTGTATTGGATATGTGCTTATATACTATAATTTAGCTTGTTTTTTATTTTGTACGTAACTAAAACCTCCGTGTAATTTAGCATGTCTACAGTACACTAATAATATAATATGTTGCCTTTGTATATTCTATAATTTCCATAATAAACAGTAGTCTTGTCTCTGTATCCTAATATTGCCCTTTGTGTATTTATACAGGACATCAGGGAGCTACCTCTAACCTGGATGAGGAAGATAATAACAGCACTATTCATTCTCGATAAAGACAATGATGGAATTATGGGGCATGAAGATCTAATGCAGATGGCAGACAACATCATAAAAGCAGGTTAACTTAAACTTGATTAATATGGTTAATAGGGGTTGTTTTATTCTGTACTATATTCAATATTTTCAATGTCACTGTGTCATGTCTAGTCCTTTAACGGTGAAAACCATGTATAACAGGAAACTTAACTGACAAGGGAGAAAACAGCATACAAGATAAACACCAAGAAATGATACAGTTAATTAATTCTGTAGACCTGTGTATTTTTGTTTTCTTCAAATGTTGTCCCTGGAGCACAACCCCTAGTGCTTTCACACTTTGCATTGTACAGTAAAATTTGTGTACAGTAAACACCTTTGGAGCCAGAAAAATGTGTTATGTATAGGTAGGTGTTCACTTCTTTTTATAAGAACTCAGTGGAGTATGTGGTGAGAAGAGGTATTCACTAGACACAGGTGTTCAATGGAGCAAGGTGTTCACTAGGCACAGGTGTTCAATGGAGCAAGGTGTTCACTAGGCACAGGTGTTCAATGGAGCAAGGTGTTCACTAGGCACAGGTGTTCAATGGAGCAAGGTGTTTACTAGACACAGGTGTTCAATGGAGCAAGGTGTTTACTAGACACAGGTGTTCAATGGAGCAAGGTGTTCACTAGACACAGGTGTTCAATGGAGCAAGGTGTTTACTAGACACAGGTGTTCAATGGAGCAAGGTGTTTACTAGACACAGGTGTTCAATGGAGCAAGGTGTTTACTAGATACAGGTGTTCAATGGAGCAAGGTGTTTACTAGATACAGGTGTTCAATGGAGCAAGGTGTTCATTAGACACAGGTGTTCAATGGAGCAAGGTGTTTACTAGATACAGGTGTTCACTGCAGCAAGGTGCTCACAAATCACAGGTGTTCACTGGAGCAAGGTGTTCACAAATCACAGGTTTTAATGTATTTGCAAAATCTTTGTTTCTAATGCAGGGAACTTGAGTGGCAAGGCAGCAGATGAACTATATGAGATCTATAGGGATTACTGTGATTCTGGGACATCAAAAGAGATTGTTGCAAGTTATTCATTAACAAACCAGCTTCTAAAGCTTTGGAAATACAAAGACAGCCCAGAGACCATTGACAAATGGACCACTATGTACTCTAGAATCTTTAAGGTACTGTATTTGAAACAATTCTTATTTTCAGATAAAATCTACCACAGTATGTCAGAATATCACAATAGTATCAGAATTTAGCCATCATTTTGTGAAAGCTAAAAGGCTTAAAATATTAAGAATATTAGGAATTGGATCTTAGTTGTGCTGGATCAACCATACACCAATCAAATACATCAAAATAATGCTAATTCAATTACTAGTATCCGTAGATATCACCATATCTTTTTTACTAATTGATGTTACCATAATTGTAGGTTCTATGTTCAGACTCTGGCATCGTGACCTTCGATAACTACATGATATTTTGGAATGGGATGAACCTTGATAAAAGATTTGCAAAGATGCAGTTTGACTATCTAGATACGAACAGCGACGGCCTGTTAAGCCAGGATGACTTTGTCAAGGGAATTTTGGACTATGGTACAAATACTGATGAGAATACACTCAATAGATTCTATGGACCACTTATAAACTATTAACTTTGGGTATCTTAGAGACACAGACAGACCCGTTTTAGTACTTAGCTCTTTTAACGTATTTGTCTGAAATAAAGATGCTCAGTAGAAACTAACGCAATTAATTATTTGTAGATGTTCTAAATGTTGGTCTGAGACAATGCACTGTTAGTTCTTACAATCACTCAGTGCCTACAATTAAGAAACTATGACAGACAAACAGAGTCAAAAGAGTACTAGTACAGGCCTGTAGCCAGGGGGGGTTGCCGGGTTCCGATCCCAGAACACTTCTCAAGTGATTTTAGCCATATATGGGCCAAAATTGTCAAATGTGAACCCCCCTAGAAATTTTTGAAAACTGAACCCCCCCCCCCCCCCTTGGCAAATCCTGGCTACGGGCCTGTAGTTTATCAACTGAAGTTTAATATATAGAATGACATAATGTAACCCATGCATGGGCATGGTAAAACTCTAGGCAATATGAGTACATCACTGCGTGTGCCATTCAACACTATAAAAACTCGAGAGGATCCTTTCATTACTGGCAAAGTTTTGATTTGGGTCAGCAATCAGCATATAGTAAGAAAATGAAGTTATTTCTATTTTTAAAGAACAAATGCCCATCATGTGTCTTTTAATTTTGGAATTTCTGAAAGGAAATACAGTAAAGAATTCAAATTGACAGCTCACAAATTCACAATAAACATCCAAAACATGCAGTGTTCAAAATTTATAATAAATTATGTTCGACCCAAGTTAAATTTCTACATGTACTTTTGGACTACTTGAACACACTTTGGTCAACACAATGTTTTGTTAAGTTGTACAAGTAATTATCTTTGCTCAAATATGTTCATTTCGATGTATTTCAAAACTAACTTTAAATTGCTCAATTGACCATATCATGCAAAATATTACGTGTATTTTAAGAATCAGAATCAGAGGGATCCACTTCCTCTCCCTTGGAAATGTAGTGAAACTTGAAAATCTCCGTTCTCACTACCTCTGCTCGCTTGTATATGCAGTTTAGCTTAGTTGATGTTAATTTCTTGGGTTGTTTATTATTTATACAAATGAAAAATTATTCAAAACACAACATTAACCATGGCCAACTTGGGATTATTCCTACTTTGGCATTAATTGAAATATTAAATAAATAAAATACAGTTTTCTTACTTCCATTTCTGCGAAGATATCCAGTTTTTACTGTTGTCATTATGAGAGCTGTTAATATATGGGCTACCTCAAGATGGCTTCCTGGAATATAAATAGAAAGCTGTTTTTCATCCAAAATTATACCAGTTAATGTAAACAAGTTAATATTCAGCTAAATCTAGCTTCCATTTAGACTAATCACCATGAATATTAATTAAATACCAGCATGGGAATTAAAAAAAACTAGAGGAGGTATTTCAAAAAGAACAAGATAAGAAGATAAATTAAATTATTGAAAATTATCATTTTAACATGGAAACAATAAAAAAAAATCTTAAAAGGGTAATCCTGGTTCCGCCCCTGCTCTGCAATGAGAGATGGCAGTAGGCCTTGCTTTCCTACACTTGATAGAATGTAGCAAATAAAGTTTAATATTTGATTGAGGTAAGACATATAATATGCATCTAGCTATAAAGTGCCAGAAATGTTGGGGTTTTAAAAAATAAAGTAGGGCCTTGTCACTGTTCCACAACTAAATAGATGAACTTCCTGGATGCAAGTTTTTTTGTTTTCTCAATATAAACTTACGTATAAGTCATGTTGGGGATTACCATTTGGCACAAATTTAGACAATATAGTATTAGTCTAGCTTTTAGAAATGCTCTCAGTTTTGAATTTGATTTTTAAATAAAGTTGTAATCCATGCATTCCCAAGTGAAAAAAACAGCTTGCCATACACTCTCGTAAACCACTAATAGACTACTAATACTCAACTAGTAGAACATGATCTATTAGTGATTTGTTAGTGGTCATTTTCGTTAACAGATCACTTTTTGCCATTGACTTAACAGGTGGTTTATTAGTTGAAAAAATTACCATGCAAATATGGTAAAGTTATTGACCAATCAGAGAGCAGTGTAATACACTACTAGTAAATCACTAGTCGTGCTAATACCCTACTTATAGATCACTCTTGAAGTCTCTAATAAACCACTAATAGACCACTTCCTGAAGTCTTATACACCACTAATACACCACTACTAGTCTAATAGACTACTAACAAATCACTCCTGAAATCTCAGAATTTTATACATTCATAAGGTACAAAATCTCTATAGTGCTAAATTCAGTGAGAAATTATGAATAAGATTCAACATGTACATCTTCTTCATACCTTTATGAATATGCTGAGCAAGATTCAATAAAGTCCAGTCACCCCTCTGGTGGTAATGCTACATTTCATTGGAGAATTAATTCCCTCACATTTTAACAATTTCTGCCATTTAAAAGGGGTTTCTCATTCTAAATCAAGGATCAGTTTAATACACTACTAATAGACCATTCCAGAAAAATTGAGTTAATACACAACTAACAAACCACTCCACCTAAAAAACCTTACAGTGGTTTATTAGTTGAGTATTGCCAGTTTTAATACATAACTTATAAACCACTTGACTAAATCACTTTTCATGGTGTATTGGTGATCTATTGGTGATGATGAATTAGTGGTATATTAGATTTCTTTTTTACTTGGGTTTAGACCATTGCTTTTGTAACATTGAATTTTTGTTTCATCAAAGTAACATACATTGGTAATATAACGGACTTATGTCAATGTAACAAAAGCAATGGTCTAAATGCATGGAACGGACTTCCGTTAATATAACAAAAGCGAGGGGTTAAATATATGAAATGCAACTTTATTTACAAAACAAATTCCAAATCAAAGAAACTTATTAAAACTAGACTATATTTTCTAGCTTTATGCCAAATCATAATCTGCATCTTGATTTATAAGTAGGTTTAAATCGAGAAAGCAAAAAGCTCGTAACCAGGAAGTTCATCTATTTTGTTACATTGACGGATGTATCTAGTTGTGGAACAGTATTTGTGATCAATCAATGTGTAATGACTCGAGGGTGCCCCGAAGGAATGACTAACTAATGAGCATAGTACAGTAACGGCTAGATACAGACATGAAAGAAAGTGTGCTCAATTCAAGGCCCCATGTTGGAATCGAAATCAGGACACTTATCCAAATACTGATGCTCTACCACTTGAGTTATAAAGGCTTAATCAACTAAAGGGGGAGGGTCGCTTTTTTCAGGGTATCATAACAGTATGTAATGTACCTGTTCCTGTGATTGATAATCTCCAAGCCTCTCCATGACCAGTCCTGCCAGAAAGTGGGTGTGGTACATGATACGCAATACAAAGTAAATTTTGTGATTGATATCATTGTACGAGATCAAAATTGACCAAAAGTTCCGAATCATAGTATGAAGATTCAGAGTTTTTGTATATCCTTTACCAAACCCAGGCAGTGAGTGATTTTTGTGTTCAGAAAATTCTGATTGAAAATTATTCATGAAACCTAAACATGTAAATGATTGCCCCAGCAAAATAAGTTGAACTAAATATTCCAAACCATACTTACAATGAGTGTAGACAAGCTTAGAACTAGATATATAGTCTGAAAGGTGTTCTACTGAGTCATGATTTGAAGATGTGTCGAAATAAATAAATATTTGGGAAAAATTGTTTTTTCACCAAAACTACGAACGTACTCTTGAGGTGTTTATAAAAGTACGAACAAAATCAATCACTCTTTTTGACATTGCACTGTTTTACAATGACTAGATCTAAAACATATTATATATTTTGGGGAATTTACTTGATCATGTTGCAAATTTAACTCAGGTATTATAAAATTATAAATGGTCCTTTCATTGAACCTAATTATTCTTATAGTCTAGCGTTGCATATTTTGTATACATCCCTAATTGCTCTAAAGGTGGCAGCACTATTGAACACGTGAACAAGTCCGATACCGACGGAATCGAACTCCCGTGCAGTGATAGTCTTCAACATAACACTGCGGCGGGCAGGTATCTCATCGTAAGCATGGTAACTTCGTAATAAACAACTGACGTGATTGGTTCTAGTCCCATCAGGTCGCGTGATTGTAAAATTTAGACAATTTCATTGGTTGAATTGCGCGTATTAACTAATAAACAACACGTGCGGTAAACTATTATCAACAAAACTTTTACTCAGAATTCCTTCTGCGGTGATTTCTTCTCATATTTCAATAATTTTGAAATATTTTGACAAAATAATGATTGGTGAACATAAAAGAACATATATTTTATAAGTTGTATGAAAATCAAGTACATCTGTGACAAAAAAGGGGGACTATCTTCCCCAAATTTTGGGGATTCCATAATCTGCCCGCCGCAGTGTCTATACCGAGACACTGCATGGGAGTTCGCGACGGAATATAAATATTCTCCAAATAAAAGTCATAAGTTAACGTTTCAGACAAACTTTTGGTCTCTATGCAGCCAACCAATGTTTAAACGTAAGCTGGTAGCTCTTGAACATCTCAATCCAACGGGGTTTGATCACAAAGGTAAGCTGTACTGAAGTTTTATTAGAAATTTTCATAAAAATTCACGTTGACCACATTGGGTTGGAAATCTGTGCAGTCTCTTACCTCTTTCAAACTTTGAAACACGGGGAGTTAGTCACCCCCCCCCCCCCCTCTCTCTATATAACAATATAAAATAAAGATTTTGTATTGTTATATAGAGAGGGGGGTGACTAACTCCCCGTGCTTTGAAAGCCTAAGGCTATGACTGATCTGTTAGAACAGCCTTTACACGCCACCATGCACTTCAGAATCGTGACAGCTAAAAATGAAAGACTGAATCGGCTGCTCACTTTATATTTCCCAATCCAGGCTCCAAATGTTACCTACATGACCATCCTCAGTTTGCGAAAGTCTGCTTCAGTGCTGCCAATCAGGACTTGACCAGTAGGTGTTTTCTACAGAGAAACCCAAAATGGTAGTTTTGATGGAAATTCACAAAGTACTGTTCGAAATCTCTGGGAAATCTCTTGAGAGTTGAGTGGTCTTTAGATTTTTTTAGGTTCAACTGGTGATTATGAAGTAAATTTCACAGACATTAGGAAAAATTCGGGAATATAAAATAAGCAGCCGATATTCAGTTGTTCACTTTCAGCCTTCACGATTTTGAAGCAGGTGATAGGGGGCGTGTAAAGGCTGTAAGTAAACCAGCAGCCTGCCAGCCTTTGAAAGAGGTAATCTCAGCCTAACCTGTCATATTGTGCAATCCGAAATGTTATGACATTTGAAATGCTTATAAATATAATTCCAGTTATTCAAATTGAGTTATGCAGAACTGACAGGAAGACTCATTTTTACAATTTTATAAATTCTTTGAGGTGTATCTTGCTTAATCCAGATGAGGAATTGGTAGTTCCAGATGTTCAGCTCACATTGATGACAAACTAATTTGTCGTGTTGTAAACTTGTATACATATATTCTGAAATCAGTCCAAATGCTAGTAAGATCAAGTGTGTTATTTCGTTGTTTGGCCATTATACTTTAGATACGGAGAAAGAACAAAATGGAATACTTTATTGGTTCTAACCTAGATAGTTAAAGAAGGAGAAATTCATGTGATATCAGGCTACTTTAAAATCCAAAATATACATGAAAGCAATATTTGGAATCACATACAAGATTTCGAAGTTTCTCAAAATTTCACCATTTTGTTCTTTCTCTTAAAGGTTGATGGCTAGAACACGTGCTGTTGCGCGAAGATGCACCGGAGGAGTTCATGAGGGCAAGGTAAAACAAAATGCTAGGTCCCCGATTAAATCCCCGCCGCAAAGTCCTGAAGCAGAAGCTCGTCATGTGGATCCAGAACCAAAAGAAGCTAAAAATAACTTGAACAATCTTGGTGCCATTAATGAAGTTCAATGCGAAGCTGGAACAAGCACCCAAAATGAAACAAACTTGAAGAATGATGAGATATCTTTGAATTTGGATGAATCTGATGACAGTAGTGAAGAGGATAGTGATGTTGAAGCAATGGCCAAAGCTGCAGCTTCCAACATTAACATATTGTATAGCGATGACAGTAGTAGCGAAGATGATGACCCAGTTGATGATGAAAGTGATGACAATAATCAGGAATCATCACTATTTGTCATTGATAAAGCACCAGGAGCTAGGAGTGGATCAGAATGTTATAAGTCATCTGTTGAATCAGTTGTTGAGAAGCCACCAACTAATGTTGAGCTATCACACATTAAAAAAGACAAGATGAAAATAAAGGGAACAATTGACAAAATCAAACTTGCTTCAGAAATTGAATGTAGCATTGACACAACAAATCTATATGTGGATACAGACACATACATGAAACCAGTCAAACAGAATAAATCGCTTACAGATATCTTGCTAAAATCTAATAGAAACAAGGACATTATGGCAAAAAGTGTTGTGCAGGCCGATTTTGAAAAACGAGAGGCAACTCCAGTGTATACAGAGAGTCGTAACCAACAAGTCAAAGCACGTCGCGCTGAACGAGAGAAAACAAAAGGATCTAAATGGTTTAACATGCCGGCACCAGAACTCACAGAGGAGGTAAAAAATGATTTGACTGTTTTGCAAATGCGTAAAGTTTTGGATCCAAAAAGGTTCTACAAAGGAAACGATACCAGATCACTCCCAAAATATTTCCAAATGGGAACTGTCGTTGAATCATCAGCAGATTTCTATCACTCGAGAATTGCTAAAAAAGATCGTAAAGCAACGATGGTTGATGAATTATTGGCCGATGCGGAATTTAGAAAATATAACAAACGTAAATATGCAGAGTTGCAGGAGGCGACACAGAAGTCGAGGGGTGCCTTCAAACATGCCAAGAGACTGAAAAAGAAGAAAAAGTGAACATCATAAAGTTTGACATTTAAGAACATCTAACAGGCAAACTGCAGATAAATGGATACATTTCACTGGAATATATTGTGTTTTAAGACAAGAATTAATATACTGTTCACAAATTGATTGTATTTTATGTTCAAGCTTACATATAGAATATACACATAGACATACCACTAAGGAGATGCAGTGAGTTATGTTTGAATTTAATATTTATTTTATGTGGTCCTTGATCTAAAAAGATTCCCAATATATTGGCAGAACTATCCCCTTCCCTGACTGACTTGCCACACACTTGGTTCAAGACCACTTGCAGTGAAATCTGTAAAGTGGAATACCTCTGTTAGTGACACTTTTGAAGAGTCCCAAGACCAACTGACCTAGAGGATATCCTATGCTTTTTGAGGGATACCATTCTTATCTATGAGTGGATATCGCCCATCTTCACGAGTGAGCGCAGCAAATGAGTGGAGTCCACATCAGCGATATCCAAGAGTGGATAAAAATTATAGCCCTTGAAAGTCATGTGATATCATATCTATCCTATGGTTGCTATTTTTGTATGGACTTAAAATAATTTGACCTTAAAGAGTTGTTGTTTTCAAATTTTTTCATTTTATTTTCTGTGAACTTATTTTTACAAAATGATTGCATGAAATAATTAAGGCGAAGCTAAATTAAATAAAAAGTACAAAAAATGACAGCCATATTTTTTTGATAAAGACACATGTTTTTAAAATCTGTTTACCTTGTATATGAATTGTATATCTCGACAAATGAAACATGTCAAAGTTAACATCACACATAAACGCATTTTTCTAAACTATGAATTGGAGGTGTATGGATCCCCAAAGCTAGCATGAAGAGTGCGAAGTGAGGCTAATTTTTGAAAGTTTCAAGGAGTAGCCTTGCAACAGTCACACATTTGCAAGAGTCTAAAATTTCCACAAATCATCTTACCTTTCCCAGGAACAACGAAGGAGCATGAAAATGTGTACTTCTTGCATTGTTAGAGTATAATAAAGCTCAAACCATTGTAAATTCTAAATATTTCATGTCCACCATTTTGTTTGCCGGAACTACTTCTAGACTTCCTGATTAATCCTCATACAAGTTTTGTGACTACACCAAGTGGCATGGATTATCACCTGTATATTTTATCTATTACAGTATAATTATCATGATAGATACATGATAGAGGCTTTATGAATGATAAACAATGGATACATGAATGAGAATAACTCTGGACTAAAAAATAGTTCCAGGAAACAAAATTTAAGTTACACTCTGTTCCTCCATTCAGATGAAGTGTCATTCCGCAACCTGATAGTATGGCTGGAGGACCAGAAGATCCGCCATTATAAGATAGAGGACAGAGGTCCTTTGCGGAATATACAGGGAGGTGATTGGCCAGTAGCACTATCTAAGGTTAGTTGGTACATTGAATAAGAACTCAAAAAAGAATGTGGATCTTTCTTTCAAAATCCATAGCCTCCAAGATACTCAAAATTCAAATTTTTGGGGCCTGAACTAAAATTTCTGGCCTAAACATTTTGAAGGGCCTCCTTTTGGGCCTTATTATCACTATAAATTATGAAAAATGGGCCTTAAATGTTTAAAATTTGCCCCCTCCCTTGTTAGATTTTTGGTCTGTTAGTACTTTTATTTGGATTTAAAGACATACAGGTACATGTAGATATGCATTGTTCCACCATGGTCTGATTATATCTCACTTTTAATATGTTCCAGTACTTAGATGAGCTTAAATGTCCACATAAGGCTACAGATAGAACCATGATGCTGGATTGGATCCTAGGGTATGCTGTCAGACTTGAATATGGTGATAATGGTAATTATAATGTTGCTATTGTGTTTTTCAACCACTGATTGCAAAAACAGGTCACATGAAATGTTTTGTGATATATCATTCCACAGTGTCAAAATGGAATAATATGGTTTTAATGTTAATTGTTATCTTACTTAAGTGTTTCTCTTTCTCATTGGTTGAACACCGGTCACATGACATGGAATGTCTTGTTATATTTCCACAGGATGTTTTACTGTTCAATGCACATGGCATATGAGCCTTGTATTAAAAAGTGAATATTACCTATCCTAGAAAATGTATTATTCTATTATATTCGCTGTAGAAATTTCTTTCAAAATCATGCAGTTTTTCACCATTCTGACTATTTTTTTAGTGATGTTTGGCCAAATCTACAAAAGGGAAGCCCCCCTGAACCCCCCCTTGGAAAATTCTGGCTACGGGCCTGAAAAGTATTATTTATTTGTAAGTCTATTTTGTTATTTCAGTTGAAAAATACAAGCCACTGACCTGGGAGAAGTTCTCATCTACACAATCCGAAAAACGACAGGCAATGAGTTCCAATCCTCTTGAAGATCTCGATTGTGAGTTTTAGCACCGATTTCTTACTAAGGCATTATTTTATTTTCTGATTATCTTTCAAATATTGCTGTCTATTCTCTGTGCTTAGGCCCTGTGCTAGACTCACAGACCAATCTAAATTTTGAGTTAATAGAGACTACCAAATTTAAAACCTTAGAACAATTAGTATCATAGAAAACCTCCCAAAAGAATTGTTAACTTCGAAAATATAATAATGTGAGAATTGAATTTTCAACAGTGCACTTTGCATGTGCTCATGTTTTTACTGCAGTTCCTATATTTTATACTTATCAAGTTAACTTTATATTCGCATAATCATTATTATTACTTGTATTACAGTTGAAAGTGCTGATTTCAAAGCTGGTGTTGCATCCTTGGCAACGCTGTTAGAAGTTCCTCCCCACACAGATCACAAAATAGTATGCAAGGTAGGACATTACTTTTACCTCCCTCTAAATAAATACAGGTCGAATTTGCTGGATTTCAGAGACAATAACAGATTTTCATTATCCCAACAAAAGTCAAGAGATATTTGGCAAGGGTTCCCTATAATGTATTTATCAAAATACCATGGCACAATTAAATAAATAATTGGAAGAATTTATCCTGTTGTCAAAGTACAGTTGTTAGATGGTATTTTCTGCTGCTAAATTTATTTCTACCCACTTATTAATGTAACAGCTATTACCTCACAATTCGTATTTACTCAACAATCAATAGCTTATCAGGTCTTGAAAATATATATTAAAATGAAGTAAATATAGTGTTTCATTCAGGTACAATTAATTATATCTATATTCAGTAATGTAAAAGTACACTTACAGATTTTGAGAATTCAAAATATTTACCAATTTTTAATATGGACAAATACAAACTGAAAGTTTAGACAAATCCATTGGGGTTACAAGATGGTGACAGATATGAAATACTGTACTCCCTGTAATTTTCGCGCGTTACTATATTTCGCACTTTTCGCGAGATTTGGAAAATTCGCGAAATAGCTGTGAAATTCCAACAGTTCTAATTCGCGAAATTTAATAGTTGCGAAATTGCAAGGAAATTCCCGGGGATTTCAATGTTCCCAATATTTTTGTCCAGTGCTGGGCAATAAAAGAGAAATTAGGTGAAAGATCGTTATTATACGGTTTTAAAATGAACATTCTATCGAAATGGCTTAATGAGAAACCAAAATCCTCAGGTGAAGGAACAACTATAACTGATATCGAAGTCGAAAGAGTGATCGTGTATGACAAATCGGCGAAAATTAATAGCCGCAAAATTTAAAAAAACTGAAAATTAGCGACACATAAAAGTCGCGAAATTTCAAAATGCCAAAAATGTGAAATATAATAGCGTCAAATATTAGTGGGAGTACAGTATATGATTTTTCCTTATGTTAGAATTTTCTTGATTAACCAAGTAATAATAGTTGTTGTAATAGGTATTAAAATAAATATTTTGAAACTGATTTTAACATACATGTACATGTATATATATTCCAATGTCAAGGTGAATTATCTGCACTAAAAGTTCATTGCTCTTCTTAATTTTTGGTAGAATGAATCTTGGATAATGTAACTTGATTATGTTACATGTGTTACTGTAGCTGTTATCGCGAATTGTCTTTGTGATCATTTCCTATGTGAGTCCTTTGGAGCTCCAAGAAAATTCTTTAGACGTTGCCTCAATAGGTCATAATACTTGTTACGTTTCCTTTGCTCTTTCATTGATATAGGCTTGTTGTCATCATCGTAACTTGGTTCCCTCGCTTCTACCGAGAATATTGAAGGATCTAGTTGTGTAAGCTCCTTTAATCTGACCATTAATCTGGCCTCATTGTGTGGAAGATAAAGAAGTAGGGCACATATCAAAGTCACAGTTGTTGCAATGGACATCCTAGAATTATTATTAAAAATATTTTATTCTTCTATATATTACATTGCATACATTATATTGATACAGTTTAACGAAACGGATCAGACAAAAGGCTTTTGCTTATTCTAAGTCCTCTCCTTTGGTTCTCCTAAAAAATTGTTAGTTTTATTTATATTTATTTGTGCAGGATGAGAGGCGTGGGATGAGTGAAAGGAAGAAACTAGTTGTTTGAGAATCTTTTTGTAACTCTTATGTAATTGTGAACAGCAGTGAATGTGGCTTTATTTTCTTCATCTGTCTTCCTTGCATTTCCATGGATGAGTTCTGTTAATGTTGTTCTTGGTAGAATTATTTTTTTGTCTTTGGTATAAAGTACATTCTTTTTTGAAATAGTGTTCGGCACTTTCTATTAGGTTTCAGCATTCACATTTGGGGCTGTCTTTTACATGGTTGAGATGTAGGTATTGGTTTAAGTCGCTGTATCTAAGTCTTATCTGTGTGTGTATTATTTGAGTGTCTCTTTTCGCATAGTAATAGTAATTTCTAATAGTAAACCTGCTTATATCCTTTCAGCGTGTTCATGTACATCAAAAAGATGTCGACATATTTGCGATTTACTTTAAACTACCTTCAATTTTGGTACAGTTACTCCATACTTAAGAGGGATCACAAAATTATCAGAAATTCCTGTTTTCTCTGCCCAATAACGCAGATGCAAGTAGGTAGTTACCAGTTTCACCACCAGGTGGCTGGTTCGGGTCAGATAGCATGGCGGGTATAGTAGAAAGTTCCCTTTAACTTAAATTACATCTTATGTATCTATTAGCTATGCAAATCAAAATATGTCCAGTAAATGAAAATATTATCTGTCCAATACAAGAAAAGATATTCCACTTTTTGTGATTTCGTAACATGGGCTCTATCATGTCTATGGAGAATCAACCCGAACTAGAAGTCACACTTTCAAAAATGATTAAATTTTCAAACTTGATAAACAATTTTCGAAATATTTCTGGATGTACTTTTACATGTAGATTTCAAATATAACATCGCTTTGACTGAATTTTGAATATTTATGGCGTAAATCAAGGTTTTTATACTCGCATCTAGTCTATTGAAGTCAGGCCAAAAAAACTAACCTGTATTTAACTTAATTCTCAGTCTGTCTTGTCTTGTGTTGTTCTTCTCTCGATGAAAGCAGTGCTTCTTTCTGTCTGTCGACTGGTGTGTGTCCATGTAGGATAATGTAGAGGATGTACAATATTCATATTACGCCCTAATTCCAGATATAATTTTTTTATATTTGTATAATCAACGACTGTTGGTTGCAATGCAAACCCTTTCAGAATAATGTATTTTGTCACTTTTTCATATTTAAAATTATGAGTCATTTGAATGTGTTTGTATCTATTTTGTAAATATGGTTTACAATTCTCAAGATATTTTGTAACATTTTGTAATTTCAATAACAAAATGTTGAATTTTTTGCAAAAGGGATATGTTATTTTCAATGAAATGAGGATCATAGCATTACCTCTATTAGTTCAGCTTAGTTTTAATTCATAGATGATTTGGTCTCAAATGTAAAAACAGGAAACAGATATCTAGATTCACAGCATCCTGTATCAGTGGTTTTTCATGCATTTGATAAATATATTAATAAAAAAGTAATTCTATTTTTCCGTTTTATCATATAAAATACAAATAATGCAGATCTAACTATTCAAGGTTACTAGGTGGTGACCAAGAAAGTGTTGCAGTGTTGCGACAGAGAATCAAATTGCAAGTTCTTAATCGGGGAAGTGCTAACTGCTTATTGCAGGGGGTAAAAAGAAAGAAGATATTCTGGATTTTGAAGCCCTGTGATCGGAGGATGCCCTTAGAGCAATCAAATAATATTTTTCCCAAAGCAATCTGCATGACTGTGGCTTCAATGATTCTAGGACCAAAAAGCCCTCGGCCTAATATAAAAAAAATTTTTTTATTTATTTGTAGGCAATCTGTTTAATTGTGAAGAACAAACTCACCAAGGGGGCTGTAGAGAAGGCTAAATCTGATGCAGGAGGGAAACAAGATGTGGTTCCCCTGGAACAAACCCCATTAGGGTTTGACAGTGGAGGTATGGAAAAAATATGGAGTTTGTTTGGGGATATAGAGATACTGTTCTTCCATCTGTTCATTTGTCTGGTCTGGTCGATGGATTTGTCTCAAGATATTTCCAACTTTCACAGGGTACTGTGAAGAGGGGGAGAAACCCCAGGGTTCAAAGATGAGGAACGTCTATAATATAAATCTGTATTGAGATGACGGGTGACCGGGTACCTAACGTTCCTAGCAGGGTCACAAATTCTTACATAACTTACAGGATTGGTCAAATATTGTCCATATTTCGATATAACCCATTATCATGGCCGTAAATCGAACAAAATAAGAGGAGGAGAAGGAGGAGGAGATTTTTACTAAAATTGAGCAAATGTGAAAGAGTATGCACACGCATACATTGAAACATTGATTGCCGTTTATCTGTCATTTAACGTAAGATGATGTTAGTTGCTATGCTTTATTACCTACGAGTGAGTGATTGACAGGATGTTGATGATTGTTTCCTATGATGGCGATTTCTACTAGATATTAAACATCTGGAAGATATACGCGCGTATCTTGAAATGTTAGTAGTTGAATGTTTTTTTATCTGTCGATTAACTTATGACGTTGGTTGCTTGTTTTATTGCCTGAGTGATTGACAGGGTGATGATAATTTGTTTTGCTGGTTGGTTTGTTTATTGGTAGATTAGTTGCTTCCCAACCCTGCTAGAATTGTTAGGTACCCGGTCACCCGGTTACCCGGTCACCCAGTTTTTTACACAAACCCTGAGATGACCCTGATTGTTCCAAATCGACAAACAAAAATGGTGGATTACAAATTTTCTAATAATGCTTCGAATAATATTATGTTAATTTCTGGCATGCTAACCAATGTCATAGCTTGATATTTCACATCAAGATAAAGAAAGATGTAAGGAATATGCTTACATCGATTCAAACATCACAACGATGTGTTATATTCAAAAACTAACTTGTGAGAATTTGCGCAAATGAAGGTGGTACGCCATAAACAAGTGACTTAATATGTCCGTCATAGCTAAAGCTCTGGGGTTTCCCTCCTTCTGGTTGACCTCTGCTCAAGAAAAATTTCCAATATGGCATCTTTACTTTAAAATGGCTGCTACTATGCTGTGGTGTAGCTCTTCAAGATATTCACAAAAATGGACCATTTCAGTAACAAACGTACAAGTACGAATTATCTTCTTCCATGGTTTCATGAGATGTAGGTAGAAAATCCACAACCCTCTTTGTACAAATATGTGTCAGCATCAAATGTTAAAGAAAATCTTCAAGGCTGCTGCATTTTGTTACCAAAACAGATTCATTTTTGTAACCAGTTTGAAGAATTCCACATCGGTACACTAGAAATGCAATTTTTGATATTTCAAGTATAAGTTGTCACACTTGGGGCTGATTTCATTTAGGGATGCTAGGTTCTCTAGCCAAGTCATCATGTCACATCATAGGTGCCATAGTACTGCCTGCTTGTTTTTATCATGAAATGTTTAAAATGTTTGCTACATTATGAACAAAATGTAAGATAACTTGAATTTATCATTTTTCAAAGACCAATAACTGTAAAATAGTCAGTGACATGTGATTTTTTGTCAAAAATAACTGTAGTAATTCAATTTTGCTAGCTTTGAGTTAAAAAGTCAGTAATTCATTTTTTGCAGGATGTGAAATTGTTATAATGGAATTTACTGATATATCGGTTATAAATAATGAAGAGAAGAATTTGTATTAGTTTCATTAATAACGTGTGAGGTTTTATACAGTTATGTTTACTCATATTTTCCACTTGGATAGAAGTTAACAACTCACTAATGGCATTTGATAAACTTCCATCTGTATGAGTCCCAAATCTTATTGCTATAACCTTATTCTTTCAGATTATATCATAAATGATGCTGCCAAAATTCTACGACTTCTCCATATACAAGATCTAAGAGTTCTACAAACCAGAATCAATGAGGCCATTGTCCAAGTCCAAAACCTAACTGCCAATCCCAAAACTGACACCCGATTGGGTAAAGTTGGACGATGATGACACAAGCAGGAGTTATGACATCATAGAACAATCTAAATACTCTTCTCAAATTGATGATGTCATATATGAATAGTGTCATGCTTCAATGCTTAAATATTCAAATGATGTCATATTGTTGGGTGTCAGTTTTCAAAAAGTGAACAAAATTTAAGATGTCCATGACATGACAACGCAAAAAAACTGGCTTTTGCTAGAATGACTTTAAATGTTAATACCTCATTAATATTTCTACATTATTGAATACAAAATCTTTTTTGAATCCAACTTATGTGAAGAAATGAAATTGGACGCTATGCTTTCCATTAGAATATGTACAATGAACATACCCATAGCCAGCTTTTGCCAAGGTGGACTCCAGGGGATTTCAAAAACGATGTTTGTTCAAAATAACAAAAAAATGCTCAAAATGGTGAAAATGCATGACTGTATTAAAATTTCTATCACACAATTCATAGTCACAATTTTCAATTGTTGCAAATCTTTCGAAGTCGATGTACAGTCCCAAACAGGGTAGTCATTTGAAAACTCAAAAATATTATTTTTTGTTTGCAAACTCATAATTTGCCTAGGAGATACTCAACTATTGGTATCATCTTACACATATTACTATATATGTATGTAGTATATGTATGTGAAGCTAACACTGTTTTATGTATTACTGTATATAAGCTAATATATACATCTGAGATGTAATTATGAATAAAAGAAACTAACTTGTTGCAAGAATAAGGGTTTATTTGGTTAGGATAAGGTTTTTATTATGTCACTACCACAAGTGGTGACATGTTATAGTCTCCTACTTTTTTGTTGGCGTTTAAGATAGCTTTAAGTGATTGAAGAAGAGAAACTGTACAACAGCGAAACTGAACGGCGGTGTCTTGATGTTGTACGTTGATTGTGGGTAGGCGTGGTGAACCCTCTTAATATTAATAATGACGATTATTAGTCACAATAGGTTTAGGTTACTTAAAAAGTGCCTTTCTAAAATCGCCTACACCAGTCCAGTGAATATATATTCGAAAATTAATATCAACACAATCATCTGATCATAAAGACATCAAATCTTAGTTATATTCTTTAGTTCATGTAATTGCTTATTTTGATTCGACGAATTAATTTGTATGCATCAACCACGATGCTTAAATGTACATCAACATCTAAATCGTATTTCCCCATCACAACAATTCATGAAACTAGGATTATAAGCACGTTTTCCACAGCACGCCGTGTTAAAACCAGGTTTAGACAAGACACTTCCATCGCAGCACGTAAATACTCTATAATCATAGGCACGTTTTCCACAACATCCAACGGTTGAACCGGCTGTAGGTCTGGATACGACTGTCCCATCGCAGCACATAAATACCTTATAATTATAGGCACGTTTTCCACAACATCCAACGGTTGAACCGGCTGTAGGTCTGGATACGATTGTCCCATCGCAGCACATAAATACCTTATAATCATAGGCACGTTTTCCACAACATCCAACGGTTGAACCGGCTGTAGGTCTGAATACGGTTGTCCCATCGCAGCACATAAATACCTTATAATCATAGGCACGTCTTCCACAGCATGCCGTGTTAAAACCAGGTTTAGACACGATATTTCCATCGCAGCACATAAATACCCTATAATCATAGGCACGATGTCCACAGAGTAGAGAGTTTGAACCTAAAAGTTTAATAAAAATCATGTTCCTCCGATTCTGAAAATCGTTTCATTTTCCTTTGTCTATTATTGACTGATTGTCTTATTTTCATAAATGTACTTATTTTAACCATTTTAGTAGGCTTAATGACCCCATAAACACTGGCGTTAAACGTAACTTAATTGGACATACTGCTCCTCAACGTGAAGATCATGGTACACGTATATCTATGAAGGTTTGCTGAATTCTTTAGATAATTTTTCAAACACAAATGGTGTGAATGGGCTTTTATTTGCGAAAATTGGTAAGACACGTATATTAACAAAGGTTTGTTGGAAGCCGATTCAGTCGATTCGTCAACTTATTTTACTTCTACGTAACCAAAGCATCATGATAACGTAGCACCTACCTCAAAGAAAATACATAATGAGATTACGTTATCATGATGCTTTGGTTACGTAAAAGTGAAATCATTTGACAAATCGACTGAATTACTGAAATCTTTTAACAAACCTTTCTAATATTATGTTTTACCGATCTTACGTATGAATAAAAGCCCACTCACACCATTTGTGGTTGAAAAATGTATATCAAATACATGATCTTAAGAATCAAATCCTATAGATATAAACGTTACGGAGCACTATGTCCAAGCTACGTTTAACACCAGTGATAAAAGTGTATACGTATATACTCCAAAAGATAGAAGAAAGTTGTACAGTAAAAAATACCCTTTGCATTCGCTCGACTTCACTTCTTAAAAGAGAGCTTCGTTTTAGTAGTAGTTTATGACTAGACTCTGAGCGCAGGGCAAGTAAAAAAGCAAAATCAAAGTACGATTGTCATGTTGTTAACCACTAGACTACTATGTACATTGTTCACTGATTAAATTTTGACTATATTTTTAAATACATATTTTAAATAATTTCGGGAAGAAAACTTGTATCAACACATTTCCATAATTTGAAAATAATCAAATGCAATACCAATTGTAATAATATCAAACTTATTCTAAAAGAACTTCAGGGTCATTTTTGGGTCATGTGATATGTTTCAATGAGAGATTTTCTGATTTGCTATCTTTTATACCGGTAAGTCTGAATTAATATAGGTGACACATGGTACGAGTTGAATGAAATATGAATCAATCATATAAAAAACATATCATATCACATACTGTTATCTTTCTGTCAACGTAATATCTTTGATTTAGTACCTGTAGTTGCAAATCCTAGAAAAACCACCAACATAACGGCGTATGTAACATCCATCATTTCGAATAGCGCTGTACTGAATCCCAACTTCCTTTTCATTCGTTTGACTTCGCTTCTTAAAAGAGAGCTTCGTCTTCAGGTTGTTTATAACTAGACTCTGTATACACTGCAGGGTAAAATCATGATGATATTTGATGACATTTCATTTTCACTGGCATATACCACAACATGATTCATAAATAAATCTACATGATTTGGTAACCATGCAAACACGTTTAGTTAGTTCAATGCATAAACGTGATTCTATCTACCTTCAGTATAAGTTTAACGGTATAGCAATGGCACGATTTGGTTTGAACATGCACGAATCTTACAACAGGGGAATTATTATGTTTGAAAAGTTTAGTAACTATAGGCGATTAATGATTTGACTGACTTGACATTCAGTTTATTTTAACGCAGATATAACTTTATCAGAGATGTTTCGCACAACGTTTTTAGCCCAAAAATTCCGTAACACAAGTCTCCAGTAGTTATGCGTAATAGTTCAGTTTGCTTGGATTGTACACGTACCTTAATTTATAGATTGTCGATAATGTCTACAAGTTTTGACAAAACAATAAGTAAAGATTCAAAATGGCCGCCATTTTTATTCAATCCTCACAATCACAATGGTGTTAAAAAGATGATGTGTTTTTGCACTGTATAGTGGAATATTTGATGATTGGAATGTCAACGTATTTGAAAAATGACTGGAAATCTGAATTATTAGCTACCAAACTTTTTGGTGCACCATTTGCATAATTAATCAATCTAAGAGTGAACAACTCGATTTTGAGGCTAGTATTCATTCTTATTTATCAAATCGTATTTAGCGGCAAATTGATAAACTTTTGATGCGTCATTTTACAATCACGTCACCTGATGACGTGAAACAGTTCTGAAGTTTAAACCAGTTTTGCCTCGAAAACAGATACGTGCTGACTTATACCTGATAACATAATGAAATGCATGAATATATTATATATATGTGGAGTAGTACAACTTTAAACGCCACAATATGATAGCCGAGCGAAGGTGAGGGGAATCGGCATACGGATAAAAAATAGCCTATCGAATATTTAGTTTACTAACTATTCCATAGGGACATGTAGCCTAGTACTTGTATAAAATCTGAGAAACTGAGAAAACACATTTATATTTCTATATATGCAAGTAGCCACGTCAGCAAGTTTAACATGTAGCCTAAATATAATTTTAATTAACGTCCTAGTATCCGAGTTGTCTCATTTTACGTTTGTATTTCCAATGTGTACGAGGATATACTGGTTCGGGGATTTCGCTACTTGGTATTCTTACAAGTTCACCACGTGCAATCTGACCTGCTCGCACTTTATCTTCGGCGAGATCCTTCTTCTTTATTATCAGGAAAATGATAATACAGATTATAATCGGTATACCAACCATTGGAACTCCAGCTATTAGTACCATTTTAGTAGCATGAGCGTTGGCCTCTGCATGGGACTTCTCCCTCTCGCTGTCTGTCATTGCTATAAATATAATCAAATTTAAGAATGTGATCATGGCGTTTATTCAATCGCCATCCGTGCATTTATTTTCATAGGCGTAGCCAAGGGGGGGGGGGGGGTCCTGATAGGTGCGATCGCACCCCCCCCCCCCCTAACCAATAAGAATAGAAGAAGATAGAGATAGGTTTAAAATGCTTTTTAGAGCTTCTAGCCCAATTTTGAAGGAAGTTGCATCAATTTTTGTAAAATTCAAAACAAATCTTATTGTACTTGGCTTGTTTCTGCCACGTGATCGCATCCCCCTGACTGAAAACCGTATTTTGGCGATCGCTATTCTCTCCCCCCCCCTCCGACTGAAAGCTGGCTACACCCCTGATTTTTAAATTCTAAGACAATAGGCTAATATAAGGCTCATTGTAAAACTAGTCAATTGCTTGTTTATAGTTCATCTTGTTTCCATAGATGAGCATTGAATACACTTTAACCTATACTAGATCGTGTCTAAGAAATGTGTACTATAAGCGATAACCCCAATGAAGACTTGGACGGTTTTTCTATGGACATTTTTGGGAGCTGGACTGATCATTCCACCATTTCTCACTTGGCCACAGATATGGAACATGATTTGGTGCATAGGCTATACCAGAATGCTCGGGATTTTCTCCAAAATAAGTCTATATAAGAAAACATATTCCATTTACCCCCTACCAGTAACGACAACAAAATAAACATTCTACTGGATAGCATCCTGGCTCCGGTACTGAAAATGTTGACAACCTACGTGTAGGTCATTGAGAGAAATTCGTTTTCTCAATTCTAACAAAATAATGTATACTCTCCAGGTATTTCAATATCTAAGTGGTACCATTGATTTCATTATTTCATTAATTGATATCAATGGCGTTTGTGTTTGCGTTTGTCATTTTTGACTACAAAATGATTTTTACCTGCTGGTTTTCCAGGGGAATTATTTCCAACGGGTGGGTTATTTTCAGTAGGTTTGTTATTCCCAACGGGTGGGTCATTTCCAGCAGGTTGGTTATTCCCAACGGGTGCGTTATTTCCAGCAGGTTGGTTATTCCCAACGGGTGGGTTATTTCCAGCAGGTTGGTTATTCCCAACGGGTGGGTTATTTCCAGCAGGTTGGTTATTCGCAACGGGTGTGTTATTTTCAGCAGGTTTGTTATCTACTGTTGGAGGGTTACTGCCAGCAGCTGCAGGAGGGCCATTTCCTGTAGGTGGCCCGCTTTCTGCATTAACTGTCAGTGTTCGGCCTACAACATTAGGGAGATGAAGTTAAACATTTTTAGAGAACGTTTACATGAACGTGCTGTATCATTATGACCAACAGGAATTACTTTCCCCCTAGCCCTCCCAATTGGTTTTTCCGGGGACCCAGTTACAACTACTTGTTTCCTTGTATCTTTAAACTAGGCAAGTAAATGTACTACAGGGGGGTAAAAAACTGGAAATCCTTACATCATTTTCCTCATATCTTTAACATTTCAGAGAATAACTCCCTGATATTTTAGACTTTTGTACATCGTTCAATGTCCTACCAGCCTACAATATTTCATGGCCATCTGATCGATAGTCACAATGTTACATCGCTTTAAAGAACATGCCCAGTGGCCACTATTGCGTTGTAGGGAAACCTGCACACGTTTTCCAAAATGTCACTACCTGTAGAGATATGGCAGAGATAGAGTGTATGAGAATGGCCTCAGGACAATTACAGACCTCAAAAGTGAGATCATCTGTATCGTTCAGGGCATACCTGTTGCAGAATGCATTTGGGTCATTGACAACTGTGTAACTGTGCAGGTTTGCCTTCAGCGTGATATTGGTCAAACCTGAAGCATGTCAAACCTGAAGTAAGTGCTGTAAAATTGTGACAATCAGTCTGATGGTCATGAAACACAGTAGTGTTGTAGGAAATTGAATGATGTACAAATGTGTGAAATATCTGGTAGTGATCTCTTAAAATGACAAAGATATGAGGAAAATGCAGGTTTTCCATTTTGACCACCCTGTATGAGGAGGAAAATAATCCCCCGAGGACCATACTTATTAAAGTTCTTTTAAAAACGTGTAGCTTAACCCACTTGAACATGACACGTGAAAAACGTCTGTATCTTGATAAATAGATAATTCCAAGCTTTCAAAAATCATAAATGTAACCTAAAAAAGAACGCATATATGGATAAACATAAAGTTTTGAGAAAAAATAGAAAAACTGAAATTTGCAATACAATATATGGAATCGATTCCTTCTTGAATTGTTCAGGAAACAAATAATATTTAATGATTTCTCTAACGTCATTATCTCTCACATGTTTCCTTTTCTTGATAAAGCAATATCCAAAGTTTTCCAAATAGAGCGCTGTGGGTTTCGGACGTGGAATATCACTTATGAAAGATGCACATGTAATCATTTCAATATAATTAATCATATATTAGTGTCTAATTTTCCAAGATAAAAAAATGTATTACACATAATATAAGCACCAGTCCTGATATTTTAGAGTTTCATGACGCTAAAAATATACAACAAATAAAAATACAAAATCATACAATACCATCGCTGAAGTAGAGTTTGGTCCACAGAATGATAAAAAAGATAACTTGAATCCTTTTGTACTTCATTTTGCTTATGGTAGGCCAATATGTCTTTGTTGTTTTTTGTTCCTAAGAACAAATGACACACACTTCGACGTCACAAATCTGATTTAATTCCAAGTAACTCTATAGACTTGATATACTGTATGACGTCATTTAATATGGTAACGTTGTATTAGTTTTTATCCCTGTTAGCATATTTGTTGCAGGCCCGTAGCCAGGAAGGGGGGAGGGGTTCGCAGGGTTCGGGCCATTTTGAGCAAGTGATTTTAGCCATATTTGGGCCAAAATTGCAAAATGTGAACCCCCCTGGAAATTTTTGAAAAATGAACCCCCCTTGGCAAATCCTGGCTACGGGCCTGTGTTGTCATAACTTATCGTGCTGTTTATAATAAATGGTTAGGTATCGATAGTGATATCGTATAAAGTATTTTGCAATGTGTGAAAAGAATGGGATCACCTCATTATACCGACGCGAATTATACCGAAACCATTATACCGACGCGCATTGTGCCGAAAACCAACATAGGCCTACCGATGCGCGTTGTACCGAAATCCGTGCCAGTGGGACGGCACATTGCCTTAACCCATCAAGTCTTATGACGTGCAGTCGTGCGCTTCCGCGTGGGACTGTATCTTTACAGCGGGAATTTCAAGTTTTTGTCAGTGTAGGCATAAAAAGTTGCGGTCCTCATACCCGCGCGTTTTTCAATATTTTCATTTGAAACTCGCAAGAACGGTGCTTTGAATCTAGCTCTATACTCTTTCAAAACGTCATGTAGACACATGATTATGCACATGTATGATAGTCCACAGTTACATTATATAGGCACAGAATAATAAAAGTGGAGCCTGAAAAGTCAAATATGGTGCTATGTTGAAAAGCAAAGAGAAATTCTACTGTATCAGCATATAAAATAGATAGTTCATATATTACTTTATCATACACCTTGGTTCAAATTATACATAATGTTTTCATTGAACAGACAAGTCTTGAAAATTAAAAAAATTATTTTTTATTTTACTTCCACAATATTTTAACTTTAAACTTTTTAATATGAGACTGGATGTTAATCTGTTTTTTACATATTCATATTCATTTGTTTCCCTTTAATATCTATTTAGGGTCAAATCAATACTAGGCTGCAGAGCAGGTCATCTGATTCTCAATTTGATTTTGATATTGCACTGAGCTATGTGTGTTGTGTTTTCAAGGGTTATTTTATATATGTCCGACAATCGAATTATGGTTTTGATACTATCTAGATGTATTTAATAGTATCTATATGTCTTGTTCATTCATTTGACCAATAAAAATCATAACTGCCTGGAAAGTAATATGAATAAAGTAAGTAAATAAATGAATTAAAACGTCAAATTAAGAAGCAAAAGTCTTTTCTGGGTCATTGCGAATGGCATGATTTCCTCGAGTCTCTTCAGTTGCAAGGCAACCATACTGGGACCGATTCGCGTCGTTCCACTACTGCCCTTGGTGGGGGCCCGCTACCATACTATATGACTCCCGGAGTTTACTAAAGCACGTTAGTGGAGGAACCAACCACAGTCTCACAATCTGTCTCCGGCAAGAGCGGCCAGAGAACCAACCCATGCCAAGGGCCGGTAAACGGTTGGACCTTCGGACCGAGTGTCCGTAGTGACAATGATCAACAACTCCGTACCTGGGGCTCGAACGCGGGACCTCCGTATCCCACGACGTTCAACCGCAAAGTAGCCTCAGTCTACGCCACTAGGCTACCCTGCTTAGGTGTCAAAACTGCTAAAAAATAATGTAGTTGTTACAATTATTTGCTTGGATAAACATCTGATTTAATCTGATTTAGTTGGAATCGAAGTTCGACCAACGATCAAGGCAATGCAATCAACAACTCTTGCAAATGTCGTAAGGACAGAAAGTACAAGAATCGTGATCAATGTAAAGTATAATATTTAAGACACATCTTTGAATATCGGGTAGGAGAAACATTCCAAACTGAAGAAGAATCATTTAGAACATTTGATTTGTTGCCAATATATCAATTGCGTCTCAAATGAATGAAATAAAAGGTATCGCGGGCCTGTGACTAAAGCTGATGAGTGAAAACAATTATAATTGACGCATCTAGATCGCTAACGGTAAGTGAATAGGTTTGTGTAGAAACGTCGAGGAAAATAAGCTATTTCGACGCTTGAAATAGTCTGATTACGCTTATTAATAATTCCGCGTGGCTATTAAACACAAGTGTTATGTAGAACAAAAACAAGGAAACTGAACAACCTATTAAGGGGGTGCGGTCCCCCATCCCTATCTGACGGCCATGATATACAGTATTCCATAATTCTTAACTTCAAAAAATGATAGGGACATGAAGTACTTGTAAAATGTGAAGGACAATTGCTATTAAGAGATTTTCAAAACAGAACCTAACTGTCTGAGAAAACAAACTTTTGTTTTGAAATTTTATTTTCTATATTTTTAAGTATACAGCATGTACATGCCAATAGTTTCAATATGTAGCCTTAATGTTATTTTATTCATCCTCCTATAAATATCCCGTTTACGTTATGTTTACGAGGATATTACGCTTACTCCTCTTCTTCGGAGTCGGCATCAAACTCATTTGGACCATTAAGACTTTCCAATTCACCTTGTTGACCTGCTTGTTTTTTCAATTTAGCGTCTTCCATTTTCTTTCTTATTAGGAAAATAACGATACATAGCAGGACCACAATCCCAAAGAATATACCTCCAACGATCGGCACCATTTTAGCAACATGTGCTTGGTCATCTGTCATTGCTGAAAATATTATCAAACTTATAAGAAATTGAATGTCATGATATTCATACTTATTTTGATTTCTATTATAGCAATAATTCAGATTCAGATTAAGTTACAATACCGACTTGGGCAAGGCCAGCGTCATTATAAAAGACTCGGATTCGATAGACGAATATAACCCTAGACGAATATTGAAGACACTTGACTCTAAATTGTATCATGGTCTCCCGACCCCCACCCCGTTAGCCTTAAGCTTTTCATTGATGGATGTCAAATGGAGAGAATGGCCCGGGTTATGATTTTATCACATCTGTTAACGCCGTTTGTTTCATGAAAAGGGTCGTCTGCATTAGTTTTATGAATTAAACATGTTGATAACTGCACAGCTTGAGAATTTTTTTACCTGCTGTATTTGCTGGGGAATTATTCACAACAGGTAGGTTATTTCCAACAGGCAGGTTATTTCCAACAGGTGGGTTATTTGCACCTGGAGGGCTACTCCCAGTAGGCGGCCTGCTTCCTGCATTAGCTGTAGGTGCTTGGCCTACAAGATTAGAGAGATTAAGCAACACGTTTTTAAAATAACGCGTACGAGAACGTGTTATATTATTATGCCACACGGGAATTACTTTTCTCCAAGACGCGCGTTCTACTCGTTTCCTTGTATCTTTAAACTAGGCAGGTAAATGTACTATAGAGGAAAATAATCTCCCGGGGACCATAATTATGAACGTAATTTAAAAACGAATAGCTTAACATGACATGAGAAACTTCTGCATCTTAATAAATCGGCAATTTCAAGCTTTCAAAAATAGTATAAAAAGCAATAACTCGTATGGATAAACACAATTTTGATATTTCTATGAGAAAATCCCAAATGGTCTAGAATTGATGTTTTTCATGAAACGTCCCTTGACTCCCTTGTAAAAGAAAAAGACATCACTCCAGATAAAAACACTTATGGACCTGTTTACGATAACTGATATATCGAAAATATAAAAACTGAAATTTGAAATACAAATATGATAATGATTTCTTCTTGATAACAAATTATGTTTTATGATTATCACTAGCGGCATTAATATTGTCCACATGTTTTACTTTTGTTGATTTAGGAAAATCCAAGATTTTCCATAAGAGTGCTTGTATTTTCGGGGTTCGTGGAATATCAAGATATCAAGGTATTCATCTAAACAGAATTATTATATTTGTATATCTGATATTGCATGATAGAAAAATATACTTCACAAAAATATCAACAGTTAAGCGATAAATACAAAATTATACAATACCATCGCTGAAGCAGAGTTTGGTCCACAGAATTATGAAAAAGATAACTTGATTCTTCATTTTGTATATTTTTGTTGTTATCGCTCCTAAGAACAAATGACGTCATATGTTTCCAAGTTACTCTAGAGACTTCAAATATGACGTCATTTTACACGTATATGGCAACGTTGTATTATTGTTTATCCCTGTAAGCATATTTGTTGTCATGAGTTAGGCTACGGCTAGTACCGTGTACATATTAAATACACAGTGACGATTAGCTCTCTTGGATTTTCTTTTGAAATTCACCTTTCTTTTAAAGGCCCCGTTTGAAGTTTGAAAATACAAGGGGCGCAACATAATCTAATATAAATGCTCTCATTTTTAAATTTTATCGTATATCCCTCTCATTCATATACGAAGCTAAATTAGTATAGCTATATATTAAATTAATTTTGACATAAGGTTGCCATAGTAACCTTTCCTAAGTGTAGGTAGGTCAATTAAATTATAACATATAAAATGGGATTAATTTGTTATTTCAATCATTTTAACGCAAAAAACAACAATGTCTGATCAGTTTAGTGTGGCTGATGCAGAGCGTGACAATAACAGACAGATTAGGTGTACCATTCGATTTTATGTACAATCAAGAAAAAGTAATAGGAACACCATCAGTGTGTGTGGGCAAGATACTCCAGGAATCTATGGGTAGTATTGTAAATTTGAGGAAGACTCCGGAAGATTATTCACGATCTGGTTACAAGAAGACCTTGCGGACAGAGAACACTAAGATGATACAAGATACGATTTATAAAGAGAGGACTATCGAACTGTGGAAATTAGCAGACAAGGTCAATATGGGGTATGAAACAGTTCAACAAATAGTTCACAAATGGGTATTGAAGAGTGATTAAAATAACAAATGTATCCTTTTCACATGTTACAATTGAACTAACCCGCCTACCCTAAATACAGGTAACCATGGCACTTTTTTTTTTTAATTAATTTATTAACATTGAAACATTTATACAATTTTTACATAATATACAATGGTTACATTGGTACTTATACAGGAATACAGAACTTATTGGTTATAGATTTTACTATTTCTTTCCATGGCACTTATCTCAAAATTAATATAAGATATAGTTATAATATTTTGTAATAGTATGGGTATATCCAAAATTTATGTTCTGAGAAAATAAGAGGGATATATGAAAAACTCACAAAAATGAGAGAATTATGGAATATATGGATCGACCCTTGTATGTTTTAAAAATTACACAAGCGTTTTTTAAATCTTGTATCAATAACACAAAGTGCAGAATAAGTTTATGAAAATATAACAAGATCAAGCCCAAATCGAAATGCAATTGACTGTGTGCAAGTTAATGGCACTACTTTCGAGGTCTATATGGACTATATCTCCATAAATATGCGGTCTCTGGTTGTGAATTTAGATTTGTTTGAAAGACTGAGATAAGATCCATAATTTGGGCAGGATGTAAGGCTGTTAACTACGTATTAATATGAAAATTTGTTGTTTTTTATTGTTACACCTTGATCAGGGAACATCAACCGTGAAGGTCAGCGACGACTATCACCCCCTGTGGTATCACATGGTACAATCTGAGAAAGAAATAACAAACCACACATCTCTTATTTTTAAACATTTATTCATTATGAATTTGATGTCCTATTTTTTATTTGATACACTTTTCCTGAGGTGAGTAAAATGGTTCTATAATAGTTTCTATCTAACAACTCATTCTGGTTGAATTTCCTTTGTTACTCTTAAATTTTTACTAAAATATGAAATGAAATGAAAATGGCAAGAAAACATGGCATAAAAATCTCATGACACTGTTGGCACATGCTCATTTTAGTCATCAAAATAAGTCATACTTATAGAAATATACATTCTCAAGGGAAGTACACAAAAATACATATGTTTAGCCATTTTACATGTATGTTTTTTTTTTATCAAAATGAAGTGAATATTCAGCTGTTTGCCATTGGTTAATATTATAACCAAATATGGTACAATGAGATATCAGGTGTTTTCATTAATCAATGTAACATTCACATTTTTGCTCTAACTGTGAAAAAAAGACTCACTGATTACATAATATTCAATTTTAGAATCACAATTACAATCCTAAAGTTCATGAATTCAAACTGAAATAATTCCAACCTTAAAGGATAAAGATTTGGGCGACAATGCAGTATTTTAATATTGATAATTGAACTGGATACCAATGTATACAAATATAATTAGTTAATTATTTAGTAAAGTACATACATATTGTAATTACATCACACAGGACATGTGGCAACATACAACTTAAAATACTAAACGCTAAGTGCATCCGCACACAATTTTATACAGTTTACATACACAAATCAGTCTTTATACAATTTCTATAGTCTATATAACATTATTAGTCTATGTACAAATTCATGTTTGTAATATATCATCTGAATTTCTGGGTTGGCAAGCCATACATTAGCCATAAATATCTGGGTTGGCAAGCCATACTCCAGATTTGAGTATTATACCAAGTCCCTGACCCAATGATGTGACCCAGAAAAATGTACAGATTGTGTGTTAATGAAAGATCACGATGGTTTCAGTTGGTTATTTTTCAAATATATCAAATATGAAAAAGAATAAGCACCCTGTGAATCTTCAATCTAGTCCATGTTGAGACAAAATAATGATTTTTATCCTATAAACAAACATTCAACTTGAAAAAACCATTGCGATCTTTTATTCGACAAACTCAAATGGTTGTTTCCCCAGTTTGTACTGTACATATCCTGATATACACTGCCTCAAGAGTCTATTATACTATATGTTCTGTTATAGCTTCTGATCAATTGATTGACTTAGTACTCCACATCGACAGTTTTAGTTGGTGAATGCTGTGCTTTTCCTGCAAAGAAATGGTCAATTCTGGTTAATCGCACAATCCATGTTATACATATCATTACTTACATATTATCCAGGCCCGTAGCCAAATGGGGGTCACTTTTTGAAAAATTCCAGGGGGGGGTTCACTTGTGACAATTTTGGTCCAAAATTGGCCATTATTAAAACACTTAAAAAGTGCTCTGAATGGTAAAAAACTGCATGATTTTGAAATATTTTTAAGCCAGGGGGGGTTCACTCGAACCCATCGAATCTCCCCTGGCTACGGGCCTGTTATCTGAATTGGTGTCCAAGTGAGTGTAATTATGAGAGCACAATAAAGTGTCTTATAACAACAAAAATAGTCTTCTTCAAAATATGTGATACTATTTTCATATCAGCAGAATGTTTTACAGAAAACGTCTCGCAGTCACGTAGTGTTGTCGCGATGTGCCATAATCGTACATCGATGCATCGGCAATTTTCAGTAGTAAACATCGATGCACATCGCGATGTACATCGAGAAAAAGTCCGAGAAAAGTGCACTGAAATACCGAACGCTAATGCACTAAAATACTGAACAGAACAAATTAAAAAGAGTACGCTGGTACATCCGGGAACTTCTAGTAACGGTGAAATGAAAGTAAAATAAATTCTTTTAGATTAATGGTTCATTTCGACTAGCTAAAACAGTTTTAAAAGCGTAAGAATATCAGAAAACATTGGAAAATGAAATAAGACATGAGAAAGGTAAGCGATTTGCGTCAAAATAAGATAAGAAAGGGTGATTTTTAGCAAATTAATTTTTTTTAAAAACATCGATGTTTTGTTTCAGACATCGATGCATCGACCGAATCAGCTTTGGCGATGTATATCGCGATGTATCGATTAATCGCGACAACACTAGTATAAACCCCTTTGATATCTATTTTTAAGATAACAGTAACAACATGTGCCTTTTAAAATAAGTCTGTTGGACTCAAAACAAAATCAATTTACATAATGACTCTTGATTGAAAGCCAATGATTGATTGTTTTCCAGCAAAGTTATTCATACATTTTTTTAAATTGTATTCAATCATTTAACAAAGAATCTAAAAAATACATCTAAATGCACCTATTAAAGTAAGTTGATTTGATTGCACTCGTCCTCATCGATATCATCCGGGCAGGCACAGGTGCGCCCTCCATTGGCAGTTGGAAGACATAAGAACCTACATCCGCCATTGTTATATGAGCAAGCATTGCTTCCTGCAAAATATAATAAAGTCATTTTGAAATTAAATGTAATTTTTAATATATTTTTCATTTCATAACATATATAAGCCTCTGGTTTGCAGTAATTGATATATTATATGATAATGTAAGATATAAGCATCTGGCATGTCGCAAGCAAAGCAAAAGATTTTTCTCACAATTAAGTATCTATAGGAAATGTCTCTGGCTGGCACTAATTATCCTGATTTTATGACCTTTCAAATTAAGGGGTTCAATTTAAATACTGAGCCCCTTTACCATAAACAATCTACTCTAGTTTACCTGCAGGACACCTATTGCTGGCTGTTGCTATACCATATAGACAACTATTTTTTAAATTTAGGGGTCCAAGTTAAAGACTGAGCCCCTTTAACATTAACACTCTACTCTAACCTGCAGGACACCTATTGCTGGCTGTTGCTATTCCATACAGACGACCATTTTTTAAAAATATGGGTCCAACTTAAAGACTGAGCCCCTTTAACATAAACAATCTATTCTAGTTTACCTGCTGGACACCTATTGCTGGCTGTTGCTATACCATACAGACGACCATTTCCACCTACTGGGAGGCCAATGGGTTCATTAGGGGTGCCACCATTTTGAGCAATGTTTGGGATGCTCTTCCTGGAAAATAGATATTTGCAATTTGTTATGCAGTATTTCAATTAAATGACAGTGAGTGAGGTGTCTACTCACAGAGACATCTATATGCCATTTGTCAACCATTTTGTTCAATGTTTCAAATGATGGTGTATAAAGCAAAAGAAAGATCAGAACTGAAATTATTTCCTAGAAAGTTGTGTTCATATTGTGTTCTAATTATTGTGGACATTTAAATGCATTTTGATGTTCATCAAAACCTTAAAAATGGAACAGTAATTTTAAGCAAATTGATACACCCCCTTCATAAATTTGGCAACAAGAAGTCCCCTTCTTGATTAACAAAACTATTGAAAAAAGCAAAAGAACAGAATAAAGATTAAAAGCCTTTAACATGCTATGAATACATCCAATTTCCAAACTTATGGAGGGGAGTGTATAAAATAATAATTTCTTACATGTCCCAGTCAGTCCAGTAAAGATTGCCGTTAGCTTGAGCGATATCAAAGGGGTATGAAGCGAGATTGTAGATCACCTTACGTCCGCTACCATCTGGCCTAGCGCACTCTATATGCTGGGAACCTAAACGACATAATCGAAATATTTAGAACAATGGACCTCTCAGATACTTCTATACAGCATCAGTCATCAGTCTCAAATAATAAAATCTGATATAATTTTACTATTCTCAAAAACATGGGCTTTCAACTCTAGTTGAAAGCCCATGTCAAAAATAAATAAATAAAAAATCTGATTGGATGTGATTAATATTATAATAGAACAAGATTAGAAAAAGAAACAGATCCCTTTAAACCTGCGAATATGATGATTCAAGAAAACAGAACCTAAAAGTTATAATGATGAAATGTATTTAGATTTAGACCTGTTGTTATGAGAAATTTGCTTGTTTTAATGCTAAAATTATTTGCCAGTTTTCCAATTTAAAATAGATGACACCTCTCGAAATGTTCAAATCTTACCTGCATCGGCCCAGCATAGCTGTTCAGTGTCATAATCAACAGTAAGGCCATTAGGTAGACCTAAGTTATCATCAACTATGACGTGTCTCTCAGAACCATCCATGCTGGACATCTCAATCTTAGGGGCCTTTCTGTTCCAGTCAGTCCAGTAGAGAGTTCTAAAGCAAAGAGGTTCATTTTATATAAAATATTGCATATAAGATTGTGAATGTGTGATTTACTGTGTTACATGAATTACTTATGTGCTCCCACAGATTTTTTTTAACTGGGTGTGAGTTCCAATTCTAATTTTATAGGTTCTGACCAAGAAAATATTCGATATAGGGGGGGGGGGGGGGGGGGCGTGGGGGTGGTACTATTGTGAAGAACTTTTAAACAAGACACAGGTTGAAAAGTATCACACCCTTCAATAGAATAGACAATTTTTGGACAGAAAGTCCAAAATGGCTGCCTTAACATTTACTTAGTTGTAGATTTTCATACATAGAAACATCCGTAAAATTAATCCATTAAATCTCATTGTTTTGTCAATGTGCACCCAAACTCTAATGTGTCCACCTCCTTGATTTATTTTAAAAATATTTTTCAAATGTAATTCATAGACATATATATGTTACCCTCTGCGTGGATCAATTGCAATTGCTCTCGGGTTAACAAGATCTCCTTCAATGATTGTCTTCCTGTTGGTCCCATCTATCTTAGCCACCTCTATACGATCAAGACCAGAGTCGGTCCAGTAAATATTACGGGCAATCCAATCTATCGCAATACCTTCAGGGGATCCAAGACCTAAATGGAGAAAATGATTCATTTTAATTGATATATGAACCAGCATGTCAATTTTCCAAACAAAGTTACCTTATTTCTGCTTCTACTCAATATAACATTTCATGTTATCTAGTATAGCATTGACACTTTGAATGTTTTTAAAATGACCTTAACAATATTGTAAAATTTTGACAAAGAGACACCCATTAAATATCAAAATACAAAATACATGTTTTAAAACAAATCCTCATTTTTAAAAAAAATTAAAATACAGACATACTAATAAATGGTCTCTCTAAAAATATACATGCAAAACATACCAAACCTACTAAAAAGTAAGCATACCAACATGCCAAATCTCCATTATATTAACATGCAAAACATACCAAATATTTGAAAGTCAGTATAAAGCAAAGCAATTTTTGTGTACCTTCAAACACCATTTCTGAGCCACTACCATCCTCAAATGAAGCCCTGTTAATTGTATTACCAGACACATCAGTCCAGTAAACCATGCGATCTTGACAGTCTGCTCCAACACCCACTGCGGTTTGGCCTAGGTTAATATCAAGTCAAGCATTAGTCTAAGATGCAAACATGCAAAATCCCCACGCCTCATGCCTTTAAAATACTTCAAGGGATCGGTCGAAATCATAATACCATTGCCACCAAATAACAAGATATTAAAATGTTATGTTTATAAGTTTAAACTAGTTTCAAAGGCATTATATAACAAAATGGTCTTTGACATTCTCAATTGCCCAAATGAAATTGTGTTATTTGACGACAGACATGGATATTTTGACCAAATCCTTTTCAGATTAAACAGCATCCATTCATGTTAGTTATTAAATATGCCTAATCTGCTAACATGCACATCTACAGTAGATATCCATCTTGACTGGCATTTGTAAAGAAACATGCATAAATAAATTAGTAAAAATATGCATATAATTAGGGAATTCAACTAAGAAACACATGTGCATCTTTTTCACTGTAGTGTCTTAAAATATTGAAATGTTGCTAAAATACTCCCATCAAAAAAACTGCACACCAAAAATACCCCACACCAAAATTTCCAAGTGTTTCCGCATTGAATACCCAATATGTTAACATCCAATCACCACTTTAACTCCAAAAGTAGACATCCTCGGAAATCTCTAACAAGCTAAAGCCTATCAATAATTAATTAATGTCAAAAATAATTTTAAAAATGCAAGAAGTACATGCAAAAACCTTCAAATCAGCATTTGCCCTCTAAAAGCAAAGTACAATTTTGTCTTGGAATATATTCGCCACGGATCCAAAAACCTTTACTTTACAGCATCCTACTTGAGAGGGTTTGTAGTAAAATAAGCATTAGTGGATGTAGGGGACACGCTGTACACATAACATGCCCTTTAGTATATAGGGAATGCCTCCCATAACATGCCCTTGTCAATGTATAGCACTCCCTCTGTATGGCATGAACCATGTACAACATGCTCCTGATAATATGACAAGCCCTATGTTTATGGCATGCCCTATGCATAACATGCTGTTCAAAAAATGACATGCCCTATGTTTATGACATGCCCTACCAAAATCAGTGACAGTTGCCATATTTGAACCATCTAAGTTGGCCGAGTGAACTTTCTTTTGTAGAGCATCAGTCCAGAACATCATCCTGTTGGCACAGTCAATGGCCACTCCAACTGCTGTCTGGCCTAAAGGTCGGGAAGTAATGTAATTTATTTAATTTAAATAAAAATGTTTATACAAGTAGTAAAACCAGTGTTAGTAAACACTTGGGAACACCTCCCTTCGGTAAAGGGTTTTGTTGTATTCAAATTGTATCTAATATCTTGCAGTGCATAAAATTTGATTGCTATTGCACTCTGGTTTGGGTAATCCTGTCAAGTGGCTCCCTGCACTATTACAACTGGCATGTCACTAAATTCACGGTAGTCTTGAAGTTTGATACGCCAGCAAGTTTTCCCTTGTGAAAAATCAACCATAAAAACTTTAATACATGTATCTTCCATTATTGAAACGATATTCTTTTTGAAATTTTATATCTTAATATAATAAAATTGAGAACAGGCCCTCAATGGTACTTTTACTTGTTTTATACAATCCTCTTTGGATTTTAGCAATTTTTTGATAATTTTTTTTATAATTTAATTCATTCATACCTGGTATGTGTAGAATCATTGTTCCTGGGTTCTCTTGGTTGGGCTCAAATGGCACTTTCATGATGGACATTCCCTGTGCGTACACTAAGTAGCTGCCCTGGTCTCCTTGCACTGGAAATATGAAATATACACCATTTTAAAGCTGATTCAAAGGCAAACATCTGATTTTAGTCATACACTTTTAGATATATATTCTGAAGTATTTTTTTACTTATTTAAACGGTAATCAAATTTAGGGAAAGGTAAGTGGTATATGTGAGACATTTTCAAAACATTAGATGACAAAATGTCACATCCTGCAAATAGTTACAAAAGTGTGACTATTGTTACAAATGCAAACCACTGAAAATTATGCCAAACACCAGTCACATAAAAGGTGACAAAGGTTAACTGAATAATTTACTCACAGACACATCGTGTACCGTCACCAGAATATCCACGGTTGCAAGAACAAACATAACCAGAACTTCCTCGGGTACATCTGGCGTTTGAGTCACAAATTGTGGCGTCACTGCGGCAGTCCACTACAATATACAAGTAACAAGTAATAATAAATATTAACAAGACATACAGAGATAAACGTCTCACTTTGAAGAACAAAATGGCTGCTTTGAAATTTACCCAGCATGCCAAAAAGAAAATAAGATGTGGACACTAGTCTAAAGAATTTGTTCTTTTCAAAAAAAATTTCACGTTTGCTTTTTATGATAACTCTTTAACTTACATGATTGTGTGCATAAGTAGCCGTCCCCTTGGAATCCACGTAGACATCTACATTGGTATTCCCCTGTGGAAGGTATTCTGGTACATTCTGCATTTGGGTCACAGTTGTTGATTCTGTTACATGGTACAGCTGGAATATAATCATGGAAGAAATGAGAAAACTCATGGGAGAAATGGAAAAACATGGGAGAAAAAAAATATGGGAGATTTTTAGAGTTTGGAGTTCAAGAATTGATCTTGTTCTTTGCTTTTATTTTTTCTCATATATAATTTCAACTTTCTGATATATACATTATTGTTTGTTTGTTATTTTCTATTTTACCTCTGCTCTAACTCAAGCTCTACTATTATTCTGAGCTATATAAGCTAAGCTATAGTACACTTTTATATGGTAGTAAATTGTGATCCAAGTTGCTACCATTGACCACCTTTCAAAGGGCCACATTCTCATGGTGCCCTGTCTCTTTCTTACTAAGACTTCTGTAAGATATACACTATCTGGGTGCAAATGGCACTATGAATCTATAATCCCACCGCTGACACCAATTTAAAATATTTTGGTGGCCAATGTCTGGGAAAAAATTAGTGAACTACAGTAGGTAAATTAATGTGGTGAAGCAACCTAGATGCAGCCAGGAATTCAAGTATACTCAAATCACACATCTGTTGTTAGCCCCCCTGGCCCCCTTGTAGATGGTGAATTTCCACACAATACACACCAGATGAGTGAAAATGATACAACAAAATCTGATTCCAACACTCACACCAATATAATAACCCAAAGTGCCTCATTTTATGAAGGACAAGCTTACTAATGAACTACATTGTAACTGACAAACAATTAAGTGAAGCAAAGCAGAAACAGCCAACTTTGATAGTGATTCCCACACATTGTACCCAGCTTCACATAAAAGATACAATGAATGACATGATCCAACCGCTGACACCAATGTAAATGGGAACCAACCAGATGAGCCTCAGTTGTGGAAAAAGAAACAACTAGCTACTGAAGTGACTAATCTAATGTAGTGAAGCAATTAAGCCAGACAAATTTAGAATTAAAGAGTGCCAAATTCAAAGCTCATTGTGATTATTGAACCTGGGATCTCTCAATCCCTAATCTCACAACATCATGCGCTATAATGCTGAAAATATAGATATAAGCTACGAAAGTTGAAGCCTAAAATCAAAATAAATTGTAACCCAAGGACATCACTCCACGGACCTTGCTCTCTTTCACATCTGTATCCATTCCCGATATACCCGCGATTACATTGACATTTGTACTTGCGATAATAATTGTCATACACGCAGCTAGCTCCTCTACCACAGTTATGTAGCACCTCGCAACCTGTTGAAAAGTATCCAGTGAACCTTTAACACTTTCTCTTTTAAACTTTAAAGAAACACTTTCTCCTGATCTACATTTGACGGCAATAACAGTATAACAAAATTCACATTCATAAAACATGAATTCTGGTAAGAGCAAACACATCATATACGTTCCCTTTCTGTTTTTTTAATTGCTTGATCCAGATGGGCATTTTTGCTTTAAAATGGCATAAATGTCCAGAGAGTATACCTTCTTCTTTGGTGCATCTGTAACCATCTCCCTCAAAGCCTGGGTTGCATTTGCAGGCGTATTTGCGGTAATAATCGTCATAAGTACAACTGGCATCACGTCCGCAGTTTCGTAGCACTTCACAGCCCTGTTCTCCTGAAAAAACACACTGAAGGTTTTAATCAACTGTGATTGGTCAGTTTAATCATGACACACCACAAATAAGTTTAAGAGGTAGATGGAAAATGGATATAGAATGGTATGTATATATGAATTAAATTGTTAGAAGTATTCTGATATATATGTTCTTTTGTACAAACAGGTAGGTTAGGAAATAGGTTGATGGAAACAAAAACAAAAAACAATTCAAACAATTAAACATAAAATAAGGAAATGACGGAAAATTGACAAAGTAACAAAATTATTTACGTACAATATATAGGTAACATAATTGAAGAAATAATAAATTCCCATTAAATATAAAACAAATACCAAACTCTTAAAATACACACATGGATACATATAACAAATAATGAAAAAGCTTGAGTACATTATATACACAATGATAATTTTACAAGTATTCATTTGAGATGACGTGCAGTGATTCAAATTAAAAGGGATAGTTTGGGGAAAGTTGTGCAACTACATGTATGCCTACCTAACATTGTAATTAAACATGCAATAATTTCTAACTATGCAATGCATTATTTTCCACTTGTGTGCTTCCATTGTAATATAAAAATATGTGTAGTGTGCCTAAGAAAAGTAAAGATTATCTAAGGTCAGGAAAAATAATATCTTGTTTCTTGTCGATTATTTCATCAGCTAAGATTTTTTGTTGTTTTTGAGAAACAGAAATTTAGTAGGAATCTACAGATAAATATTACATTTCTTCAACTGAACATAATGTATTTGTTTTTTTTATGATTGAAAGGTAAGTAACAAGAAACAAGATAATTTGTTTTATCAACCATGCATTATTGAATCATTACAATGCATAATTCATGAACATTGTATGATAATAATGCATGCTGATTTGAGTATATACTATTTATTTACTTAATTAATTATGTGTTTATTTAATGGTTTAATTATATAATTTACTATGCTATACATTTAGAGTAGTAAGGTTAGAAATCAAGATGTAAAAAAACAAAGACCAATTCTCATTAAATTTTTTTATTAATAAATTAATCTGTGTTTAGTAAATTATATAATAAAAAATAAATAAAAATAAATGTGCATTATCTCAAGTAAAATTAGTGTTTTGTGAATTATTTAAATGGGTTGAATTTGATTAATTGCATTTCTGCAAATAAAATTGCACAATGAACAAATCAAATCAAATTGTGTGATCAAAAATTTAGTGCGAAATAAAATACAAAATGTGAGGTAGGGATTTCTTAAAGTGGCAATAAAATGTATCTTATCTTTTGAGTGTAATAGTTATATATTAAACTTAATTGCCACTTTAATAACATACAGATGTGATGGGAGGATACTAATGAAAATGTGAGAATAAAATTCTGGTGATATTATTTTGGAAAATAATACAAAGTTTAGTTAAACAAAATGACAAGAACATATAGGAGTGTTTAAAGTGGGATAAACAAACAAAACTTAACGTTTTTAATTATACTAAATTATAAAATAAATCCAATTTTTTTCATTGCATCTTTCAGTTCATGATTTGCTAAAAAATAAGGATATATTTTACATGTATAATTAAATAGGATGGAATGAAAGGAGGTTGCAACTGCCATAAATTGTTATTCAAATATACAAATACTTAATTCTGATTGGTTATTCAAGGTCCCATTTTGACTAACAAGGCAGTTGGGACAACACCTCCTTTGAGAGGGAAGTCATACAAAATGGGAGGGTAGGATAAGAGGTACCTAATAAAAAATAATATATATGTGCTGGTATATATTACAATATTTCACGCATGTTACATATCACGTGTCACGCATGTTACATATCACGTGTCACCAATGTTACCTAGCTCTGAACAAGTATTGCCGTCTCCTGTGTAACCTTCACGGCACTGGCAACGATACATAAGTCTACTTTCGTCATAAATACATTGAGCATTTGTGTCACAATCTCTACACCCGGCTAAAACGTATAAGACAATCAAGGAAAACATATTACAAGCACAAACAAGCGAGAAACATCTAGACAAGCTGTCTACATATGGTTGCCATAGAAACACACTGGTTGCCTTAGGAACGCAGGTTTGTTTGCAAAGTTACATGAGAAGAATACATGCTAATGGTGTTATAATGAGATAGACAAGTGATCTGAATAATAATTCTTTAAAGTCACTTTAAGGGGTTGCTATGGCAACTGAAAAGCAAATATTTAAGTGAAGATTTGAACATGCGATAGAACACAAATATACATGAAAACACAAATTATTCAGAGCTTTGAAAACATAATATTGGCAGAATGTAGCTTGGAAACTTCTATCATTCTTCTATCTTTCATAAAAAGTAATTGCTTAGTCTTGCTTTGCTTAGTCTTGTATTACTTAGTCTTGCCTTGCTTAGTCTTGTATTACATGTCATCCAGACTAAAATACTGTCAAAAATTAAGGTACCCTTTGTGTTGTGATATTCTTTTGAATATGAATGATGCCAGATGAAAGTGTTTACTTTGAAAGTGTTTACTTGGAAAGTGTTTACAGTACTTTGAAAGCGTTCACTTGGAAAGTGTTTACTTTGAGAGAGTTTACTCTGGAAGTGTTTACTTTCATTCCACTACATCCTATAGATCACCAATATGACATCTTGCGTCAAGCTCTTTTCATAAAATACATCAAAAGAAATATTCCAACGATCATCTTAAGCCCTACCTCTATTGTAGAAAGCCATTGGTTAGTTGAAAGCAATTGAACCAATCGGTTTAATTTAACAAAGCTTTGAACAACATTTATTTGACGATTCATCAAAAGCAATTATAAACATAATGAATATTAAATATTGGTAGTTTGTAATGTTAAAGAATAAAACGATTTGTGCTGGAACTTAGAATTTTCACTAAAGAAAAGCTGGTAGCTTATACACCATTTAACTATCTTGTATCGATTGGTGCAGGAATCTTTTTATGGATTCAGCCGAATATAACCAGTCAGCTTAGTCCCATGTTTATCCATTGAAGTAACAAACAGAAATCTGTGAGTTTTCTATGATATATTAGTTAACTTTCATCAAGGACGTCTATCTCGAGATAGACGTCCTTGCTTTCATCAACCATGAGATACTGTATTAGATATTTCTCATTCTGATCCCAGCATGGATCGTTTTATAATTTAACAACATGTTATATGAGTATGCATGAAAGATGGAACAGCCTTTCACAATTTAATAACATGTTATATGTGGACGCATGAAAGATGGAACAGCTAGCATTTTATATGAAAGCTTTTTTATGAGAAATGACTATTAATGAAAAAATCAATTATACAGTACATCTTTATTTTTGTGAAACAAAGACCTCCCCTATTCTCCTGAATTGTTTCCATGGAAACAATTTTTTTTAAATATTGTGAACATACATTCCTGAAATTCAGATTGTCTTTGTCTTTCACTATTACAAATACAATGTACATCAAAATCACAGTATAATTGTGTAATACAATTGAATTTCAGAATTTTGAAATAAAATCCATTTTGAAATGCAAATGAATTTTAAGCACTATGAAACCTTCTAAACCTCAGGAATTTTGCTTACAATCTTTCTAGAAACTGCCCCCTCTTTAGTCAAACAAAATACACCATAATAATATTAATGTTACATGTATGACATGAGTTCTAATTAGGTACATACGTTCATCAGTTCCTTCGGTACACGTCACGCCATCCCCACTGAAGTCATCATTGCACTCACACTGATAACGACGTGTTTCACGATTGAAAACACATTCTGCGTTATCATCACAATTGTTAACAACGTCGCATCCCGCCTCTAGAATTAAGCAGTCATATTAGTAGAAATGAGAAGCGTTATTTTTAGAGTTTAAATTTTGCACAAATTAAGCTTTACTCCCGGGCTTTACTATATAAAGAGTACATACAAGGCTGGGTTCCCTCCTTCCAAATTATTATGGCAGCGATAAAAATGAAAGGAAATATGAAATTCTAGACAAGGATTTTACATTTCTGGTAATGAACTTTAAAACCAAACCAGGGCAATATTTCAAAATTGGAATCACATTTCAGCTAAGTCTTCAAAACCAGACTGCTGTGAACTGAGGCATGATATAGCACAATAAATAAGAACATTAACTTTCTCCATGTGTATCCCACAGTCTCCTAAAGGAGCAACCCTTAGTATCCAACATCTCCCAATTAAATCCCTAAATCACTCAATTTTCAGATCCAGCTTCTAATTTATTTGAAATCCATATAACTGCCATAATAATCTGCAGATATAGGACCCCTAGTATGTTGTGTGCTTGCCATCAACAGAAAAGGCTAGGGCCCCTTGTATGGCTAAAAGGCTAACACCAAAGAGCATTTTAAAAGCATATAATCATTACATAATAGTATCTATAATTGTAGAATATTAGAAAACCAACACCTAGTATGAAAATACATAAATTACTACTAGCAAATTGAAAGCTTTATCACTAAAATTTTATACATTAGATAAAGAAACACAATACGTAAAAGCAGTGAATAGAATTACATATATTTGTTCACTGGTTTTAAATATTTCAGATTCTTCAAATCATACAATTATTCGCAATGATGGTTATACATGTATTCTCAAAAATGTAAAATATAAATGTAAAATAAAACAATTAAGTGAACAAATACGAATCAAGAGAAAAAGAAACAAACAAACAAAGCAAGAATTTATTTGTGATTGAAAAACAAACAAAGGAAACTAAAAAGTTTCAAAATGCTATATTTAGAATAATTCCACTCGCAAATATTGCATTTTGAAAGACTTACAGTTCTGGCCTTTCACAAGAACGTCTCTTCAGCTGATATCTTATAAATGAAATGACATGAAAAATAATATGAAAATAATGAAAATGATAATGTTATGAGCATATACTTACCGACTTCCTTACAATCATATCCGCTGCCATAGTAACCAGGTAAACATTCACACATTTCAATGCCCTCGTCGCTATTATAGACACATCGTGCATTAGCATCGCAAACCCCTGTACCGCAACGATTGTCTCCTAGTAACCATAGTAAACAAGCAATAACAACATGCAGTTAACATAGCAACAAGGTATCTATAGTAACAGTGAGTGTTGCTATGGTAACAATTATAATTTCAAACTGAACAATGTTTTTTAAATAATTTTGATTCAAAGATTTAACCTAAATTCAAACAGATTTCAGTTAAATTTCAAAACGAGGGAGAATCTTCATCCATTACGTATATCATGTTACCATAGCAATATATAAATAGTTAACTCTAACCACACTATGTAAAAAGCTAACACCATGAATCATATATGTAAATGTAAAATCTGTAATTTTGGATTAACTCTAAATGTTAAATGAAGAAAAGTTTATTAGAAGCCTTGTTTGAAGAAAACAGGGGCAGAGTTTGAGACTCAAGAATGAGTCATTAATGTTGGAAGTTTTTTGAAACAATAAACAAGGCTTCTAATAAATCATTTTAAGCAAGTGAAACTGGACTAGAATGTCATGCAGTACCAATTTATAAAGCATCTTTGGAGTCATGTTCATTGGTGACGTGTGTCTTTAACAAAGGTTCCTTTTTAAATATCAACCCCCCTTTAACCTCCCCCCCCCCCCCCCTTATTCCATAAGGGGATTTATAACTCCAAAATGGGCATCAAATATAAATAAATATTAAAAGGGTTCAAGCATCTTGAAAATTTGATCCAGGGATATCAAATCGATCAATCGAATGTGATGAAATCACAATGGATGTTCAATTCCAAAGGTCAAAATTTTAATAATTAAAAAAGAAAACATGAATGCATAGGATATAAAATCCACTTGAACTGTTCCTTTTGCCAAAAACATGACCGAGCAGACACTTTACTATTTGGTGGTGATATATAAACTAGTAGCCACACCATGATAATGTATAATCTTTGACCTCATTGGGCTTATGACCTTGAACTTTAATACATCCCCACCCTCTTTATTAGTACCTTAACCTCAATTTACTTAATCAAAAAATATGCATTTAAAATATGTTTAATATTAGTGTAGTATTATTGTTTATAAATAATGACACAAGATCATAGTAAGCCCATTGGTAGTCACCTATCAAAAATGTCACTGATGATTGTACTGATGATTGTATTGAAGATTGTATTGATTGTACTTTATCTTTTGATTCAGCCATGTCAGCCTAAACTTCAATCTTGCTATTCGTTTTAACATTTTCAGTATCTCTATAAAATCTTTATTCATTTCTTTCAATTTCACCTTTGGATAGAATAATCCTTATCAGTGTGACATTTTTATAGAAATTTATACATTGACCTTTTGACCCTGACCTAGTCCTCTAATTGACCCCTTGACCTACTTTCACATATTTTGCCATCGCCATTGTATCCTGTATTGCAACGACACTGGAATCCTCCATTGGTGTTAATACATCTGGCATTGGGATGACAGTCATTGGTTCTCAGTTGGCATTCGTCTTCATCTGAAAAAGAAATACATAAATAATATAATGTAATGTGTCGTTTTATGTTCTTTGGATTTTTCATTAAGTTATTACTGTTATTTTTGTTGTTAAGGATGAAGAACTGTCTCCCATTGCCTCCTGGGGGAGATGACGAACCGTCTCCCATTGACTCCTGGGGGAGAACACGTTCAGACAGATTTTGACCCCTGCTAAAGAAGGGTTTTAAAGTCATCGCATAGGATTCACACACATCTAAACCCATTGTGTAAAATAACACAGGTTGTACATGTACTTCACCTGCAATATGCAACCAATATTCCAGGAGCGTTGTGACACCATGCTGACATCAAATCAGTGTCAACTTTTGATGTCATTTCAGCATTAAGTGGGCAGAATTATTTGACATCATTTAAACAATGATTTGACAATGTTTTGGCACCAAGTTTATATATGTCAAGATTTAGGGACAAAAATTTATGTCATTTTAAAGTAAAGCTTTTTTTCTTTACAATGACGAGTTGAGAAATTTAAAAACATCCCACTAACTGAACTTTTAAACTTTTAAGGCATGTATTTTCAAAAAGCTTTACATTGGCGATATTCCATTACATTCTTGGACTTTGATTTTTTTACATTCTTGGACTTACGTAGATTATTTTGCGATTGAAAGTTGTTAACTTTATAGCATGGATTTTCAAAAAGCTTTACATTGGCCATATTCCTTTACATTCTTGGACTTTGATTATTTTACGATGTAAACTTGTGAACTTTTATAGCAGGCATTTTCAAAAAGCTTTACATTGGCCATATTCCTTTACATTCTTGGACTTAGAATATTTGACAATGCAAAGTTGTGAACTTTTAATGCAGGCATTTTAAAAAAGCTTCACATTGGCCATTTTCCTTTACATTCTTGGACTTAGAATATTTCACGAAGCAAAGTTGTGAACTTTTTATGCAGGCATTTTCAAGAAGCTTTACATTGGCGAAATTCCTTTACATTCTTGGACTTTGATTATTTTACGATGTAAACTTGTGAACTTTTATAGCAGGCATTTTCAAAAAGCTTTACATTGGCCATATTCCATTACATTCATGGACTTAGGTTATTTTACGATGTAAACTTGTGAACTTTTATAGCAGGCATTTTCAAAAAGCTTTACATTGTCCATATTCCTTACATTCTTGGACTTAAATTATTTTACGATCTATAGAAGTGAAATTTTACAGCATGCATTTTTAAAAAGCTTTACATTGGCCATATTCCTTTACATTCTTGGACTTAGATTATTTTACGATCTATAGAAGTGAAATTTTACAGCATGCATTTTCAAAAAGCTTTACATTGACCATTTTCCTTTACATTCTTGGACTTAGAATATTTCACGAAGCAAAGTTGTGAACTTTTTATGCAGGCATTTTCAAAAAGCTTTACATTGGCGAAATTCCATTACATTCTTGGACTTAGATTATTTTGCGATTGAAAGTTGTGAACTTTTATAGCATGGATTTTCAAAAAGCTTTACATTGGCCATATTCCTTTACATTCTTGGAGTTAGATTATTTTACGATTGAAAGTTGTGAACTTTTATAGCATGGATTTTCAAAAAGCTTTACATTGGCCATATTCCTTTACATTCTTGGACTTAGATTATTTTACGATCTATAGAAGTGAAATTTTACAGCATGCATTTTCAAAAAGCTTTACATTGGCCATATTCCTTTACATTCTTGGACTTAAAATATTTTACGATATATACTTGATAACTTTCAAGGCATGAATATTTCACAATGCAAAGTTGTGAACTTTTAATGCAGGCATTTTCAAAAAGCTTCACATTGGCCATTTTCCTTTACATTCTTGGACTTAGAATATTTCACGAAGCAAAGTTGTGAACTTTTTATGCAGGCATTTTCAAGAAGCTTTACATTGGTGAAATTCCATTACATTCTTGGACTTAGATTATTTTGCGATTGAAAGTTGTGAACTTTTATAGCATGGATTTTCAAAAAGCTTTACATTGGCCATATTCCTTTACATTCTTGGAGTTAGATTATTTAACGATCTATAGAAGTGAAATTTTACAGCATGCATTTTTAAAAAGCTTTACATTGGCCATATTCCTTTACATTCTTGAACTTAGATTATTTTACGATCTATAAAAGTGAAATTTTATGGCATACATTTTCAAAAAGCTTTACATTGACCATTTTCCTTTACATTCTTGGACTTAAAATATTTTACGATATATACTTGATAACTTTCAAGGCATGTATTTTCAAAAAGCTTTACATTGGCCATATTCCTTTACATTCTTGGACTTAGAATATTTCACGAAGCAAAGTTGTGAACCTTTTATGCAGGCATTTTCAAAAAGCTTTACATTGGCGAAATTCCATTACATTCTTGGACTTAGATTATTTTGCGATTGAAAGTAGTGAACTTTTATAGCATGGATTTTCAAAAAGCTTTACATTGGCCATATTCCTTTACATTCTTGGACTTAGATTATTTTACGATCTATAGAAGTGAAATTTTATGGCATGCATTTTCAAAAAGCTTTACATTGGCTATATTCCTTTACATTCTTGGACTTAGATTATTTTACGATCTAACGAGGTGAAATTTTATGGCATGCATTTTCAAAAAGCTTTACATTGGCCATTTTCCTTTACATTCTTGGACTTAGAATATTTTACGATATATACTTGATAACTTTTAAGGCATGTATTTTCAAAAAGCTTTACATTGGCCATATTCATTTACATTCTTGGACTTAGAATATTTCACGAAGCAAAGTTGTGAACTTTTTATGCAGGCATTTTCAAAAGTCTTTACATTGGCGAAATTCCATTACATTCTTGGACTTAGAATATTTTGTGATTGAAAGTTGTGAATTTTTATAGCATGCATTTTCAAAAAGCTTTACATTGGCCATATTCCTTTACATTCTTGGACTTGGATTATTTTACGATCTATAGAAGTGAAATTTTACAGCATGCATTTTCAAAAAGCTTTACATTGGCCATTTTCCTTTACATTCTTGGACATAGATTATTTTACAATCTACATGTATAGAAGTGAATTGAAAGTTGTGAACTTTTATAGTATGCATTTTCAAAAAGCTTTACAATGGCCTTTTTCCTTTACATTCTTGGACTCTGATTATTCTACGATGTAAACCTTGACTTGTTCTTCCCCTTACATGTACCTACGTGTACTTCTGAGTAATTTGTAATTAACAATCAAATCAACAAATATTCACATATCATATTAGCAGATGTCTGGCGAAATTACAGTACAATAAGATATTCTGATCGATAGAGTATTTGGTTATAAAACCGGAAGTGTTTTCTCTGAGGTCGGCGCGTCAAATTCCATATATGTATTCTACCTTCGATATTAAGTTTTGGCCGGTACATCCTCCCGATTAATATCTATCATTAGGTGCTTTCAACACCATGTTTTTCTAATCTTATCGCAAAATAGTCCATAAAATGAAGGAAATGTTTCAAAGTTAAGAAATTTGATCGGCATTTTACCAAAAGAGCTTCTGCGCACGAGTTCTGCGCATGTCAAAAGCCCGTCAAACTTTCTCATTTCTTTTAACATTTCTCGCCTTTTACACGACTTTCCCACCTGGAATCATACTCTATCATCAAATTAGAAATATAAGGCATAACTTTAGATCGATTTCCAACCATCTCTTGTGAAAGTATTGAAGATGATCGGGGAAAACAATCCCGTCTATTCGAGGGGCTCTCTAGGGGATTTCTTCAATCACTATCAATACTATTGTCTATTCAAGTTCATTTCTATATTTAGCGATCTTTACTGTATTCTCTCCAATGACATATGGTTTTTACAATTCTACATGTACTGTACGTCGTGAAAGAACAGAATCCAACAAATACCAAATCTAAAAGTCAAAATAAGTAGGCTAAAGGAAAGGGGACAGTAAAGCGTGGAAATACATGTACAGCATTCTATGAGAGTTCACAACTTAAATCGGAAAATGAGCTAAGTCCAGGAATGTAAAGGAATTTGGCCAATGTAAACCTTTTTGAAAATACATAACATAATAGTTTACAACTTTAAATCTTGATATAATCTAAGTCCAAAAATGTAATGGAATATGGCCAATGTAAAGCTTTTTGAAAATGGATGGCATAAAATTTCACTTCTATAGATCGTAAAATATTCTAAGTCCAAGAATGTAAAGGAAAATGGCCATTGTAAAGCTTTTTGAAAATGCCTGAATTAAAAGTTATCTACTTTACATCGTAAAATAATCTAAGTCCAAGAATGTAATGGAATTTTGCCAATGTAAAGCTTTTTGAAAACGCCTGCATAAAAAGTTCACAACTTTGTTTCGTGAAATATTCGAAGTCCAAGAATGTAAAGGAATATGGCCAATGTAAAGCTTTTTGAAAAGACATGCCTTAAAAGTTATCAAGTATATATCGTAAAACATTTTAAGTCCAAGAATGTAAAGGAAAATGGCCAATGTAAAGCTTTTTGAAAATGCATGCCATAAAATTTTACTTCTATAGATCGTAAAATAATCTAAGTCCAAGAATGTAAAGGAAAATGGCCAATGTAAAGCTTTTTGCAAATGCATGCTGTAAAATTTCACTTCTATAGATCGTAAAATAATCTAAGTCCAAGAATGTAAAGGAATATGGCCAATGTAAAGCTTTTTGAAAATGCATGCTATAAAAATTCACAACTTTCAATCACAAAATATTCTAAGTCCAAGAATGTAATGGAATTTTGCCAATGTAAAGCTTTTTGAAAATGCCTGCATAAAAAGTTCACAACTTTGCTTCGTGAAATATTCTAAGTCCAAGAATGTAAAGGAATATGGCCAATGTAAAGCTTTTTGAAAATACATGCCTTGAAAGTTATCAAGTATATATCGTAAAATATTTTAAGTCCAAGAATGTAAAGGAAAATGGTCAATGTAAAGCTTTTTGAAAATGTATGCCATAAAATTTCACTTCTATAGATCGTAAAATAATCTAAGTACAAGAATGTAAAGGAATATGGCCAATGTAAAGCTTTTTAAAAATGCATGCTGTAAAATTTCACTTCTATAGATCGTTAAATAATCTAACTCCAAGAATGTAAACGAATATGGCCAATGTAAAGCTTTTTTAAAATGCATGCTATAAAAGTTCACAACTTTCAATCGCAAAATAATCTAAGTCCAAGAATGTAATGGAATTTCGCCAATATAAAGCTTCTTGAAAATGCCTGCATAAAAAGTTCACAACTTTGCTTCGTGAAATATTCTAAGTCCAAGAATGTAAAGGAAAATGGCAAATGTGAAGCTTTTTGAAAATGCCTGCATAAAAAGTTCACAACTTTGCATTGTGAAATATTCTAAGTCCAAGAATGTAAAGGAATATGGCCAATGTAAAGCTTTTTGAAAATACATGCCTTAAAAGTTATCAAGTATATATCGTAAAATATTCTAAGTCCAAGAATGTAAAGGAAAATGGCCAATGTAAAGCTTTTTGAAAATGCATGCCATAAAATTTCACCTCGTTAGATCGTAAAATAATCTAAGTCCAAGAATGTAAAGGAATATAGCCAATGTAAAGCTTTTTGAAAATGCATGCCATAAAATTTCACCTCGTTAGATCGTAAAATAATCTAAGTCCAAGAATGTAAAGGAATATAGCCAATGTAAAGCTTTTTGAAAATGCATTCTGTAAAAGTTCACCTCGTTAGATCGTAAAATATTCTAAGTCTAAGAATGTAAAGGAATATGGCCAATGTAAAGCTTTTTGAAAATGCATGCCATAAAATTCACTTCTATATATGATAAAATAATCTAAGTCCAAGAATGTAAAGGAAAATGACCAATGTAAAGCTTTTTGAAAATGCATGCCATAAAATTTCACTTCTATAGATCGTAAAATAATCTTAAGTCCAAGAATGTAAAGGAAAATGGCCATTGTAAAGCTTTTTGAAAATGCCTGCATAAAAAGTTCACAACTTTGCTTCGTGAAATATTCTAAGTCCAAGAATGTAAAGGAATATGGCCAATGTAAAGCTTTTTGAAAATGCATGCTGTAAAAGTTCACCTCTTCAGATCGTAAAATATTCTAAGTCTAAGAATGTAAGGGAAAATGGCCAATGTAAAGCTTTTTGAAAATGCCTGCATTAAAAGTTCACAACTTTCAATCGTAAAATAATCAAAGTCCAAGAATGTAATGGAATATCGCCAATGTAAAGCTTTTTGAAAATGCCTGCATTAAAAGTTCACAACTTTCAATCGTAAAATAATCAAAGTCCAAGAATGTAATGGAATATCGCCAATGTAAAGCTTTTTGAAAATACATGCCTTAAAAGTTTAAAAGTTCAGTAAGTGGGATGTTTTTAAATTTCTCAACTCGTCATTGTAAAGAAAAAAAGCTTTACTTAAAAATGACATAAATTTTTGTCCCTAATTCTTGACACTGATGACCAAGTTACATTGCCTGTGTATGCCCTTGTTTACATGTGGTGTTACAATGACATTGGAATGTTCCATTGGTGTTTATACAACTAGCCTGATTTGCTTCATCATTTTTGGGTTAAGAATTTGTAGCAGACATTCATCTTCAAACAAAATGATATTGGAAGATCATGAAAAGTTAAAGATGATCATCAAGTACTCCACACTTAACACGGATATAGAACTTTAAACAAGTATAAATCCATGAAATAACAACTACTGTAAATCTCTTTATTTCACGATAGTAAAATTTCACAAAATGTACATTTTCAAAAGTTATGCGAGGGTATTTTAGTGAAGACATATTTCACTGCATTTGAAATAATGATAGTATCATGATATAGAATATCACAACATTTTGAATTTTATTGAAAAATCATAGTTTAGCAAATATAGTAAAAAAACATGATGAATATTTCTACATCTACAATACTCCAGATGAAAGTTTCATAAACAAACTAGATTGCGTAAACAAGAGTTTAATTGATAGTACTGTCTATTTTAGGCCAGCCTCATAATTTCTCTTAACTGACTTACAACTACAGTTAACCAGAACGTCAAAAACTCTTTATTCCGAACATTTTTTCTCAGTCCCGATTTTTATTCTTCCAATGAGTATGGTGTTAACATAATCAAAAGTCAATTGATGTCACCAAGGATACCATGGCATCATAGTTAGAGCACAATCAACTTATGAATATGTTCATGTTTTGAGAGAAAAGAAGCGGTAAAAGACAGCTGTTTTAAAAAGAAACTGATATATGCTCAATCAATAGAATTATCATTAATATATTTTTAAAAATAATGTTTATAATGTTTTACGTAAGAATAGGTAGTATATCAAAACATTATGTTTACCGGAAGTAAATAAAACCACGAAGTCGAACCTGATTTCACGGAGATAAAATCTGGTCAACGATCGTCAAGAGTCCACATACTCTACATTTAACACGCTAGGATTGTTTATGAATGTACAAGGATTTATTTTATGTACAAGCTGTGACAATAAATACTCTGGTATGTGACAATTTTACGTATAAAACATCTTACACAATTATCAATAGGGCGTAACCGACATGGAAAACCGGTTCTGTGACCTACTTCTTCATTCAAAACACGCGGACGTCAGAGACGCTATGTAAATAACAACATCAGCACGTGTTTTGATTGACAATATCATCAACATGGCTGGCTGCAACTCAGATCATTCTGATGGCATGGAATCCGATTATGAAGATGTAGATGATATAGCTACGCAAACAGAAAGCCAAACATTTGAACATATTAAACATTTATGCGGAGGAAAATCCCGAGAAGAATTCAAAAGTGAAATATCACGTATTCAATCCTCGGACGATCACCTACGAGATGTAAGATCGAGTCTATTCGCCCTTGCAAAACAACGTAGGCCCAAGGATATTCCAAGAGGAACACTCATCAACAGACGTACCTCAGATAAAATATGCGATGACTGCTACATACTATATCACTTCTTGGAAGGTGATTGTAATGTGAGTGAAATTAAAACAATACTTAGTTGCAAACAATCCATCAGCAGTGCGCCAACACAAACATGTACAAGGGCAAATGAAAACGACAATTCACCGTCTGAGACACTACTAACCCATATCCTCTCCTTGAAGGATATTGTTAGAGAAAATCAGGTAGAATCCAATGAAAATATATGTAACCTTAAGAAGCAAATACTTGAAATCAGTTCAAAAAATCAGAATGAAATCATTTCTCTGAAACAAAAAGAGCAGAACCTCCGCGACAATATCGCACAACTTAAGACGGAGCTGAGACTAGTTAAACAGTCGTCTAATGAAAAAGATGATACGGTACGAGCTCTAGAGGAAATCATAAAACAGAAAGATATCTTACTGTCCAAAAAGATAGCAAGTATAGAAAACAGCCTAACATGCAAAACAAAGAACAAGAAATCACCCCCTCCTGTAACTGATCCCAACGAAACACCGAAGCAACAAACCGAAGAAGAACAACAAAACAGGTGTGAACACAATCAAAACCATACACATGATAATGGTGACAATAGCAAAACAATGGCACGTGAACGACAGCGATATCTTTCTGCGCAATGCTCAACATCAAGACAAAATGAACGCGAAAATTTACCAGAAATAAAAAGTACAACCATGGAACTCACAAGACCAAGCAATGGCGCTGCCGACACACCTGTTACAGAGAACAACAAGCCAGAACAACACCACACATTGTCTACAAGTGGCTCTACTAAGCCTAATAAAACTACAAATCAGATGAAAACCACCAAAGAAACCATAAATGCACAAGACTCAGAAGCAACAACGATCCCTTCACGAATAACCTACAGGTCCAATAAAACAACCCCTAAGACATCCTATGATGATAGCATTGGAGACTGGCCATCGAACTCATTTACGTTAGATGATTATGACGATGGGTTCGAAGGCGCCAAACCAAGACGGAAAGTTAAATGGCTAGTGCTATCCAGAATCAACTCACGTCTCTCGTGGCCTGATCTCCAAAATAAAATCATTAAATACGCACAACGTAAAAATGTTGAATTAACATTCGTCAGGCATTTAAAATCAGGTGACGTAAGAAATTCATACAGTCTCAAATGGTATACTCTTCGCATCAATGTTAACACAAATGACTGTGACTCAGCTTTAAGGAAAGACTTCTGGCCTGAGAATATTATTTGTAGAGAATGGATCAGTGACCATGAGGAATCTTCACATGCATCTATATGGGAGTAAAACCAAAGTTATCATTATGTAATATGTTACACGTAGCCTTTTTGGTATTAATCAGTCATAGCTTATCCTCATACGCGACATGTATTAATATGCATAAGCAAACAAGTGATCTTAGGTTATTTTGCTGGAATTCACAAGGAATAATGTATGGTGCACCATATATATCTGAACACCTGAAGTCAGTCGACATTGCAGTGATCACTGAACACTGGTTACATTCAGATTCAATTAATTTCTGTAATACACTTGATTTAGATTTTACAAGTAATGTAATCACAGATCATCGTCTCAATGTAGATAATCCAAAAAGGCCACGTGGTATAGGGGGAGTTTGTATAATATATAGAAAATCACTATATGCTAAGCATATTCAATTGAATTTCGAATCTGATAGGATTTGTGGAATTGAATTGACCGTCAATGGAAATGATACACTTTTTATTTTCGGTGTATACATGCCATCGACCAACAGTTCAATTCCCGAATATAAAGAATGTCTCAATCTTTTAGATGATTTATATAATATATATAGCCCAGAGGGCAATATAATTCTGTGCGGCGATTTCAACGCACATTTGTCCAGAGATATCTGCCCTAGAATACAAGGGACCAGTAATTATAGAGGTAAATTGATTGAAACATTCTTAACTGAAAATAATCTATTATCGATCAATTGTCAAACATTAGCAACAGGTCCTTGGTTTACGTACTACAACGATGCAGTGCAAACATGTATTGATCACATCTTTATCAAAAATGCAGGTATAGATTGTATAAAAAAATGTGTAGTCCTAGATGACCATCCACTGAACTTATCTGATCATCATCCCATTTACCTCGTAATGTCGCTTAATCAGTTACCATTGAAATATATAGCAGACAGCATCCCTAGGCCCAACTGGAACAAAGCCAGTGAACAACATCTACTCTTATATAAGAATTATATCGCAACTCGATTGAACCCCTGTTTAATTGAATGTGATACTGTTGACGACACAGAACAGCTCACCAATGAACTTACAAATATTCTGAGAAGTGCGTCAAAACTCCATCTACCGAAATCTAAATATAAGCCCTTTCTCAAGCCATATTGGAAATCGCATGAACTTAAACCACTGCATGATAACATGAGGCATGCGCGGCAAATATGGGTAGCAGCTGGTAAACCAAGGGGCAATCAGTTTGCCTCGTATTCCTCATACAAGCATGATAAAAGATTATTCTCTAATGCCTTAAGAATCGCCAAATTACATTACGAACGTGAATTATACAACGACCTTGAATCCGCTGCAGAAGTTGACATTAATACATTTTACAAAGCAGTGCGCAACACAACAAATGGACCGTCAACCTGCCACGAACTTAAAATTGGAAGTGAGATTATAAGGGACCCAGATAGAATACGAGATGAATGGGCAAATTATTTTGAAAATCTTGGGAAGCCCAAAAGTTACCCCAATTTTGATGACAATTTTAAAGCTAAAATCGAACACGACCTCAAACAAATGAAGCGCGAAAGTACACTTAATGAAGACATTTATCTAACCAACCCTATAACAGAAGATGAGGTAACAAAGGCGATGCAACATTTTAAAAATAATAAATCGCCTGGTCACGATCTTATAACAATTGAACACTTAAGACACGGTGGTCAGATAGTACTTAAGGCTCTCACGGCGATTTATAATGGCATCGTGCAATCCGAAAAGGTTCCCCCGAGTCACAAACTAGGAGTCATGATAGCCAGACATAAAGGGAAAAATAAGGATCCATTGATCAAAGAAAATCACAGAGGTCTAACACTTACGCCAATCATTAACAAAATATGGGACCATATAGTTCTAGGGCGATGGACATTCTCACCGCATGAATATCAATTCGCATACCAAAAAGGAGCCGGGAGTCAAATGGCACAGTTTGTTCATCAGGAAACCATCTACCATTACATTGAAAGAGGCAGCAAGTTGTATGTTGCATATTTAGATAATAAATCTGCCTTTGACCTCCTGTGGCGCGAGGGTCTCTTCTACAAGCTATATCAGCTTGGAGTAAACGCTAAACTATGGCGCATTATAATAGACAGCTATAGTAACACACGTGCGTCCTTTTTATATAATGGTAAACTGTCACGACCCTTCCACATTGAGCAAGGTACGGGTCAAGGCCGAGTGATGAGTACCTGGTGGTTCCTTATCTTCATTAATGACCTTATAATAGTTAGTGAGGTAGCACCGAAAAATGTACCCGCTTCTGAACAAATTGAAATTACTTTTTTTTAATGTATTTTTATGTGATACTTCAGAAAATTTTTGTCTGACGCGCCGTATCCGGGGCGAAAGTTGTCAAAATTGGGTTTTTGACCCTAAAAAGGAAAATTACAGGGGGTACATTATCATCATTGAATAATTCATTCAGTTGGTCTTCAATCATCATAATAATTTTATTGAGAGTTGATGAGATCATTTTAAGGTAGTATGCAAAGTTTCAATGGTCTGTCACTCATGGTTGCCATGGAAACCACAATTTTTGCTGAGAAAATCCTTGATTTTGGTAAAACCTGTACCTTAACATAATATAGAATGTGGATTATTTTTCAAATCAACAGATATCAGAACATTTTAGCATTCTCAAAATTACCAGGGCAGTTCAAACATTTATTTAAATATAAAGGATATTGCAATTAACATAACTGGGGAGTGTCAAAGACCATACAATTACACAAATGATCAAAAGTGGGCGTCGCCCTCATCATAGTAGATGATTGCCATTCTCTAAAAATACAGAGTTTTACTTGACTTTTGAGGTACATTTATAATGATGTTCTTTGGTTATACTAAATATGAAGCATTTTTGGTAAATAATGTACATGTAAGTGTTATACTTATTGCATGGGGGAGGGGGTAGATGGGGGGGGGTAACAGAATTGGAAGAGGGCAAAGCTAATCACCCTTAAGTATAAATCTAATCTACATAGTTCTGGATTTCATGGGGTACATCTTCTGGGTCTTCTTCACATTCATCTGAATATATAGGATATTATAATTCTGCATGATTGGTAAGTATAAAGACCATAGAATTACGCAAGTGATCAAAAGTGGGCGTCGCCCTTATCATATATTCATTCTCTATAAATACAGAGTCTAACTTGACTTTTGAGATACATTTACATTACAACTTCTTTGATTATACTTAATTTCAAGCATTTCTGGTTAGTAATGCACATCAAATTGTAATAGTTCTTGCCTGGGGGAGGATTGGGGAGAGTAGTAACAGAATAGGGAAGGGGCAGAGGTAATCAGCCTTAAGTATAAATCTCATCTGCATAATTCTGGATTTCAGGGGTACATCGTCTGGGTCCCCTTCATATTCATCTCAATATATGGGATATTACAATTTACAGGATTTGTCAAACACCATACAATTACATATTAATAAATGATCAAAAGGAGTGTCGCCCTAACAATAGTAGATGATTGGTTCTTTGTATAAATACAAAATTGAACTTGACTTTTAAGATACATTCATAGTTATACTGAACTGCTGTTATTTTAATTTATGTCAAGCATTTCTGGTAAATACATCTGTGTAAGTATTATAGTTTTTACATTGGGGCAGGGGTGAGTAGTAACAGTATTAGAATGTGTAGATCTCATCTGCCTTAAGTATAAATCTCATCTTTTTAATTCTGGATTTCATAGGGTACATCTTCTGGAGTTTTCTGATTCATCTCCTGGTGTTGCTATGTCACCAATCTCTTGTATGAGAATATCAGTCAATACCCACTGGAAAGATATGGAGTCATTTAGTTTCCATTCAAGTCCAATTGCATGAAGAGATACCATCTGAGATTAGTTGAAAAAAAGATTTCATGATCTAATAAGACATATGAAATTGAAAACTATAGCAGCAAACTACAGCAGCAACAGTGACAGTAAAAAAAGTGCTCAGAACAAGCTTATAAGATGGTTCAAATTCATTCTGAATGAAACATCTTTGAACAGCTTCGATCTTGCTAAGGAACATAAAATTAGCCTAGAATGTCTCCTGCAGTTCCTATTGAGCCCTGTGCCTTGGGCTCTAGGAACACTGACTGGACTTCTTGCAAGAACAGATAAACCCATCCCTATGCATGAACATGTACCCACAAGTGCCAAAGGGAAAGGACCAAAATTTGTAATAGAACCCAGCAAGAAAAAGAAAACTTCTAAATGTATACAAATCATAAGGAAAACAAACCCCAACTATCCCAAATCATAATTCAACTTGAAAGGTAGTTTTGTTTCTGGATCTGGCGGAGACTTTTTTCAAGATTCTGCAATTGCAGATTGATTAGTTTTTGTATGTGATAATTACATGAAAAACTCTATAAAGGAACCTGAAAGAGGGGACGGACACCTTGCCCTATTTAAGGTAGAAAAACAAGAGTCCCTAAAGATTGGAATTAGTTCTTGTATGATGATGAAAACAAAAAGCAAATACAGCAAAGTGTGCTGCTGGATACTTGAGTTGGAAACAAAAGAAGACTGATGTCAGTGGTATTTCCTCCAATATAGACCCTGACATATATGCAGCCTTCCTAGCACTTCACACATTCACAGATGAAGTGTCATGCAGAAGGGGCAATAGCACCTTTTTAAAAGGCAAAGGTGGAGCGCCATATCTCAAATCTGCAAGTGTAGTGGTATACTTATATTCTCCCACATGATAACAATATATTGTTAGAGCAACACCCACTTTTGATCACTTATGTAATTGTATGGTCTTTGACACTTACCAATTATGTAAATTGGAATATCCCATATATTGAGATGAATGTGAAGAAGACCCAGAAGATGCACCCCTTGAAATCCAGAACTAAGTAAATGAGATTTACATTTAAGGCTTATTAGCTCTGCCCATTTCCAATTCTGTTACTCTCCCCCCCCCCCCCCCCCCATCCTCCACCCCAAGACAATAACTATTACAATTAGATGTACATATATAACTTACCAGAAATGCTTGACATTAACTATAAATCAAAGATGTTTTTAAGTAAATGTACTTCAAAAGTCAAGTTAAACTCTGTATTTATAGAGAATGAACCATATACAATGATTAGGGCGACGCCCACTTTTGATCACATGTGTAATTCTATGGTCTTTGACACTTACCAACCATGTAAATTCTAATATCTTATATATTGAGATGAATATAATACGACCCAGAAGCTGTACCCTATGAAATCTAGAACCATGTAGATGAGATTTACACTTAAGGCTGATAAGCTCTGCCCACTCCAAATTCTGTTACTACCTCCCCCCCCCCTCCCCCCTGTATCCCCATGCAATAACTATAACTTAGATGTAAATATGCTTGATATTAAGTATAACCAAAAAATTCAATATAAATGTATCTCAAAAGTCAAGTAAAACTCTGTATTTATAGAGAATGGCAATCAACTACTATTATGAGGGCGACGCCCACTTTTGACCACTTATGTAATTGTATGGTCTTTGACACTTACCAGTCATATAAATTGCAATATTCTTTCTCTTTAAACAAATGTTTGGACAGCCCTGGTGATTTTTAGAGTGCTAAAATGTTCTGATATCTGTTGATTTGAAAAATAATCCACATTCTATATTATGTACAGGTACAGGTTTTACCAAAATTAAGGATTTTCTCAGCAAAAATTGTGGTTTCCATGGCAACCACGAGTGACAGACCATTGAAACTTTGCATACTACCTCAGAATGATCTCGTCAACTCTCAATAAAATCATTATGATGATTGAAGACTAACTGAATGAATTATTCAATGATGATAATGTACCCCCTGTAATTTTCCTTTTTAGGGTCAAAAACCCAATTTTGACAACTTTCGCCCCGGATACGGCGCGTCAGACTAAAATTTTCTGAAGTATCACATAAAAATACATAAGAAACAAGTAATTTCAATTTGTTCAGAACCGGGTACATTTTTCGGTGCTACCTCACTACCTATAAAGGAACTCTGTGAATTTTCAACTTCGGGTCTATATGTAGGAAACACTTATATACCAACAATCTTGGTTGCTGATGACACTACCGTGATGTCAACAACAGTAAATGGTTTACAATGCTTATTGGATATCGTGTATAACTACAGTAGCAAATGGCGTCTTGTATACCATGCAGGATCAGACAGCAAGAGTAAAATAATTACATATCCTGAAACAAAGAAGTCAATTTTAAAGAACAAACTCACAAGACAATGGAAATTGGGACCAGACACAATCCCCGAAACAGATCAACACACATATATTGGCAATTTGATGGTGAGTGATCTGAGATCATCGGAACGAACAAAAATAGCTTGTAAAAAAGCCAAACAATCATTCCATGCTCTCAATAAAATTGGAATGAGAAACGGAGCCATGAATCCGCTAGCCTCGGTCAAAATATGGAAAACTGTCATAATCCCCTCTGCACTCTATGGTTCAGAACTATGGGGAAAATTAACTAAGTCTGAACTAAACAATCTTGAAATAACACAGAAATACGTAGTGAAAACTATCCAGGGATATGGCAAAAGGACTTCATCAGCAATAGTACTAAGTACCCTAGGTCTATGGACAATGGAAGCTCAGATTAACAAAGCCAAATTATCCTTCCTTCACAGATTATGTACGTCAAATCCCAATTCCATCATAAAAACGATTCTACTGATCAGAATAAGTTCTTGGCTATTAAACATCTATGACACACATTTAGGGTTCATACCAGATATTATTGAAGTGTTGTCAAAGTATGAAGTACTTTATGAAATATTCTCAGGCTATCTTCAATCTTTTACATTCCCCTCGAAGGCCAAATGGAAAAGCTATGTGAATGCTCAAATCAATATTAACGAAACTGGAAACTGGCAACGCTTGCTCTCCAATAATACAAAATTAAACAGATTTGCGCAAATTCAGACTGAACTTAAACCAGCAATACATTGGGTAGCTGGCAGGAAATATCCTCTTAAAACATGGGCATTTGCAATACTTCTACATTTGGCTTCAAGGGAACTTCCAGATGACGATTTCAATACGCAATGTCTGAGGTGCGGTAGAACCACCAATGATACTGTCAAACACATGATAGTAGAATGTCAATTTTTAATTGCATTAAGAAATGAAATGTATGAAAATATTATAAATAGCATCTCTGTGCATCAGTCATGTGAACTCCTAAACAGTGAAGATGACATAATCCTAGAATTTCTCCTTGGAGGACGCTCCGATATTTTGCATACAATTGATGATGCCACATCAATAAAATTGCTTAACATATGTGCAACATACATCAATATGATGATGTACAGATTCACCAACACTTGTTTAGAATAATACTGCACAGGTAGTACAGATCATCTACCTATATTTTTAAAAGAAAGTCACACATCTGTACATACTATGATACTATAAATAGTTTTCTTATTATAATTTTATTTTGATATAATGTAAATTGCTGCTTATTAATGTTGTAAATCTTCATAATGAAGGAAATAAATCAATACAATACAATACAATACAATACAATCAATAGAATTATCATTAATATATTTTTAAAAATAATGTTTATAATGTTTTACGTAAGAATAGGGAGTATATCAAAACATTATGTTTTCCTGATTAAGCCACAGCTGTTAATAGTTTGAGATGCCCCCTTATGTATGGCAGGATCTTCTTGTTTATAATCAACTCTGTTTACCCTTCAATCTAGTACAAATTATCAACAGAAAATGTCATGGAGTTCTTGCCAATTTCATGGTTTTCTCTCCAAGATTTGAATAAACTACCAGATTTTCTTGCATTTCTATACAATTTAGAGTATCCGCTACATGCCTGTTTACTTTATTCCTTGCTGATTCCACTCTTTTCCACTCTATTTTCCATTTTAAAACATAACCATTATGATATTTTCCTGGAAGGAGTTAGGTTATCAAATCGTTTAACTAACCTGATAAACATGACTTAAAAACATGACATTCCCCATTGGAAAGATTTCATGATGTTCATGTTTTGAGAGAAAAATGGAGTGTGAAAGGATGAAATCAGCGAGGAATAAACTAAATAGATAAAGTATGTCCTGAACATTCTATAAATTGTAAAGAAATGACGGAAACTTGGGTAATTTATTCTATATTATAGAAAAAATGAAAAGGGTTCACCATCACATTTTTCTTGATGTCTGATAAATACATAAAGATTTATGATTTAATTCTGACCAGTCCTCTTTTTCTTCAAACAATTACAAAATTCTCATTGACTTTATTTAATTCTTTGCTGATTCCATTTTTATTTACTCAATTTAAAGAGCAAATCATAATCTCAGAAATATTTTGAGCAGGTTAAGTACAAACGTGTACACCTGGTTATCTTCAAATCGACATCCCTACTACTGCAATACATTTCAAAAGCATCAAATGTCAAGGTAGAGATGCTTTAAAAAGAGAAATAACAAGGAAAAGCAATGACTCAGCAAGGAATAAAATAAACAGACCTGTAGTTGACACTCTAAATTTTATAAAAATGTCAAAAAATCAGATACTTTAATCAAATTTTAGAGAGAAATGGAGTGAAATAAGCATGAGCAGACGGATATCTATACCGCTGATAAGAGAGACATTTAACACCTAAAATTCTCTGGGAAAAGAGGGAAATCATTTTGAAGTGAAAAAGTGACAGAACTTCTCTATATAACAAGTGAAATTACCTCATTTCAGTTAAAACACGATCCAAGGTTAGATATGATACACTTTAGCAGGATCTAATAGAACAAATAATTAATAAATCTTTATCAGGAAGTTCTTAACTACCTACACTCTTAACCTACTGGGGATTTTCATTTAACGGAACAGAGGGAGCGTACTTTGCTAACATGTGAAGTTTTATACATTATTCATGACCCTGTATTTTAATCCTTCTCGAAGAAGTTAAGGCCTCAAATAATTTTCTGATCATTGTATTATCACTTACCGACACATTGCTGTCCACTGCCAGTGAAACCTGCTTTGCAAACACATCTGTAGCCACCTTCGCCAAGCTCACATGTAGCTTTAGAGTCACATATCAGTCCTTCGTCCCTGCATGGGTCTCCGCTACCTCCTAAAATACACAGAATGGAAAGAATAAATACATTATAAAATATTGAATTTTTACACAATCAGATTTATTTCTATTCAGTATATCAAATAACTCCCCGGGAGCAGAAGAATGTTATTTCTTAATACAGGGTGATCATTAAGTTCTGGGAATTGGCCTGCCATTTCAAGATTTCTCAACCATTTGAGTTGAAATTTTCAGCAGGTGTACATTGTATAATTCTGAATTGACACACAATGTTTCAAATACATATCACATCTACAATTTATTTTATTGTTATTACAAAAAAAGTAAAAGTGGATCGCGGGTCAGCAAATTTTGACTGATGTTAATCTTCAAGTTTCCTGCAAAACATATTCATCTTGCCTAGATGGTTGCTTCAAACTACTAGTACTAGAGGTAGAACAGTACTCCTGAAGTCATTTATTCAGAAGTATTCTTCATTGCTGAGAGGATCATTTCATTTATGATTGTTTCCATTAGCCTGGACACACATGCATTGTTGACAAACTTAGTCCATAAAGATGTGTTCCATTCCTCCCTGTGGTATCCCTTGAAGATTTGCTCAAGTCGTTGAAATCAGTCCCTTATCGGAATGAAACTTATGACCTCTCATATAATGCTTTAGCACCCAAAATGTAGTGAAGCCTAATGGTGCTTCATCTGGTGAATATTGTTTGTTGAATATGGGGCAGTAATAACTTGTGTGAACCCCAATTCCTCAAGAGTAGTATGGGCAGATTGAGTAATGGGAAGGAGCAAGATAACTCCCCGCTATTTTGAGTCATGATTGTGACTTTGAGATGCTGATGAATGATACAAAAATAGAGCAAAGTTCACTCTTATATAACAATAAAGATGTTACTTTAGAAACTAAAGCTAGAAGCATTTGAAAAAAATCACAGAAATATGTCCACCAAATAGGTTTTTATCAACCATACTTTTGGACCAAGCAAAATTTGAATCCATTTTTATTTTACCTGACCCGCTACGCCATTTGTCATGTTGCTATAGTAACGATAATTATCCATTGTGACATAAGATGACAATGAGACTGTTTTATCGAACCCAAAATTACATTTCCCATTTACCTTGAAAATTTCAAGTAAATTGGTTGAAAAATAATGAAATGACAGATAAATTCCCAGAACTTAGTGATCACCCTGTACATGTATATGTGAAAGGATGTATAGAAGTCTGTGTCTCAAAACATCTTTTTTGTCTCAAAACATTTTTTTAATTGTCCTGAAGAATTATTCATGTGTTTCTTGTGTTAATTCCTTCTTGGCTGTCATAAATCTAAGGCCTTAAAGTATAAATCACCAAATACCTCCTGTAACTGGTGCGATCTTTGTTGTCATGGCATAACGCACAATTTGTTCTTTTTCTTGGAAGGTCACAAAGTTACGGGTAACGCTAAGTCGAAGTACATCAGGGACATCTGGTGCTTTAAATGGGCACTCTTTGTATGTGATCACTTGGTCTAAGGTAAAGCGCTGAGAAACACCATTGATACGGAACGTGCGGGTAGCGTAGGATTTTATTACACCTGAAAGAATAAAAAACAAATGTGTTATTTTTTATGGTATGGTTTAAGTTCCTGAAAACTTAAAAATTATGTCTGAAATTATTATCATGTTAAGTAAAATGAAGATGTTGAAATAATTTCCCTTTTTCAATGTTAACAGTCTGCAAACCGAAGTATGTTCTAAAGATTAAGGTGGTGAAATATATATAATCCCCCTTCATATTTTACAAGAAATAACATGTACACTTAATGAAGTAAAATATGTAAAAAGATATAAAAAGAAAAAAACAAACCTGGTGACACCCGACGGTATTCCTCCTTATAATCTTCAATTGAGACCTTTGCCCCCTGTGGGATTCTTGGGATAGTTCCGCTAATTTCCGTGTTCATCCTCATCAGTTCGGGGGATGGCCCCAACATCTGCTGTTTGACCTTCAGTTTGTTTCCGTTCTTTTGGAATGTGATTGTTAGTGTGCGGTTAAATACTCCACCTACAAATACATTTTTCCTTAATTTCCATTATTTTCACCACTCTCTTCCACTTTTTTTCTCAATTCCACCTTTATTCTCAAAAATCTCCTACTTTTAATCAATCTTGTCACATTTCCTGACTTTTTGAGCAGTGTTTGGAATAATCATAATTTATTATGCATAAAACAGATAGGCATGAAAGTACAATGATCCAAATAGTGAAACATGTTACATAACATACAAATGATGTGCTTTATTTTATAAGTTTAAGAGTCCTGTCGGATGGTATATCCAGTGATCCCCCAATGTCACTTTTACCAGTGGACCCCCTACTTGAAACAAAAGAGCCCCCAGTTGGCACCCAGTTGGCAACCTGCACTTCAACTTCTGATTTGAAAAATGAGTGAAGTTAGCACCTACACTGAGATATTGTGAGCGTAGTGAGTGCTGATTTTTTCAGACTTGAAAACCCAGTTGAAACATTTTTTTGGGGAGAAAACTGATATTTCATTCAATTTATCATATCTAAGCACACAAAGACATTTGAGAGCAAATTTTATGTAGACTATCAACCATTACATGAACTGCAGTATTACATACATGTCAGTTACATAATCTGGTTACATAAAATACATTATGTAGTTACATAACAGTTACATAAAACCCTACCTGTGACCATAAATCCATTTTTTGTATTTGTTGGGACAGCGAACAGCCAACCAACAATGCCACCTATTGCTGATAAACTCTGCATGGAGAAACCAAGCTCATTGGTTGGGGAACGACTTATGGCGGTGTAAGATCTGCCATCAATTGTTACGACGTATGAGTGGAGATCAACATTTAGTTGGACTCCATTGATTGATCCAGTCACTCTGCCGTTCACTCTCTGAGCTTTCCCTGAAAGAATAAGCAACAAAAAATCAGATAAAAATTTTGATAATTATTGAACATTATGAGCTTTCAGTCATAGATACACACAAAGTGTCCATGCTAGCATACATGTATCTCTCTCTGCATGCTCTAGGTTTCAAAATAAATGCTTCACAATAATGTGTGCCTTTAAATTATCTAAATGATTGAGCCTACACTGGCTTCATAACATTTCCATTCAAAAGACACAAGTTCCTTTAAGTGAAAAAAATGTTTTTGAAAATAATACTTGAAAGCAAAGAAGTGTGAGAACGTCAGGGTGATCATGGTGCGTTAAAACATAAAACAATGTGGAAAATAGTGAAAGAAATAAACCAAAGAAGAAGTCAAAACTCTAAATTCTACAGAAAATGCCAGAAAATAAGGCACTTCCTTCAAATTCTAGGGAGACAAATATCAATATATGCATAAGAGAAACTTTACAAATGATTGATCGGAAATAGGGTATAGGTGACTGACGTGAACAGCTAGCATTGTTTCCACAGTGGTTAGCATCTGATGTTTTGTTATTTTAATCACCCACTTGCTGAGACCTACTGGATGTCATCTCAAATTATGGGTTCATGTAATTCTAGTTTGCTTTGGAATGGGCTGATGGGACTGTCTGTGCTTAAGTGCTATAGTGGGTGTAGCCATGGCTGTCTTATGTTCTATATTAAAGAGACTCATTTCATTAAAGAGACTTTGTTCGATTAAACGCTGAGGGTGCCTCAATTCTTGCCAAATTTCTACATCCTTTTTTCAAAAACCTCAGTTTATTTCTTTGAAGTAGATACATATAAATTTGTGACGAAGTCATAGCTGACCTCGTTGGTCAGTCTACTTGTTTCACTTCACATCAGTTGATGTCACAATGATCTTATTCTGTTACTCATATTTATAATTATTGTGTTATTTTGATTAGTTTATATTTGTATTATAACAGTTGTTTTAGTGATCTTTAAACCCAGTGTGATATTTCACAATATCAACAGTTTAATTTCCTATGTTTTATCATCATATTAGAGCAGTTTTTAGGCATGAACTATATCTAGAGCCAATCAAACGAAAGGATTATTCTTGAGATATGAGTGGCAGAAATGATATATGAAGTCAACTGATGGGAAATTTTGCAATGTTTAGTTAAGATGTTTATAAGTTTCGATAGTTTTTGGCATCATATTGAAGACTGCAAATTTCTGATAAACAAAGTAAAAAGCGATTAAACCTAATGACCCTGAGTACGACTGACCAAAACATCAATACTGCTGTATATACTTTGCAAATGTTTATACCTTTATATTCTACATCACATTTTACGAATAATTGTATACTTTTTAGGGTGAAAATTGACTTATAAATATGTGTATCGGACATAAATTAGATAATGAGTTAAATTAGATAATTAGATTAAACATCCAGAGTTCATGAGACAAGGCTCAGAGGTTTTGTCTAGACATTCCTTTCCCACCAAATTCTGCCAAATTCTCAAACTTTCGGTAAACATTCAAGATTCATGGGCAGAAAATCATCACTATTCCTTATTGACTTTCTATAAAATTAAACATTCATTTTTCGGCCAATTTTAGTTAATGAGATTTCTTCATATTTTATTGGATAAGACCTCTTATTTCGGCTCTGCCCACTTCAAAATTAGGATATAAAAGAGGCATTTTTGGCATTGAAACCTCAGAACCTCGTTGCGTGAACTCGGGACTAACCAAAAACTGTAAGTAACCGATTGAAATGATATTTTTGGACTTTAACTTTTCTTTAATAAATTTATATTTTAAACTATATTTGTTTTCATGTTTTGTAAACGATAGAGAGACTCAACTTCGCCACAATTGGTGGCAGTGGTGGGATAAATTGACTAGGTTCCGCCCTGGTCAAGGCCCACATTTCTGTGGCCTTTGTATTGTCTCAATATTTTATTGCATAAGCATGAAAACATTTGAAAATTTTTTAGAAAATAATCAGTGGATGGCAAACGTTTTGGATTTAGTTGTAGTTTGATAATGATAAGTTAGGTAATTCGTTAATTAGATAAGCATAATCTGTCAGTTTATTAAAGTAAAACCTTCGTGTTTGTGAAACAAATGGAACACTTTTGTTTTGTGGAATAACTTAGAAAGTAAGTGTTGTTTTGACTAAGAGAGTTTAGATAAATAACAATATTCCATGTTACGAGGTTATGCTGTATTAACTGACAGATTACTTTTCATCACTTTAGTATAGAAATATGACAATGTTAACTTGGCAGTAAGAATAAACATTGAGAATGTCTAGGATAATGCAAGGCTAACTGTAAAGCATCATTTTCATGCATATAGATTTGGCAATTGGCTAATATTTTTGTGTTGAGATAAAACTGTTAGGAGAACAATGAAATGAGAGAATAAATATCTTGATGATGATGATTAAAATTAATGTAAAAATGACAAATTAAAAATATGAAAAAATGTTTTTATATTTTGAAACCTCAGAAATTTCTGATCATTTGGTTATAAAACAAATGTAACATTGATCATATGAAGTAAATAACATATATTAGTGCCTATATAATTGTTAGTTTAAAGATTTACTGAACAAAACATGACTGACCAATTGTAAAGCAATGCTTTGGTTCAAATTAATTTTTTGAGTTATTATAGATCCATACATTGATCCTTTGGTTAAGTAAAAGGGATTGATAGTTTAGTGGTTTGATGTTTCATTTGTTCAGTGAATTTGGTGTCATGAATTTCTGATCACAACATATTTCGTTTGCATTTGATAAAAGTCATTTGGTTAGATAGAACATTCAAAAGAATATTTCACTTACCCTCAAAATGACATTTTGACCAGTATTGAATCGTCTGTTATGGCTTTGAGAAATCAGGGTAACACAGTTAATTAAAGTTCCTTGCGAATTGATATTCCAGTATTTTGTTTTCAATTGTTAATTTGCTTTGTATGGGCTTATTGGCCTTTTTCAGATTATTGACATAGACTTCAGTGTTGAATTTATTATTTATTTGAGTTTATATCCAAATTGTTGATTACATGTATGTTTAATCCTTTAAAAATGATCTTATTAATCCGGATTCTTTATGATGTTCAGTTTAGACAATTATGTGATATGACCAACTTTATACAGGCATATATTTCTGTTCTTGCTATGCAACTTACTTGACATGAATCGTAAACTAGTTTATGTTATGATAAGTAAAATTGTTATGACGTTTTTGGGAAACATCTCCCTGAAACAATTCATTGTTTATAAGGCGCAAAATATTCAAATATAGATTGTGAAAGTATCACTACTGTAAAATACTTTCCATCCATGGGCTTATCTTACTTTAAGATTTATATTTTGGAAATGTAAAATACGGCACTTTTTGTTACCTAAGGATATCCATTTTTGTTATACATCCAAATATTAAATAAATGAAATATAATAATTTAATAAACATTTGTGGATCATAATGTCTTTGGGGTCAAAGGTCATATTAACTTAGGATAAGTTACAATCCATAACAACTTGCCATATATTGATTAAAATTTAAATAAAAAATTTAACACATGGAAATTACCATAAAGTTCATGTTTTTGGCCAAACCGAGATTGTGTAATGGGGTTCTCACTTAAGTCGACTTAAACAACTCAGTCAAATTAGATCATTGAAGTTATTCAGGAGCAAAGCTGTTACGTGATCAAATCCTGGCCAAGATTTGATCGACAGACTACACTATACACTTTGGAAGAACTCGTGAAGCGGTGCTATAGAAAGATACAGGATGTCCCGTATTCTCTGGTATTGATATGTGAAAACTACATTCGAACGTTCTATGATAAAAAAACAGTTGGATGAAAATATGGTGAATTGAACTGACGCTTTAGAACAATCCTTTGATGACAATATGCAGACGTATTGAGGTAAATCAACGACAGAGAGGAGGACAGACTTAGGATGAAAGATGCTGAAAACCATCAATGATCTATAAATTCAATTAGCGGCAGCTGCAGGAAGTCTGGACTGAGGGCTTCGTTACGTCAACTACTACTGTGCCGAAAAATTTGATGACAGTGGAGACCTGCAGTTGTCCACACACGCACTCACAAGCAGGCAGCAACAGACAAGGTGTCTGATTCAATGGGAGCAATTCCAAAGATAAAGACTGTCCGCTTCAATAATTTTGTCGCACCACGGGAAGCGACGTCAATTTCCGTTTTGTAAATATGTTTCTGGATGATCATCGTGGGCCTTCAATGGAGGTAGCTAAAATACCATTGGCTGCAGGACGCTACGTGGCGGCGGAAAAGAGGCCATATCCTGAGGATGACTTGGGCGCACAGGTACCTGCGGGTGACGCCCATGTGGGGGCTAGTATAATACCATTGTCTGCAGCGCCTGGTGGAGGCAGAAGTCTACCATCCGGGGAGAGATTGCGCACACTCCCTGCGGTTCCCCCGTATGGGGGGGGGCTAAGTACCATACGTGGCCACATGGGGCCTGGAGAAGTACCATGCCTTGTTAAAACGCAAAGCTCATCAGAACGCCAAGAAGACGAGGTACAGCCATCCTTTGACGTTCGTGAAGACCTGCCTTTTAGTACAAGGGTTGCCCACATGGGGGCTGGAGAAGTACCATGTAAATGAAGACATGTAAGATGAACCGGTTAAGAAGACTTTCGAGTTTCTACAAGAAGATCGCTAGCTGAGTAGGAACAATATGTGGAAATGTTCATGTACGTCGATGAACAATGAGTATGAATATATAGATGACTACAGATCTCTTCCAGAAGGACGTTTTGGAAGATAGAGTTCTCCTTCTATGGTAGAAGAGTCAACTTATGGGTAAAGAAGATAGAAACAGTGAGTTCAATATGATAATATGAACTGGCAAAAACTTTCGAAGCTACTAAATAGCAGTAATGAGAAAATTGAACATTTCGAGTTGATGACAATATTATGTGAATCTGTACTGAGAAATCAATTGTCAGCGA